AGGGAAAACAAATAAAGTTTGCAGCCAATCTATCCACAGAAACTTGGCAGGCCAGAAGAGGATGGCAGGATATATTCAACACATTGAATGGGAAAAACATGCAGCCAAGAATACTCTATCCAGCAAGGCTGTCATCCAGAATAGAAGGAGAGATAGAGTTTCCCAGACAAACAAAAACTAGGAGTTAATGACCACTAACCAGCCCTGCAAAAAATATTAAAGGAGAATCTTTGAGTGGGAAATAAAAACCAAAGTAACAAAGACTAGAAAGGAACAGAGAAAATCTCCAGAAACAACAACAAAACAAGCAATGACACTAAATTCATACCTATCAATAATTACTCTGAATGTAAATGCACTAAATGCTCTAATCAGAAGACGTAGAGTATCAGAATGGATTAAAAAAAAGTAAGATCCATCTATACAGATCTACAAGAGACTCATTTTAGACCTAAAGACACCTGAGATTGAAACTGAGGGGACGGAGAACCATTTATCATGCAAATGGGCGTCAAAAGAAAGCTGGAGTAGCAATACTTATATCAGACAAAGTAGATTTTAAACCGAAGACTATAACAAGAGATGAAGAAGAGATGATTATATCATAATAAAGGAGTCTATCCAATAAGAATTGGAGTCTGTCCAATTATATTTATGCCCCCAAGCTGGGAGCACCCAAATATATAAAACAATAACAAACATAAAGGAGCTCATTGATAATAATACGATAATAGTAGGGGACTTTAACACACCACTTACAGCAATGGACAGATTATCTAAGCAGAAAACCAACAAGGAACCAATGGATTTGAATCACACACTGGGCCAAATGGACTTCATAGATATATTCACAACATTTCCTCTTATAGCCGCAGAATACATATTCTTTTTGAGACATTCCCCTAAATAGATCACATGGGACATTCTCCTGAATGGATCACATATTAGGTCACAAATCACTCTACCAAAAAATTGCCTCAACAAGCACCAAAAGATTGAGATCATACCATGCATGTTTTCTAACCACACTATGAAACTTGAAGTCAACCAAAAGAAAAAATTTGGAGAGACCCCAAATACATGGAGGTTAAGGAACATCCTACTAAAGAATGAAAGGGGCAACCAGGAAATTAAAGCAGAAATGAAAAAATACATGGAAAGAAATGAAAACAAAAACACAATGGTTCAAAACCCTTGGGGAACGAAAGCAGTCATAAGAGGGAAGTATATAGCAATACAGGCCTATGTCAAGAAGCAAGAAAAATCTCAAATATGCAACTTTACCTTACACCAAAAAGGAGCTAGAAAAAGAACAAATGAACCTAAAGCCAGGAGAAGGAAAATGATGAAGATTAGAGCAGAAATGAATGATACAGAAACAGACAAACAGACAAACAAAAAAAACCAGAACAGATCAATGAAGGCATTGTCATAAGAAAAAAGCTTCTACACAGTGAAGGAAACAGTCAACAAAACTAACAGGCAGCTGATAGAATGGGAGAAGATATTTGCAAATGACCTATCTGATAGAGGGTCAGCATCCAAAATCTATAAAGCACTTCCCAAACTCAATACCCAATAAACAAATAATTCAGTCAAGAGATGGGCAGAAGGTATGAATAGTCATTTTTTTCCAAAAAAGACAACCAGATGGCTCACAGACACATGAGAAGACGCCCAACATCACTCGTCATTGGGGAAATGCAAACCAAACCCCACTGAGATCCTACCTCACACCTGTCAAGAGTAGCTAAGACCGGGGATCCCTGGGTGGTGCAGCGGTTTAGCGCCTGCCTTTGTCCCAGGGCGCGATCCTGGAGACCCGGGATTGAATCCCACGTCGGGCTCCCAGTGCATGGAGCCTGCTTCTCCCTCTGCCTGTGTCTCTGCCTCTCTCTCTCTCTCTGTGTGACTATCATAAATAAATATTTAAAAAAAAAAAGAGTAGCTAAGACAGATGTTGGTGAGGATGCGGAGAAAGGGGAGCCCTCTTGCACAGGGGTGGGAATGTGAACTGGTGCAGCAACGTTGGGACACAGTGTGGAAGCTCATCAAAAGTTAAAACCAGAGCTACTCTATGATCCAGCAATCGCGCTGTTGGCAATTCACCCAAAGAACACAACAATCCCAATTTGAAGAGACACATGCACCCACTGTTTACGGCAGCATTATCAACAACAGCCCAATTACGGAAAGAGCCCAAATGCCCAACAACTGATGAGAGTGGATAAAGGAAAGGTGTGTGTGTATGTGTGTGTATAAGATAGAATATTGGTGAGCCATAAAAAGGAATGAAATCGTGCTGTTTGCAACAACATGGATGGAGCCATAGTGTGCTATGCTCGCAAAATAAGTCACAGAGAAAGAGAAATACCACATGATTTCACACATATGTGGGATTTATGAAACAGATGACTATGGGTGGGGGTGGGGGGAGGCAAATCATAAAACAGCCTCTTAACTATAGGGAGCGAACTGAGGGTTGCTGTAGGGGAGATGGCGGGGATGGATCACACGGGTTACTGGTATTAAGGAGGCTGCTTGTGATGAGCAGTGGCTGTTACATGTAAGTGATAAATCACTAAGTTATACTCCTGAAACTACTATTACACTATATGGTAACTAACTGGATTTATTTTTAAGATTTTATTTATTTATTGAAGGGGGGGAGAGAGAGAGAGAGAACGAGTCAGCACGTGCACGAGTTGGGGGGGGGGAAGGAGAGGGCGAGGGACCCCCACGCCCCCCACTGAGCACAGAGCTCGCCCAGGGCTGGATCCCAGCACCTCGAGGTCATGACCTGCGCTGAAGTCAGATGCTTAACCGACTGAGCCACCCAGGTGCGTGACTGGAATTTAAATAAAAACTTGAAACTACCAAAAAAAAAAAAGTAAACAACAAAAAAGAAATTTTCATGCCTTGATAAAAAATTTTCTTTAGTTGAACCAAGCACTTCAATTAAACCACGTGGCTTGCCGGGAGAAAGCCCTGATACAGGGTCATGTTCGTGGGCGATTCTACTCTGAGCAAAACCACAGGCCGTTCAAACGCTAGTACCAGGCTATGAGCGTGATTTCCGTGCTCACCGCCCAGGGCAGGGCCTCCTGGCTCCCCCGCCTCCTCCCTCCTCCCTGGCAGATCCTTTCTTCTGCCCCAGCTTTCAAGAAGCCTCAGCCACACAAGCTTAGCTGCAGGGGCAGCCACACTCGTGACAACCGTCAATCTGCAAAAAACACACTTTAGTCATCCAGCAACTAATCTCAGCCTTGCACGCCCAACTCCCACTACAGAACGATGGGAGCTATGAACACGGACCACGTGTTGTGCTGTGTTGTTTCCCCGGGCAAGCCAATAACCCCAATAACCGCAGCTCAGCAGCGCTCGTAGTACTGAAACAACAGAACCGACAAGCAAACTGACATAAAGTGAACGAACTTGTTTGCTTGCTTACCCTGTGACAACACAAGGAGAGTTTTCCTGGTAGTTGCTTCACAAAGAAAGAAAGAAAAAACTTAAGACACCAAGGTAGAGTTACATTGTTACCATAAACAGAACTTGAGTGATAGCTTTGTAAACCTTTATTATAGCTAACAATCAGAACTAGGGTAAAAATATCCAGCTCTAAAGAGCTCTGCAAAAAAATAAAAAATAAAAAAATAAAGATGAAATAAAGAGCTCTGCATTATAAGGAGGGCATCCTATGAAGAAAAAGATTTTCCAAATATATAAATATGTATCACTAACATATCATTTACACTTTATTTTTTCCTGTTGACTCAGATACACATTTCTGCATGCTTTAAAAGCACCTAAATGGGGATGCCCCGGGGGGCTCAGCGGTTTAGCACCACCTGCAGCCTGGGGCGTGACCTTGGGGCCCCAGGATCAAGTCAGGAATATATAAAATCTTTTATAAAAATCTTTTAAAAAAATAAAGCGTCTAAATGCAAATTTGGTAATAAAGGCCCAATCACTTTAAAATTCTTCAGATATTAAGCATGTCATAACTTTATCCAGTTGACTTAGCCATTCACTGGAAACTAGCTCCAGAGATGGTTATGTTTAACTTTGCTTCTTCAGTAATGTTGAACAAAACTTTTTAAGCATACTCCTAGTCTTGAGGAATCGGATGAACATATGGCAGAAGTTATGGAAGAAGCTAAGATGATTTTAATCACCCTTTTTCTTAACTGTCAGAGACATAAAGATGCTTGGGTAGTGTAAGAAGCATCTCCCACTGCTGTCATCCGCAAGCCACATTCCCCTACAGTACAGGCAGTCCCACTAATAATGAAGTGTTCGAATCCAGTTAGTCCAAGAGCTGGGCCCAAATATAATGAGGTGTATGGAAGACCTAGGGTGGAAAATCTAAAGAGGTGTTCGTTGCAGCATCCCAAGAGCGCGTGCATCCTTAAATTTTGCACCCAGGTGTCTCATGTGTCTTCCTCTTCTCCCTGCCCCGCACAAGAGCCCCAAAGTGATGCTGGCTTTAAGAGCCAAGGATGCCCCCTATCTCCACATTCCAGAGCTGAAACTAGTTTGCAGAACCAATCTTATCTCTGGTTGAAAGTCTTTAGTCATGTCCAGCCCAGTGCTTGGAGACTCAGTTATTTCCCTAAGTGACGAAGATCAGGCTGGTGTGCTTCTCCACTAAGCTTGCCTCCTCCACACAATCCTGTACAATAAGACCCATATTCCCCCTTCCAGGTACCAGAGCCCTGCTAATCAATCCCAGTCCACTGTCTCGGGCTTTGTCACCTTCTCACGGAATTCCTAATGCAGCTTACCTACTTGGGTTACAGTATTACCTCCTCCTCTCTTATTTGGCTCCCGAGCGTAGCCAAGATCCCACCACATGCGATTCCCAGTGCTGGCTGATTGCTAAGACGACCTTTTAGCCTGCTAGTCCAGGCTTCTTAAAAGTCTGTGGCTGTTTGTCTCCTTTCAATTGGCTTCCAATTAGTCCCACCTCATCACAGTGAACAGAACCATCCACTTACTGTGACAACCGAGATAACCAACGGTGTCTCCAGCCTTAGCCCTGTTGAGAATCCCTAGAAGTAGAAGAGAGAACATACCTTCAATGAGAAATAGGCCACGCATTTTGGGGCCTGGTTCTTTCCAGTCCATTGGTTCATAAACCCTGCTTGTACCAAATTCATCTGGGGGAACTTCTAATTTACCTTTTTAACACAAATAGTGCTTACTAGGTGCCTGAAACTGTTACAAACACCTGACAAGTACTAACTCATTCAACCTTCGTAACAAGCCTTTGAGTTGGGCACTATCATTTACTCCCATTCTACAGATTAGAAAACTGGGGCTTGAGAGGTTAATGACTTACCCAAAGTCACACATCTAAAAAATATAAGCCTAAATTCAGGCCCAGGCATTTTGGTTATAGGGTAAACGGTAAGCATTATGCTATGCAGCAGACAACCATATCCCATTCCCAAAGATTTGATCCAGTAAATCTGGAGAAAGGACTGAGAAATCTGTACGTATATGAACACAATTTTCCGATGATTTTACATAGTTAGAAGGACACCCACCTAGGACTGCTGTGTGGGAACCACAGCACTATTCCATGCCTCATTTGGGAGAGACAATGTAGCTAGAAACAAACGTGTGTTGCAGCATACCAAAAAAGCAAGGGAAGACGGTGGTTGAGGGAACTACTCATTCAAAACTGCAGAAGGCAGGGTGCAGTACCTTGGGCTTTTATAAAATGGCCATAGTGAATTACGTATTGTTAAACAGAATGAAATATGTTAAGGATGTAGCATGAGAGGGAGAGTATGATAGCATTAATAAACATGAAATTATCTTGTTAAGTAGGATACATGGCAGTGATGGACTTAAAGAGGGAAGGACAGCCTAGCTAGTTGTATGGTGAGCTGCAAATGTCAGGCAGGACAAATGATAGCAGGTAACCCCAAAGTGTGACTTTAAGCAATGTAGGAATTACAGTAGTTGAGGAAAGAAATGGAAGCAAGTGGATATACATGAAAAAATAAGAAAATGTGAAAGAACTTCCAAAACAGTTCAGCACCATACAAATATGACTATCACCACTTTGTTTAGTAGTAGATCACCTTGAGAAATCCCCAGAAATTAAAAACAAAGACAAAAACAAGACAAAAAACCCACCCACACACAAAATATCCAAGCCAGGTAGAGGCAAAAGCAACAACTCACCACCAAAAGGGGGCAAGCAGGTGCAGACTGGTCAGCAGTATTTCTGACCACTCAGAATGGAAGCAATCGTGGGTCAGAGTCAACTCACAGCTGAACCAGGACTCCCACTCTGCAGCCACTGCCATAGAAGGTGGAGAGCAAAGAAAACCAGTATACTGGGAAGCTCAGTCTCCAGCTTTATAGAAAAGCCTCAACTTCGCCTCCAAGCACAAGCACAAATTAAAATAATATCCCATGTGTCAGGAAAGGTGTGTTCCTCAGTTCCCATCAGCTCAACTACATTAAAACCTAAAGGTTTTGAGGACTGGAACCAGGAGGAGAGTTAAAAGAATGCAAAATTTTAGTTTTTCATTAATACACTTTTTTTTTTTTTTCCATGAGACACACACAGAGCAAGAGGCAGAGACACAGGCAGAGGGAGAAGCAGGCTCCTTGCAGGGAGCCGGACGCGGGACCTGATCCCGGGTCTCCAGGATCACACCCTGGGCTGAAGGTGGCGCTAAATCGCTGAGCCACCGGGGCTGCCCCATTAATACAAATTTGGTAATAAAATAGTTAAAAATTATCTTGTGATAACGTACTTTGCCAAAACTCTAACATATTTCATAGTTTCTTTTCAGGTCCAGGTATTATAAACCAAGGCAAATAAAATCTACTTTCATCAAACTTTGTCCAATTTGCTGTATTTTCTCAAGTTTTGTCTGTCACCGTGCTCTTTCATGTTCTGGAATAAAGTGACATTTTAGAACTTTTTCCTTGCAAAACAAGACTTAAAGCCCGTTACCTTGCATTCCCTATTGTTCTTGCCCCTAATGAGATCTTAGCCACTCATATTAATTAAACTTTTAATAATTTCCATTTCATAGAACTGGAGGTAATTGAAAACTGTCACATGCAAACATTTTAGAAGACAAATAAAGCTCATAAGTAACATAACATAATACAACTATCTGCAGGCAGTCACGTTCCTTTTACATCTTCTGAAAATGGCAAAAATGAATGTCCATTAATGGGACCCCCCCTAAAAACAGCCATTCTACGGTATTTAAAAACAAGAAGCAAAAGCATATAAAACTGAAATTATTCTTCTATTAAACAATGTTTCAGTATTCGAGTCTTGAAAATAAATTATCTGCTTATCTCATGATCAATCATGAATTGATCCAATTTAATATTATCTCAGGATTTTAAGTTACCTAAGGATTTTGGAGTCATGCTTAAACTTATATGATACAGAACATAACGAATGTTAGTATAAGAAGTCTGAATATTTACTCATTTTAGTGGACATAACTTTACATTTTCCATAAACTTACATATTTTATAGCAGTAATGCTAGCTTATTTATCAGTAAACCAATATAAGAAGTTTAGGAACTTCTTAGCAGCTAATCTCTTCATGAGAAGGCAAACCTAAATATTAAGAAACCAAATACCTGTATTTTACTTAACATGGACAAAACAGTGGAAAGACATGCAACTGCTTTTTTTCTTTCTTAAACCAAAATTATTACTCTAACCTGATTTCTCCAAAGCTCATCTTAATTATATAAATTTATATTCTTCGAATGTGTGTAAACTAGCAGTTTCTGTAAGAAAAACTTTTTTTCCTCAAAAGTCCAGCACATACCAGGTGTTAGACATTTTGAATTTTTTTTAATTGGAGGGGTTCATGCCAGGGCACCTGTATGTCTATAGAGCAATCAGACCAGTTCTTTAATTTACGAGACATAATAATGGAATTTATTAAAACCACCCAGAAGCATGAAAACATCTTACACTGTGGCAGACAACCTGTAAAAGTCCTAAATTAGTCACTTGGACACATAGCGAGTTTGTGGCTTCGGTTTTCATCTCAATCCCGGGTTGAGAGCAAAACAAATCCCAAAACTCACTAGCCCAGAACTCAAACCTCAGTTCTCCTTCCCGGGGGACACAAAGTTAATTAATTTGAGCTCACAGGGGACAAAGAAAAAGACCAAGGAACTGGATTTTTCCGTCCCTCTCCGACGAGACACTAGGTCCCCATCATCCCGGGATGCGCGCGAACCTGGGCTCGCAGTCGTCGCTGCGAGAAACGTCCAACCGCCACCCGGGCGGCCGCGCAGGTGGGAGGCGGACGAGGCGCGGGGTCCGCTCTGCCAGCCGACAGCCCCCGCGCGCGTCCTCCCCGGGCGCCCGTCCGCCCCCGTCCTCCCACCCCGCCCCCGCCCGTCCGCCTCCGTCCTCCCCCCGCCCCCGTCTTCCCCCGGCGCCGTCCGCCCCCCGCGCCCATCCTCCCCCCGCCCCTGTCCGCCCCCGGCGCCCGTCCGCGCCCCGCGCCCATCAGCCCGTGCTCCCGCCCGACCGAGCTTGTAACGTCCAGTACAGGACGCCCCGTCGGTCGCGCAAGCGTAACGCGAAGCTACTTCAAAGCTTTGTTCGATCCACTGATTGGAGGAATCGGGAAGACGTGGAAACCGCTGGGTCTCCGGGGTCTCCGGAGGGCGCGGCCGTCGGGGGCGCCGACGCTCAGCCCGGGAGGGCATCCGGTCCCGGGCGCCCTGCTCCCCGCGCAGCCTGCTGCCCCCTCCGCCCCTCCTGCAGCTCCCCTGCCTGAGCGCTACCAACAATATAAAATCTTAATTTAAGAAGGGGGGGATGCTCAGCGGTTAGCGCCGCCGGCAGCCCGGGGCGTGACCTCGGGGTTCGGAATCGAGTCCCGCGTCGGGCTCCCGCACGGAGCCTGCTTCTCCCTCCGCCTGGGTCTCTCTCTCTGTGTCTTTCATGATTAAATAAATAAAATCTTAAAAAAAAAAAACAAAACAAGCAAACAAACAAGCCGCCCACCCCCCGGCGCTCCCACCTGCTGCGGGGCGGGCACCTCGTCCACCTCAGCCGCCGCCCAGCAGGCGGCCTTTCCCGCGCTCCCGCCCTCTGCGTCCCCGCTGGGGGGCGCACGTCACGCACGACCACGTAAGACCACGAGGGCGCGCCCGTCGCAGCCGCCTTGACCCGCCAGCTCCCACCGCCGGGCCCACGCGCTCCCGTGCGCACGCGCGCAACTGCCCCGTCGCCGCCGCCGGAGGGCGCGGGCGTTCCAGCCAGTGCGCAAGCGCCGCGAGTGAGCCCGCCGGGAAGGGGGCGGGGCCAAGGGCGCGGAGGCGGGCGGGGGGGCGCGGCTGGCCGCGGGAAGATGCCCGGCGGTGCGCCTCGGCCCGAGGAGGGCGCCGCGCGGGGCAAGGACGAGCTCGGCAACAGGGTGAGTGTAGGGCCCTCGGCTCTCCCGGAAGCAGGAAGGGAGACGCTGGACTTGCCCCGAGATGAGACCACGCGGCGTGGACGGAGATCGGCCGCGGCCCTTTCCCTCCGCCCTTTTCTAGCTTAGAAACCCCGCCTGCCCCAGGCCGCAGCCGCGTCTTCCGCGCGGGAGAATGCCGCGCCGCGCGTTCCCCTGCCCGAGCCGGTGGCCGGGAGCCCGCCTGGACGCCGCCGACCCCCGCTCTCCGGCAGCCCCTTCCGGGAGGCCCTCTTCCGGGAAGCCCCTTCCGGCAGCCCCCTTCCGGGAAGCCCTCTTCCGGCAACCTCTTCCTGGAAGCCCCCTTCCAGCATCCCCCTTCCGTCAGCCCCTTCGGGGAGGCCCCCTTCCGGGAAGCCCCTTCCGGCAGTCCCCTTCCGGGAAGCCCTCTTCCGGCAGTCCCCTTCCGGGAAGCCTCTTCCCGGCAGCCCCCTCCCGGAAGCCCCCATCACGGGGCGCGCCCGCTGTCGGAGCCGCGAGGACCGGTCGGCTCTGGCTCTGCACCGAGCCCCCCCCCGCCCCGTTTCCGCGTCGGAGCCCGTGGAGTCCGCGGGACGCGTGCCCGCTGCTGCTGACGCGGACGGCCGCGCTGTCGGCCCCGGACGCGTGAATCCAGCGGGTGGCGCCTGGGCCGGGCCGGTGCGCCGGGAGCCGCTGCAGTCGCTGCCCGTGTGCTGCTTGACACCCCGAGGTGCGACCGGGACACAGGCCAGAACACCTGCCGTGTCGGGGCCCCAAACCCCCCTTTACGGACAAGGGTCGGAGGTTGCGCTTCCGCCCAGCCGTGCCCCATCCTAGTGGTCCCAGGGCCGGCGCCGCCCTCCTGGAGGGGAGAGGGACTCAGCCGAGAAGGAAGGGGGACCCAAGGAGGACCGCCCCGGTAGGGCTGCGGCAGGCGGGCTGCGGCTTCACGGCCGGTCCTCCGCGCGGGCTGCACCACTAGCACGGGACTCCTGAAAAGCATTGATGTTTCATGACTTATGCTATTAAAAGAAAGGCTAAAATATAAAGGAAATCATTGAAAACTGGTATTACTCTTGGTGCCATGTTGTCTGTTTTAAATAAAAGGTATAAACTTTGTTTAGAGCCTCGGCCTTTGCATGAGTGCTGGTTGCCAACACCAACCCCTTGTCTGGTTCTGGCGCCTTCGAGTGTAATCAGTTCCTCTCCCAGCCTATTCACACCTGCACCCCATACCTGCAACCCCCCACTTGCACCCACACACCTGCAACCCCAGGCACTGCTGTTCAGAAATGATCTGTATACTCGCAGACTGCTCGTTTGGACAGTCAGTGAATTACAGCCCCTTATCCCATTCTCTCTAGTTTTTTTTTTTTTTTTTTTTTTTTTTAATTTATGATAGAGAGAGAGGCAGAGACACAGGCAGAGGGAGAAGCAGGCTCCATGCACCGGGAGCCCGACGTGGGATTCGATCCCCGGTCTCCAGGATCGCGCCCTGGGCCAAGGCAGGCGCTAAACCGCTGCGCCACCCAGGGATCCGCTCATCTCTCTAGTTTTAAAGGGCTCTCAATTGAACATACTTTGCTAATCTCTGATTTAAGAGCTTTTTGTTTTTTTCTTATTTCAATAGATTAAAGAACAAAAAATTGTTGTGGATGAACTTTCTAACCTGAAGAAGAACAGGGTGAGTTATTACGGTAATTCTGAATTGTAGGTGGGAAGGTTTGATTATATCTTAACTATATACTAACGTTTTAAGAATTATATGTAAGATTTGTATTTACATTAAAATATGCAAGGTTGCAGCATCTTTTTTCTAGTTACAGAGCAAAAGTGAAGTGTCCAAGATTTTATACGCATATGTGGAGAGCTATATGTTAACTATAGTTGATGGTATTTCTTACTCATCATATGTAATTTGCACTCCCTTTGAACCAAAAGATACTAATTACACAATGGTATCTTGGAGCTGTGATCAATAATGGTATCTACTTATACTTGAGTTTGGTGTTTTCTTATGAAATAAATAACTCTTATTTATATGAAGAAAGGAAACTATGCCTTTAAGTGAATGTGAATAATTGTTGAAAAAAATGATAAACTGCTTCTCTCTTCCCTGATTTTTTTTTACACAAATCTTCCAAATATTTAATATGGTTATATTAGTGCCATTTCCATTAATGCATTTATAAACAGCAAGCTACAGCTTAATGTGTATACTGTCAAAAATTACATTTTAAAGTTCAGGAAGAAATGATTTTGAGCCCTTTAAAGCATTTGATAACTGACAGGTTGGCTAAACATTTCTGATATTGTCACTTTGGGAGTTTTAGAATTTAAGGCTATCCTGATACAAACTTTCTAGAGGGCGAGTTAGGGGAATGTATCAAAGCCTTAAAATTATGTAGCACTTTGATCCAATTCAATTTTAGGAATTGATACTTGGGAATCATGGGAGTGCACAAAGATTTAGTTGCAAAGAACTTCATTACAACATGGATTCATAAAGTTGGTAATATCTTAAATGTCTAAAACTTGATGACTTATCAAATAAACCGTAATGTTATGCCCACACAGTAATGTTGTAAAAGAATATGTAATGATAAGAAGTGTTCCCAAGATATTGTTCATTGATAAAAGCAAATAAGTCTGTATTAATAGTAAGTACTTTTTGTTCAAGGAAACTGGTAGTTTGACATACACAGAGAAAAAACATTTCATTTCAGTGTTAATGGTAGCAGTTTCCAGATGGTAGGATAATGGGCGACTTTTATCTGTATTTGCTAAGGTGTTATTCTCAATATATGTACAAGAATATACGATAAAAGGGTTCAGAGTTTTGATATATACGTTTTAGGTCAAATCATGACATTAGCCTAAATTATGTTTTGCAGAAAGTATATAGGCAGCAACAGAACAGCAACATATTCTTTCTTGCAGACCGAACAGAAATGCTTTCTGAAAGCAAAAGTAAGTTTTTGCGATATATTATATAGAAATGCATGGAAAGTCTTTTCTAGGCTTTCTGTAGAAACTTAGGGTAGTGTCTAAATTATACTGTGTATATCTGAATGTTTAAATATATATCTGAAGACTGGATGGTGGTATATCAAGTGAAATTAATGCCATGCTTTGGAAAAACAGTAAAAATAAAATAAGATATATAAGTTGTATTACAAAGTCATAATTATTAATGCATTCTTCAGCATATTTGGCAGATCTAGGTACAAAAACTTCCCTACCACTTCTCCTTTTGTGATTTTGAGCCTCCAAAGTTTTTTGGGGATTTAAACAAGGAGGAATGGGGTGCCTGGGTGGCTCAGCGATTGAGTGTCTGCCCTCAGCCCAGGGCATGATCCTGGAGTCCCGGATCGAGTCCCACGTCGGGCTCCCTGCATGGAGCCTGCTTCTCCCTCTGCCTCTGTCTCTATGTCTATCATGAATAAATAAATAAAATCCTTAAAAATAAATAAGCAAGAAGGAATATATAAAGTTCATAGCCTAGTGCCTGGGCCAAAATAAGCATTTAATAGACAGAAATTATTTTCCTAAAAGATAAACCTTGATCATTAGAAAGCTGTTGTAACACAGCAAATATACTTAAGTGGTTTGATCTTGGTAAATAGCCTATGTTCCTATGTTGTTCTATGAATTATTAGGGAAAGGTCCAATAATTTTTATTTTGTTTAATATTTCTTTTCCCCTACCCCACAGATATATTGGATGAGCTGAAAAAAGAATACCAAGAAATAGAAAACTCAGAGAAGACCAAAGTCAAGAAATAGTCAACTTGATTTCACATAAGAATGTGTGGCATTTGTTGTTCTGTGAGCTTTTCTGTTGAGAATTTCAGCAAAGATTTGAAAGAGGATTTACTGTATAGGCTTAGCCGGCGGGGACCCGACAGTAGTAAACAGTTGGTAAAGTCTAGCGTTGGCTACCAGTGTTTATTTTCTGGTCATGTCCTTCACTTAAGAGGTGTTCTGACTGCCCAGCCTGTGGAAGATGAAAGAGGCGATGTGTTCCTGTGGAATGGAGAAGTCTTTAGTGGCATAAAGGTTGAAGCTGAAGAGAATGATACTCAAATCATGTTTAACTACCTTTCCTCTTGCAAGAATGAATCTGATATTTTATCACTCTTCTCAGAAGTGCAAGGTCCTTGGTCTTTTATATACTATCAAGCATCCAGTCATCATTTGTGGTTTGGTAGGGACTTTTTTGGTCGCCGTAGCCTGCTTTGGCATTTTAGTGATTTGGGCAGAAGTTTCTGCCTCTCTTCAGTTGGTGCCCAGACATCCAGAGAGGTGAATCAGTGGCAAGAAGTTCCAGCCTCTGGAATTTTCAGAATTGATCTCAAGTCTACTTCCATTTCCAAATCTCTGGTTTTAAAACTGTACCCTTGGAAATCTATTTCTGGGGAGAATGTTATCAAAGAATGTGTTCATAGCCTGATTCAAATTTCAGCAAACTTGCCAACATTTGTATCAGTGGTAGCAAATGAAGCCAAACTATATCTTAAAAAACCTGTTGTTCCTTTAAATACGATGATGCCACAAGCTCCACTTGCAATTCCTTGCATTAGCATCGCTGGTGTCCTACCTACAAGGGAAACACTTCAGAGGCTTCTTACTCATGGACGCATGAAGGAAGTAGTTCAGCAGTTCATTGACGTCCTGAGTGTCTCAGTGAGGAGACGGGTCTTGTGTTTACCCAGGGATGAAAACCTGACACCACGTGAGGCTTTGAAAGCTTGTGATAGGAAAGCAAATGTTGCAATCCTGTTTTCTGGGGGTATCGATTCCATGGTTATTGCAGCCCTTGCTGACCATCACGTACCTTTAGATGAACCCATCGATCTTCTTAACGTGGCTTTCAGGACTAAAGAAAAGACCATATTAACTGGTTTTAACAAAAAGAGGAAAAAACAGAAAAGTCATTGTGAAATACCTTCTGAAGAATCCTCTAAAAATGACAATGATAGTCCTGATAAACAGTTCTGTGTACCAGATCGTGTCACAGGAAGAGTAGGCCTGAAGGAACTGCAAGCGGCTAACCCTGCCCGGATTTGGAATTTTGTTGAAATTAATGTTTCTCTGGAAGAACTGCAAGAATTAAGAAGAACTCAAATATGCCACTTAGTCCAGCCCTTGGACACAGTGTTGGATGATAGCATTGGCTGTGCAGTCTGGTTTGCTTCTAGAGGAGTTGGTTGGTTAGTGACCCAGGATGGGGTGAGGTCCTATCAGAGCGCTGCAAAGGTACGTCACAGTAGGTCTGCTCGGAGGAATTCTGAGACCTAATTTTGACCCTTTAAAGCTATTAGTGTGTAGATTGCAAGAATATAGCATGTTTTAATTGCGTTTAAACTGCAGTGCAACGTGTAAGACTTTTTTTAAATTGGGCATACTTTACTATTTTATGGCTTCCCTTGTATTTTGTCAGAAAATGTTACTGTTGAGATTATAACTTTTTAGGCTTTGCTTTTATTTTATTTTCTTTATCTTGTATGGAAAACGTGGATTTCTTTAAACTGTTACAGGTAGTTCTTACTGGAATTGGTGCTGATGAGCAACTTGCAGGTTATTCTCGCCATCGCATGCGCTTTCAGACACATGGGATGGAAGGATTAAATGAGGAAATTGAGATGGAACTGGGACGAATATCGTCTAGAAATCTTGGTCGTGATGACAGAGTTATTGGCGATCACGGAAAAGAAGCAAGGTAATTCTAATTAAGTACTGTGGCTAGTTTTCTCAAAACACTGCACCATAAAAGGAGATTTTTCAGTTCCTTTTCTTTGGAGACTGTTCAAATGAATAACAGCAGCACAACAGTATCTTGGCTTTATGCTACACACCGTCCATCAGGGGGAGAGCTGTGGAGGGGCCGGGGGAGCTGTTGTTTTCCAGAACTCATTCTCTACGAAATGTCTTTCCAGTAATTTTCAAAGGTAATACACTGACGTGATTGTTCTCCATACTACAATGAAAAGGTCTGTAAACCTGAGATAGAGAAATGCTGAGATGAGGTACTTAAAGGGTAAGAGCCGAGGCCCTAGGCCGACACTTCCCCCTCCAGGGTCAGAGCACCCGGCTTTGCCTCTGGACGTTCCTGTAAGTATCGGGCCAGACTGACGTAAACGGTGGTTCCAGTACTGGATTCCCCTCTGCTGTGTGTTCTGAACTCCGTTTGTTCTGATGTTGCAGATTACCTAAAACTTTCAAAGAGATCAAGGCACTTTCATATGTATATTCTTTCTTAATTCGGGAGTTTATTTTTACCTATGCTGTATCTGATGGTGGCAGACAAGAGCTTGGAAACAACTTTTTAAATTATTGAAGATAAAGATACATTATTTACTTCTAGAAAGCAGAAGTTTGGTCAAGTATGTTAATTTATTAAGTGTTTATTACAAGCGTATAAGCATGTGGAAATCAGGAGTCCAAATAAGCTGTGAGAACTGGGACATCGTAGTACAACTACTCCAGCACGTCACTGTTTCTTAACTCTACTTCAGCTTTTTACAGCTTTTTAGTGTGTGTATATATGGTTTTTATAATGCGATATGTAATATGTATAAATACTGTAAAATATTTTCCTTTGGAGGTTATATGTATTTGAGAGAGAGAAATTCAGTCCTTTATTTCAGGTAGGTCAGAGAAAAGGGATTTTATTTTATTTAGTAAAAGCAGTTAATTCTAAAGGCCCAATATGATAATGTAAAAGTGCATATGAAGAATGTTGGGAGACAGCGAATACAGAATTGTGATTTAACAAATACTATGGTAGTGGCTAGATCTGAATCAATTTATTATGTATTTTGGCATACATATTAACAGTGATCAATTGATTAGATTATCTTATATGTAAAATTGTTTTTGCATTTCTTTTTAAGAAAATATTCCATATAACATGCCTTTACCCTTCCCAGACTCTATTTGAGCAAGAATAAAATGTAATGAAATAGAAACACTACAGTATTGCATTTAAAGAATTGGAGGGAGAGTTGTAAAGTATTTTAAACAAAAACTAGAATTTTTTAGGAAATTAGGGAAGCCAAGGGACAGAAAGTTATTTTTTTAATCTAATACTTTGTTCTGTTATAGCATTTATCTCCATTTAAAAATGGCTTAATGTAATCAATTTTTAAGGGTTTATTTCTGAGAGTGAAAGAGAGCATGAGTGGGAGGGGCAAAGGGAGAGAGAGAATCAAGCAGACTCGTTCGCTGCTGAGCGTAGAGCCCCATGTGGGCTCAGTCCCATGACCATAAGCTCATGACCTGAGCTGAAACCAAGAGTTGGACACTTAACCGACTGTGCCACCCAGGCGCCCCAACAAACTTTTTTTAGAGATCTATTCATTTCAGAGAGAGCGTGTGTGCAGGAGCTCGAGCAGGAGGAAGGGCAGAGCAAGAAGGGAAGGAGACTCCTTGCCGAGTGCAGAGCTAGACTGGGGCTCAGTCTCCCACTGGGAGATCATGACCTGAGCCTAAGCCAAGAGTTGCACCCAACTACTGAGGCACCCAGGCACCCCAAAACAATTTTGATACCGTAAAATTTTACCATAAGTAAATGTTTCCCAATCTCAGGATTATAGAGCCCTTCTGTATTGATTTCATACCTCTCAAATCCATTTCATTTGACGTGATAAAGAGCAGACACAGCTTGAATAATTGAGTCAAGACTGTAGTTGTTTTCAAGGCATCCCCAAAGAAACCTTGTGAAACAAGGATTGTTCCTTCCCATAGGCCTGATTTATTTATTTTTTGAGGCAAAATTCATTTGGTAGCATATGTATTAAAATTAGTGGCATGAAGTAGTTGTTAATGTGATTAAATTTCACCTGTGAAGTTGTGTAAATAACCAGAATATTTTTTGAGAAAAAGTGTCATCAAAAATTAATTTGATGCTATAAATTTTAACATTGAATAAAATGCAGAAGAAACAATTATCACAATTTTTTTTCATATAGTAGTTATATTTATCTATTTGTTTTAGATTTCCTTTCCTGGATGAAAATGTCGTCTCCTTTCTAAATTCCCTACCAGTTTGGAAAAAGGCAGACTTGACTTTACCCCGTGGAATTGGTGAAAAACTGATTCTGCGTCTTGCAGCAGTGGAACTTGGCTTAACAACCTGTGCTCTTCTGCCAAAACGGGCCATGCAGTTTGGATCCAGAATTGCAAAAATGGAAAAGAATAATGAAAAGGCATCTGATAAATGTGGAAGGCTCCAGGTCATTTCCTTAGAAGACCTCTCTATTGAAAAGGAGATTGAAGTGTAATATTTCACGACGTAACAGCATTTGCTGGATGATGATTGTGTAAAAATAAAACACTATGCTGCTTTATTATCATATAATGTAGTGGTATTGAGGTTCATTATATGAGGGCTTACTTAGCTATATAACTTACCAATTTAGTCAAATTGACACTGGAGAAAAAGAGATAATACTTGAAAGAGCAACTTGGATGATTAAAGCTGTGACACAACATCCCTCTGAGCTCTTCGTGGTCGGGTCCCACCGGCAGCACTAGGAGAAGACGGCCTTTACCAGTTCTTCATGGTGGCTGTGTCCAGAAATATCTCAGTTTGTGGCTGTTGTCCGGGGCCTGGCGTAAACAGGGCTCTGTTGGAAGACGAGAGCACCGAAGTTCAGAGAAGCTGTGCACTTTGCTTGAGGTTCACACTCCTGAGCGATGCCCATCACTTCTGTTCCATCTTTTAAGCAGCTAATTTTCCCCTCTCAGAACTTCTGACTCTTAAGCGTTCTGTTCCACAAATCTCTAGTCTCCCTCCCTTTGCCCTGTTCTCAGCTCATGACCTGAGCTGCTCAGAGATTTCAGTTTTCAGGACAAGAAACCCCTCCGCTCTCCAACACCAGAACTTCTAATGTACGTGTAGGTACAGTGTCCTTTTCTCCCTTCTCGTCCTTAGAAAGGGAAATGGGTCCATCTACCCATCAGAAGGCTGTGCCTGTACCTGTTCTCTGTATCCCCACCCTTCTTGTCCTACCGGAACCTTATACTCTCCTCTCTGCAGTGTCTTCAGCCTCTTCTCTGTAGGATCCTTCCTATCATCATTTAAAGTGCTCTGGCCTAGCCAACATAGAATGCACATGCCTGGTTCTGTGTCTTCTCTGCTCATCATCTCTTGCGTCCCGTCCTGTCCACTCTCACTTCTCCACCTTTTCATCTCCACTCCACTCCTGCCTAACGGTAGTCCACTGAGAGCACCATACCAAGGTCACCAGAGTCTGTCCCCAATTAGGGCTGACACCCTTTCTGGATCTGGACAAACTTTGGTTCTTTTCATCTTGGCAGGAAAGCAGTTTTAGGATTTTGACAAACAAGCCTGTCAAAGACTCAAGTGCCCTGAATCGATCCTCTGATAAATGCAACGTTCAAACCGTAATGAGATCTTACTGTAATAGCTTTTACCCCTTTACCTGAGGGTAGACCACTTCAAGTCTCTATGTGGCCTGAGCACCAGGTTGACATTGCTGCTATCCGGAATAGATAAACCAGGAGATTTGACCACCAGCCTAGATTTGAATATAATCATAATTTTTATAATAACAACATAGTTCGATACTGAAAACATCTATCATTTCTATAGTGATGATTATGTGGCGGGCACTATAGGAGCCTTACATGTAAATCCAGGACAACCGCTAGGGAATTTCTGGCAGAATCCTGCCTGCAGGTTGTCTCTTTAGTCCCCAGAGAGACTGATTCTTTAGAACCTTCTTGCTGCTTCATCCCATGAACCCTGGGATGCAGTTCTGTGTCCGTCCTTAAACAGCTTTCCCAGATTTAAGATGCTTAGCGCAAGCCATCTGAGTCCCTGAGCAAAAAACAAGCAGAAGGAGTTCTATATATTGTAAGTGCAAGCATGCAAATCTGTGAAAGAAGCTGACTTACACCCCTGCCCTGGAGCGGCAAGCATCAATTTCTGCTGCTACGTCTACAGCCACTAAAATCGTGACTTGGTTGCACCAAGAGAAATTCTGCCCCCAAATTGTCACTGAAACATCCATGTTGGTAAACTCTGGACAAGTTAAGTTACCCCCTTGACCCACTGGCCCGATGAGACTGGGAGGTCCCTTATCGATGGAACCCTTCTGGCTGCTGTGCCCAGTCTCAGTTTTCCTCCTGCCTTGGCTGCTTTTGGTGGTCTTTGCTGGCTCCATTCTCTTCGCCTGATTTTTAGATACTGAATTTCTCAGGTTTCCATCCTGGGTTCCAAACTTTTCTTCTTAACTCTTTCCCTTGGTCACTTTCCCTTTTCTGCCAGTCCTTGTTTTCACATGCCCTAAGCGTCCCCAAATGTATGCACGTCCCCCTTCCTGCCGTTCCTGGCCAACACCTGAGTACTTGAGCTGGACCTGGCATCTCCACCTGGTTCTCATTGGTACCCTGAGGTCAGTGTGTCCACAGCTGAGCTAATCTTGCCCCGATTCCCCATTTCCCCTGACAAATCCGTGTCATCTGGACCACCTTTCTGAAAACACCGCACCCCCACTGGGTCTGCGGCCACACCATCATTTCTCCAGCCCTTCCCCGCCTGCACCTCCACGGCCACATCAGTCTGCACATCCGCTGCACCAACCGAGCCTAGACTTAGGAATGAAGTTCAGAGTCATGAGCTCAGCGACCTAGTGTTTAGAGAGAGCCGCAGGTGCCTCCATGACCCGATTTGTGCCCGGGTCTCTCGCTCTTTAAGCAGGGTTTTGTGGGGTTTCTCAGGAAGCTCCACTGTGCTCTCCGTCGGGCTCTCCTCACCCGTTTCCCGTCCCTGGAAGGCTGTTCGTGGGCCTGGCAGCCCCCTCCCCGTCGGGCCCAGTCTGCAGACCCAGCTGCCCTGGGCCCTGCCGGCCTCCTGGGGAGCCGCCCTTGCCGCACCTGTGTGAGCCCGTTCAGGGACCCGTGCTGCGCTCCGGGGCCCCGCGGCCCGCGCTGCCTCACAATGGGCCGCTGCGTGGACGTTCGCTGGGCTCCGGGGCGACGCGGAGGTGGGATTCGGAGCCGGGCGCCCGCACCTGTGCCTCGCACCTGCGCCCCGGGGATGCCCTAGAGGCCAGGCGGGCCTTGAACGGTGAGGGGAGGAGACCCTGCGGGCGGGGGCTCGGAGGGGAGGCCGCCGCCCTGTCTGCAGTGGTCCTGCCCACCCCACGCCGGCCGGGCGGTGCCCATGGGGTGGCCGGACCATCCCCGCCCCTGGGGTCCTCCCCGCCCCCCCCCGGGGGTCCTCCTCTCCCGGGGTCCTCACCCCCCCGTCCTCCCCTCCTGGGGTCCTCCCCCGCCCCGGGGTCCTCTCATCTCAGGATCCTCAGTCATCCTCCTCCCCATCCTCCCCGCCCAGCATCTGTCCCCCCATCCTCCCCCTCCACCCAGCATCCTACCCCCTCGTCCCTTCCCAGCATCCTCTCTCCCGGGTCCTCCCCCTCAGAGTCCTCCCCCCTCATCCTCCCCTCCCAGGGTCTTCCTTCGGGTCCTCCTCTCCCGGGGTCATCACCACCCAGGGTCCTCCCCGCCCAGCATCCAACCCCCCAGTCCTCCCTCCGGGTCCCCCTCCGTCCTCCCCACCCAGCATCCTCCCCCGCCAGAGCCCCGGGGTCCTCCTCGAGTCCTCCCCCCGTCCACCCCATCCCCGTCCTCCCCCCTCAGCATCCTCCCCCCGCGAGTCCTCCCCTCAGGTCCATCCCCCTTCACCCCCCAAACAAAAGCCTACACAAGGGATCCCTGTGTGGTGCAGCGGTTTGGCGCCTGCCTTTGGCCTGGGGCGCGATCCTGGAGACCCGGGATTGAATCCCATGTCGGGCTCCCAGCATGGAGCCTGCTTCTCCCTCTGCCTGTGTCTCTGCCTCTCTGTCTCTCTGTGTGTGACTATCATGAATAAATAAATAAAATCTTAAAAAAAAAAAAAAGCCTACACAAGCCCATAAATACAGGGAACAGATAGGTGGTTGCCAAAGGAGTGGGCCGGGGGGCAAAATACAAGCCTCCAGCTGTAAGACAAATAAGTCATGGGGGCATGACGTGGAGCACGGCAACTATAGTTAACAATGCACTGCATTTTGAAAAGTTGCTGCGAGAGCAAATTTTAAAAGTAGGTATCACACAAAAAAAAAACCCACAATTTTGTAACTATGGTGACGCTGCTGGCCAGGCTTATTGTGGCAATCACTTCAAAATACGTTCAGATCTTGGATCACTGTTCTGTAGATCTCAAACTACCGTTTGAATATTACACCTCAATCGTTAAAAATGTTCTTTAAAAAAATTGAAAACATTACACCATGAAACGACTTAATAAAGGTAACGGTACAGATTTATATCTTGACAAATCCAGCTTTGTCACCACGGCAAATTTCATTGCCTTTTCCTTTTTGTTCATTGCAGGAACTTCGGAAAGGCCATGCACAATTAACATGAAATGTTAAGATTGCCCAAAAAAGGGTTACCTAGATTTGATCAAAACCAAGATGAAGACACCTACCTGGAAAACTTGGCAGTACAGAGAAATGCTTCTGCTTTCTTTGAAAAATATGATCGGAGTGAAGTCCAAGAGTTGCTGACCACCACCCTGGTCAGCTGGTTGTCCGCCAAAGACGACGTCCGCTCTCAGTTGGACCTGCCGTGTGGAATCATGAGCCAGATGAACAATGTGGGTTTCTCCACTGCAATCCTGCTGACCCCCATGGACCCGACGGCTCTCTTGGACTACAGAGAAGTCCATCAAATCATACGGGAACTGGCCGTCGGGATTTACTGCCTGAACCAAATCCCCTCAATCAGTTTAGAAGCTAACTACGACCAGAGCTCCACCTGCCAGTTGCCTCCAGCTTACTATGATACCCGAGTTGGGCAAATTCTGATCACCGTTGACTACATGCTGAAGGCGCTGTGGCACGGGCTCTACATGCCCAAGGAAAAACGGGCCAGGTTCTCGGAGTTGTGGCGGACTGTCATGGACATTGACCCAGACGGAAAGCCGCAAACACACAAAGACATTTTTGCAGAGTTCAGTGCGGCAGGTAAGAGAATTTAACAAGCGCTGTCTTTATTAGAAGCCATATTTCTAAAGTGATTTATCTTTGTCTCGGTTGGAGTTTTCAGCTGATGCCTTTTGTCTTACGGAGCCTCAGTAGGAAAATGCGAAATCGGGCCACGAGTAGAATTCAGGTGCAGAGAGAAAAGTCTCCAGACTTGCAAGCAAAGTGCCAGATTGGCGAAGCGTTGCCACTTTAGCGACCTCAAAAATAAATGACGTGAGAGTTGCAGTCAAGGACGGACGGGCATCAGCACTCAGATTTGGCCTTTTAGTGGCATTTGTTTTAAGAAGCAGTTGTTCTTTGACGTCACGTGCATGGCAGGAGCCAGCAATAGGTTTTAGGGAGGCTGTAATCTTGTCTGCAGCTAATAAGGCCGACGGTTTGTCCTCTGGGAATGGACCGTCGCTCGGCGTCCCCTCCCTGACTGTCCTGAGGACACGTCTGTTGCCCAGGGAGTGCATCGCTCGGCTGCGCTTGAGGAGGCTCAGGTCGGAGACAGCCTGGTGGGTCCCGTGCGGCCTCGGTGTGGTGGAAGCTCTGGCGACCTTAGGCCAAGGGGGGACATGCCTAATGCTCCCCCTAACTAGCGGGTTTCCATTGGCGGGATAGAGCTGATGACAGGAACTCTTCATGGTATTTCAGGTGGAAGTGAATCATTTTTTCCTGAATTATCCACGTAAGTGGGGACAACGTGGCCTCAGGGTCCCTTGAGTTGGCAGCAGACGTCCGGCCGCTAACGCAGACTCCGCTTCTTAGCTTTTCAATAAGACGCGGAACAATTATAGCCACTCGATATGTAGTACGGCCAGTAGGGTTAGGGAGTCTGACGGCTGCCCACGGTCCCCCCACCCCGGCCACATCAGGGTCTACACACGCACATGCAGGACTCACAGGCGTGCTCCAAGCGGACTCTGATCTCTTCACTTTTCTAATTCTCGTTGAGCTTTTATTTCTAGCGGAGACACACAAGTCAGTCTGACGTCAAGGACCATCACCCAGTCCCCTGGGGCGCACAGGCCCGGAAAAGCCGCTAACCCGCGGGCTCAGCCTGCTTCGGGCCCAAGTCGCCGGCACAGCGTAGGCACCATCGGTGTCCTTAGGCGGCATCAAGGGGCCGGATGGGTGCCCACCTGCTCTGAAAGATTTACCTGCGTCTTTAGTCACTGGAGAGCGAGGGACAGAGCGGGATGGGGGGGCCTGCAGCGCCCGAGCCCCACAAGCCCCATGACCCTGGGTCACGGCCTGGCCGCACAAAGTGAGGTCACCCGCCTGACCCCCACCTGGGCCCCGGGGCTCCCTGCGTCAGGCCGCGGGCTGCAGGCCTGTGTGGGGTGGGGGCTGTGTCTGGGGTGCTGTCCCCTGGGTGCTGTGCCCTCGAGTGCCGACCCCTGGGTGCTGACCCCTGGGTGCCAAGCCTTGGGTGCTGACCCATTCGTGCTGACCCCTGGGTGCTGTCCCCTCAAGTACTGACCCCTGGGTGCTGACCCTTGGGTGCTGTCCCCTGGGTGCTGTCTCCTGCGTGCTGACTCCTGGGTGCTATCCCCTCAGGTGCTGACCTCTGGGTGCTGACCCCTGGGTGCTGTGCCCTCAGGTGCTGACCCCTGAGTGCTGACCCCTGGGTAGTGACTCCTGGGTGCTATCCCCTCAGGTGCTGACCCCTGGGTGCTGTGCCCTCGGGTGCTGACCTCTGGGTGCTGACCCCTGGGTACTGACCCCTGGGTGCTGACCCCTGGGTGCTGACTCCTGGGTGCTGTCACCTTGGGTGCTGACCCCTGGGTGCTGTGCCCTCGGGTGCTGACCCCTGGGTGCTGTCTCCCCTGGGTGCGGCCCCGAAGCACTAGGATCCTGGCGCTTAGACCCTCCGGGGCCACTCGGGTGACGTGAATCAAGCGTCTTTAAATCAAGATGTCACCTTGGCCGTTGAGGCCCCTCGGGCCCGGGGCTCATCCCTGCAGGTCAGCAGGACAGCTGAGGTGGCCAGGGTCGCCTGCCTGCCCAGCTGTTCGGCTGCTTCCGTGACCGATGCAAGGCAGGAGCTTGGTGAGGACCGAGCTCCGTGCAGGTGAAGGAGCGACAGCAGCGACAGTGGCTTTGGGGACGTTTGAGACTTGACCATCCTGACGGAGCTGGGTTGGCTCTTGGGTCCCTGCGGCAATGGTGCTGGAAGCTCGTTCCCACCAGCGAGGCCGCCCGTGGGTGCTCCCCCCCAAGGAGCAGAACGCTGCTCTGAGCTTCGGACTTTAGGGGAAGGGCCCGTAGGAGTCGGTGTGCACCCTCGGGGGGGGAGGTGCACGGGGTACCCGCCTGGCCGAGCCCCAGCGCCCCCGGGTCTCTGCTGACCGTGTCGACAATAAAGGGCGAGACCAGCAGGAGGGGGCAGCGGCCGGCGAGTGACTAAGAACACGGACGACGGGAGCGGGCCCACGAGCGAATCCACGGCCTCCGGCTGGCCTGGGGCTCCTGGTGCCATCGGGGCTCCCCCAAGGGACCTGTCACGGCCACGCTCCCGGTGACAGTGTCACGGTCGCAGTCTAACGGGGCGCAGGGGAGGGGGGCCACCGGGACTAAGGGGCCTGCAGGCTGTGCGAACTCTGGCTCGGCGTGGCTCCGAGCAGCGACAGCCACGGGCAGGGCGTGGGCACCCTCCCCGCCGTCCCACGTCGCCCTAGGGCCCTGCGGCTTCCGGGGACCCCGGGCTCAGAGCTGCTCGAAGAGCTCGGGCTTCGCACGGTGCGTCACCAGACGAGACAGGGGTCAGTATTTCATGGCCAATGCCTGGGGACCCGGGCCAGGCCGTCGAGGCTCAGGCTCCTGCCCGCTGCGCTTGAGCGATGCCGCAAGTGTCTCCAAATGCGGCCACCCCTCCACGTGCCCGCTGAAGCCCTTCACGACACCAGCTGCCTGGCCATGAAGACGAGCAGCATCGGGCAGGGGCTCCTCTCCTGCGGCCCTGGGAGTCCCTACGGGCCACCACTGCCACCCAGGCCGCCAGGCCTGCCCCAGGGTCCTGTGTCACCCAGGCCTCCAGGCCCCCCCCCTCGGTGTCACCCAGGCCTCCAGGCCCCCCCTTGGTGCTGCACAAATGATGGGAACTAACCGAGGAGAACACCCCGCAGACATTCTGGGGGACCCACGAGGCAGGAGGACACGTGGGCTCCCCATCATGTACCGCATCGGAGCATCGCTGTGAAACCTTGCAGGCCTGAGAGCCAGGCCTGGGGACGCACCTTGACTCGGGCTGTGGCCCTTCATGCCGCACCGGCAGGAAGCAGCAGGTCAGGAGCTGTAGGGGAGCAATGTCTTCGGCCCAGGCTGCCCCCCAATTTGCGCCTGAAAGGAGGGCTGAAATCGGGGTGGGTTACGGGAAACAACTCCAAGGAAGGGAAGGAGGGACAGGAAGAGGTGAGTGCAGGGGGCAGCAGTCCCGGGAGCCCCGCTGAGCGTCCCCGGCCATCGGCTGTCTGGGGAGTCGCGTGGGGCCACCCCGAAGCTGGCGCCCAGGGACGAGGGGGGTAGGGTGAGCCCTGGCTCGGGTCCCGGGGTTGCCTGGAGCACAGGGACTAGCGGCCCCGGGAAGTCAGCCCAGGGATGGGGGGTACAGCCCATGGGGGCAGCACAGCATCGGGCTTTCGGGGCGAGGCTGGTGAAGGCCACAGCAGGGAGCAGGCCGGGCAGGGCCAGGGGGGCGCGAGACCCCAAGGTGCCCATGCGGGGGGATGCCCGTCCTCCCAGGGCTCCAGAGGACAAGGAATCCGGCCTCCGCTGCCTGGGCAGGGCCCTGGGGGCCAGTGTCGCCCTGCAGGGACAGGCTGGTGACAAGAGGCCCGCATTGGCCCCCAGGTGCCTCCTGCCCTGCTGCCTGCAGCCTGGGTCCACCTGCCCCGCCCCCGGCCCTAAACCTCAGGCTGCCGAGAAGCAGAGAAAGCAGGCTCGGGGGCAGGAAGGAGGTCATGCTCGGGCACCTCCGTGACCTTCGGGGGGCAGACGAGGCCTCGAGGTCAAGTCCAGGAGCAGGAGGGGGGACACCCAGGGTGCCCATCGCCGCCTCCCACCTCCGCAGCATCTGATTTTTAAAATTCAATCCTTTCTTGTTTTTGACTTTATTATGACTTTGCACCTATGATCTGCATGACGTGTTGTGGTCACATTTCCTTTTTTTAATGACTCTTTGTCTCTTGTGACACGAACTGTGTCATTAAGAAAATTAGCTGAGTTCTCCGATGCGGCCCCAAACTTTAGACCAGGAATCTTGAACTCCTCCCAGGAACTGACATAGGAGGCCGCGCAGCGATTCCGGGGGCTCCCTGGGCCGAACCCCCGACGGCGTGTTCAGGCACCTGCCCTCACCCCCGGGCCTTGGCCCTACCCCCCCACCCCCATCCCTCCTCCCCTCTTCCCTCCTCCCCCTCCCCCTCCCATCCCTCCTCCCTCCTCCCCCTCACATCCCTCCTCCCTCTTCCTCCTCCCATCCCTCCTCCCTCACCCTCCTCCTCTCTTCCCTCCTCCCCATCCCCCATCCTTCTCCCTCCCTCCCTCCTTCTTCCTCCCCTCTGCCCTCCTCCCTCCCATCTTCCTCCCTCCCATCCTCCTCCCTTCCCCCTCCCGTCCCTCCTCCCCCATCCTCCTCCCTCCCTCCTCCCTTTCTTCCCTCCTCCCCCTCCACCCTCCCTTCCCTCCTCACCTCAGGCTACAAAGTTTGAGAGATGTCAACAACACCTTGGCTTATGTTCAGATTTTTTTTAATTGTTAGAAATACATTAATTTCTTTATAATTTCTTAATTTAACTTTTGCAAAAGGAAAGTGAATCATAGTGGCCATTTAAAAATCCAAGTGTATTCTAGCATTTTGCACTTGTTTAATAGATTTGAGGAAAACAAAAAGGAAAAAGAAAGGGAGGCATATTGATGTACCATTTACACTTTTAAGGTGTCTTGTGTTACAGACTCCAGATGTTCTACATATTTTATGATTTTGTGCAGTTTTCTAAAGCTTAGATTAAGGGTAACATTACATGTGTAAATGTCCTTAAAAAGACAATTTGACGGGGAACCCTGAGTGGCGCAGCGGTTTAGCGCCTGCCTTTGGCCCAGGGCACGATCCTGGAGACCCGGGATCGAATCCCACGTCAGGCTCCCGGTGCATGGAGCCTGCTTCTCCCTCTGCCTGTGTCTCTGCCTCTCTCTCTCTCTGTGTGACTATCATAAATAAATAAATTTAAAAAAAAGACAACTTGACAACCAGGAAGTCCTTAATTTTGTCATAAATGGGAAGAAAATGAAACAGGATATTTGTCACTTATAATAGAGTAAAATCAAGTTTTAATTCTTATTTAATCACAATTAGCAGGAAAGTTCTGTATCACATATGTTTAGCTTCCGATATCAGCAAAAACAAGAAATGTGTAATATAAGGCTTGAAAAAGCAAATGATACTTTTTTTTTAGCCAAGTGAGAAGCTGAATCCCTGCTTAAAGGGAGATCACATTTTTTGTTCTTCCATAGTTAGCCTGATTAAGTATGGGGCTTACATTGTTTCCATGGTACCGTATTTGTATTTCTTTCCTCCAAAGGGCATGGAAAGTTAATTCTCCAAGTGTCCATCCTTCTAACTGCTTAGCTACCACTCCTCTACATGCTATTCATCTTTAACAATGTTTTGGCATCTCACTATTCCTTTATTGTCACTTTAGTAGGATTTCAAGATGAAGCTCAGTGTTCAAACTACTCCATTATCCAGAAGCCACATATGATGTTATCATTATCTAAAATTTTTCTTTTTTACTGTGAAGGTTTGGTTGATATTACAAAAGATCCAGACTTTAATGGAATCTATGATGAAGACATGAATGAAGATCCAACATATGATCCCAATAGCCCTGAAGAAAAGGCCGTTTTTATGAAATATGCTGAAAACATTATGCTAAAGTTGACATTCAGTACCACACAAGTTCAACAGTATGAAAATGTCTTTATATTTGAAACAGCCTATTGGCTTACTAACGCTATAAAATATAATCAGGATTATCTTGATATTTGTACCTACCAGAGGCTACAGCAAAGGTTATATCTTCAGAAAAAGGTTATTCAAAAACACTTTGAGAAGAAAAAAGAAATCAGAAAAGGGATAGGATACCTAAAGCTAATATGTTTTCTGACTCCATTTCTACTGAGTTTAAAAAAGAAGATGAAAGTTCCATATTTAAGTAGTCTACTTCAGCCTTTTTCAGGTAAGTATATCACCATAAATCAAATATAAAATAATTATGTATGTGTGTGTGTGTATAACATATATATATGTTAAATTTATTTTTTTACTTTGTTAATTTTTTTTGTTAAATTTATATTTAAATTCAATTTTGTTTGTAGTGAGTGAGTCCAGGCATGTGATTTTGCTGTAGCCTGTTAAGAAAAACAAAATTTAATTTCTCTAAGTAGTTTAAAATACTTGCTATATGTATTTGATATATATTTATACCAATTGTATGGGCTATCAGAAGACTTAAAACAAATTCTGAAAAAAATAGAGAAATATGGCATGTTCATGATGGCACAACCTGTGAATATGTCATATCTGATCGATAAACCTACAAATTCAATGCACTTCTATGCAAAATCCCTATTGTGTTTTTCATGAAAGTTTGTGAATTGACTCTGAAAGTAATATGGAGCAGTAAAGGATCACGGATGGTATTACATTTCTGAAAAAGAGATGAAAACATATTTTAAAACTTTAATGCGTTAGCACTGTTCTACACAAATAAACCAATGTAAGAAAATAGAGAGCAGAAATAGGACTGTACCTACGTGGACTTTGACAAGAATGTAGTGCAAACTATTCCTCCCACCCAGGTTAGCGCACAATTTATATATTTTCATTGATGCCCAAACATGTAGACTTATCATGGCAGGCTTTCTATTCAGGTGGCAAATTTTCAGTAGAAATTTTGCAAATCATGTACCGAAAATTTGTATCATGGGCATTCAAATGGTCAAAATTATTATGCTTATCTGTGTGTGAACTACTTAAAAATGGGCTCATGACAATTCTCGTCCGGGGGTACAGGTAGGAGAGCAGTGTGTATGGAACTGAAAGGTCTTTGATTAAAGAGAACGTTAGCTATATCTGTAGTGTTTTATTACTTAGATTATTGGAAGCAAATATGACTAAATGTTAATAGTTAATTCCAGGTGGTGATATTAAGGTGTCGTATTATTCATCGTAGTTTTCTGTACCTTTTACATTTCTCCAAATACATTAAATACCTTACACTGATGAAACTGTATTCTGCTAATAAGTCAAAATATTGAACAAACCTAATCATTACTGGAGCTTTAGAAAATTATTTTTCTAAAATAAATGTTATATGTGTGGTTTTATTACTTTCCAACAAAGTGAGCTAGTTATTTTTGTCAGTGAAAAATACCCACCTATTTCTTTTCTTAATGTCTCTTTTTGCCTAAATTAGGTCAGGTTAAGCTTTTATTTAGCCAAGGATTCTCTGAGGCATAGTTTGTTTTATTTTTTGTTTTTTGGGGTTTAGCCAAAGATTCTCTGAGGCATAGGTTGTTGGGTTTTTTTTTTTGTTTTTTGTTTTTTGTTTTTTGTTTTTTTTTTTGTTTTTTGAGGCATAGTTTTAACCTTTTTCTGACAATTAGAGGTAAGACATTAGTCTTGAACTCACATATAAAAATCAATAAGTAGAATAATGTTTTGACCATTCTGTTAAAATGTGTATACAAACTATAGAAAATGCCCAAAATGAATGATATAAACATATTGTTGTGTTTAAGATATGTACTAAGACCATGATTCATACACTATAATTGCCAAGATTTTCATTTAATGGGGATTTTTTTTCACTTGGTTTGTGTAAATGAAAATCTAGATCTTCAAAATTTGATTGTGTACGTGTTTTCACTTTTTTTTATTTTTTTATGAAACTTTGTTTAAATGAAACTTTGTTTAAATGAAACTTTGTTTTCATTGTTGGAGATGACAAGGTCAAGACAGAGCGAGAATTGCCTCCATTTATTTATGGACGAGACTTTAAATGCCAGCACTTTCACTACAAAGAGGATCAATATTTTCATGTTCATGGAGGAATTGAATTTGATATCAGCACACCTTCAATTGAGAATGCTTTGGAAGATTTTAAGGTTTAAATTATTGTTGTTCCTGAAATTATTGTTTGTCACTTCACAATTCATTTTATCTTATTCTCCATCCAGAAAGAGTCTCTGTTGGCACAGGCACTAGGCCGGGCTCCCAGTGGTTATCTTTCTAACTCACTAATTTTTTCATACATGTAACATGCTTGAGTTAAGTGCAACTGCATCTGAGGCATGTTAGGTGTCAGAGATAAAATGATAAATAAGCTAGGTACAACGACCTATTCTCACCAAATTAACAGACTTTTAATCATAGTTGCCCTAAACGTTCATCAAAAGTATCGTAGAGGGATCCCTGGGTGGCGCAGCGGTTTGGCGCCTGCCTTTGGCCCAGGGCGCGATCCTGGAGACCCGGGATCGAATCCCACGTCAGGCTCCCGGTGCATGGAGCCTGCTTCTCCCTCTGCCTGTGTCTCTGCCTCTCTCTCTCTCTATGACTATCGTAAAAAAAAAAAAAAAAAAAAAAACAGCTTCAAAAGTATCGTAGAAATCCTTCAACATTCCCTACATAAAATCTTCCATTTTCCTTGAGGATTAGTATTAGAAGAGAGACCCTCTAGAGTTTAGGAACAACAATCTAATCTAGAATTTAATATAAACATTATAACATTTGAGTAATTGTTGCTTTTCTACCTTCTTTACATTGTCTTTTCTTTTGTATTTTTTTCCACATTTCCGAAGGTAGGAATTGGATACATGCAGTTATCGTTATAGTCTAGTGGGATATTATACTGAAATTTATCATTTACGATATAAAATTTCATCTAAAAGTAGTCATAATTGTTTAAAGTTGTTTAAAGATATGTTTTTAGTAACGTAACTCCTATTTTAGAACAATTTAGAAAAAATACGGGATTGTGCTGCTAATACATTTGCAGAAGATTCAGGATACAAAGAATATTACTCAATACCAGTCATGGAACTTAATGGAAAAAGGTAAGGAACTTTCAGTAATTACTCACAGTAGCCACAACTTGTTGAAAGCTAGGAGAAAACAAGGAAAGTGTCAAAATGCAAAGGCTAACTTAATACCTCAGCATAAGATGCTAGGACAATAACCCCCATGAATGAAATATAGACTCAACAAAATACTGAATAGCGCATTTGTTACTCATGTTCTTTGTTACATTCTGTGTAATAAGCCTTAGACGTGGGGATCAGTTCTTATGACTATCGCCGTGGTTACATGGGGATGGAGGTAAGGATCAAATCCTGTGGGCCTGCTGAAAAGCAGTGGACTCAGCACAAAGCCCTTTAGTTCCATAAAAAATATGGCTGAGAATGCTCTTCCTCTGCTGGGGCTTGTTATGTGGATCATCTTTTGAAGTTGGATGTTTCTCAAAGTTTGGAATATGAAAAGTTTGGAAGTTTGGAAATTTGGAAGTTTGGAAATACGGAAAGTGGAGCTAGGGGCATTGTTATTAGAAGGTGGAGACTTGAGATTTAGAAGCATATAGAAGTTTCTTTTGTTTTTGGTTTTGTTTTTGTTTTAAGGCATGGAAGTGGCTCAGAGGACAGGACCAAGTCTAGAACTCTGGAGAACCGCAGCTTTTAAATGGGGCGGGGAGAAGCTGAGGAGACAGCCAAGGAGACTGAGAAGGAGTGATACAGGGAGAAGCCCCAAGAAATAGGATAGAGTGGAAGCTAAATGGGGAGAATTTTTAAAATAGAGACGTAGTTAAAAGCATCAAATTCAACAGAGAAAGGGCCATGTTGACTTAAGACTAAAGAGAGCACACCAAATTTGGCAATGACTTGGCAAGAGAATTAGTTCTGGTTAGAAGCTGCGTGTAGTGAGCCGAAGGGTAAAGTTGGGGAGCGAGCGTTCATGAGATGTGACGAAGTAAAGACAAAGATTATAAATTTCTCTCAAGATGCATGGCGGTGGGGAAAATACCAGAAAAAAGGCAGAGGGTGAAGCAGCATAAACAATGAAAGGTAGATCTTTTCACTAATACTGCCTGGATGCGCACATGATACTAGGCCATGCCAAAGACCGTGGGGCTAATGACCTTCATGATTTTGGAGAGAATTACGTAATAGACCCCCGTGCTTCTAGAATGGACAGTTGGCATGCGTCTCTCTGGGGGTGGAAATCTCTCGCTCGGGGATCCAGCGCCTGTTGACATTCTCCACGTACAACCCTTGCCAAGCTACATGGTATCATGGAAGCACTTGTGAATAATGCTCTGTTCGCCCGGGTTGTAGAGTCTGGCTGGAATGCAAAGAATCCGGTGAGGTGAAATCTGCTTGGTAAGAGGTGGGCATGGACGCGGGAATATGCTTGGCAGGAGCTCACTGCCATTGACTCTAGGGGGCTCAGTCCCCTTGTTGGAATGGGGTGCCGTGGTGCAGGCAGCTCTAGTTTCTGACTATGCACATTTGCTCATCAGTGTTGGTGAGTGGTCAATAGCTGGGTGTGCACTTTCAGGCTTTCAACTCCAGCAGGAGCGTGTTTCCCAGACCCAGCCGGCATGGGAAGTGGAGATCATCAGTGGTTTCCCGGTTCCTGTATCAATTCCTAGACGACTTTGAGTTTCATGATCTCCACCTCCAGTGATTCCTAAGACTCCAGGCGCTCCTGCATCAGCTCTCAGGTCCCATGAGCCAGCTGTCCTTTTCTCGTCCGATCCCCTGCTGGGCTCCTGGCGCTCAGCAGGCCCCATGAAAGCAACTCGGTGCCACTGCAGGCACTGCTGGCTCTGACGCTGTCGCTTCTGCTGGTGGGTCTGGTGTTCGGAGTTCGGGGCTGGCTCCTTCTCATGCCCGCTAAGTAGCTCGCATCAACTGTGAGGCATGTTGAAGCCAATCCAATGATTGGATTGTAAGTAAGAGTCAGAATATCTGTTCCCCAATGAAGTGGGAAGAATTTCTTTCCTGATTTTTTTTTATTGGCTTCAAAGAAGTGCTGCCTTGAGGCCCCCCCTTGGTGCAAAAACAACTGTTTTGGTCATTTTGCCAACAGTTGTTCTTTTCTGTGATGCAGGGATCATTCTGTGTTGGTGCTGGACCAGCGAATAGTCTGAATGATTGAAAACATGCATCTTTAAAATCTCCCCTCTTGGGATCCCTGGGTGGCGCAGCGGTTTGGCGCCTGCCTTTGGCCCAGGGCGCGATCCTGGAGACCCGGGATCGAATCCCACATCGGGCTCCCGGTGCATGGAGCCTGCTTCTCCCTCTGCCTGTGTCTCTGCCTCTCTCTCTCTCTCTCTCATGTGACTATCATAAATAAATAAAAATTAAAAAAAAAAACCTATTTGTTAAAAAAAATAAAATAAAATAAAATAAAATCTCCCCTCTTTGATTTTAGGGGCATTGTTATTGGACTGGGCTTATGTATCCTGGTGTTTTCTTTCCTAGAACGCCATATCTCCTGGGAAACCCGTGGTCCCTTTTTTTTTTCTTTTTCTTTTTTTTAAATTTTTAAATTTTTTATTTATTTATGCTTGCACAGAGAGAGAGAGAGAGAGAGAGAGAGAGGCAGAGAGAGAAGCAGGCTCCATGCACCGGGAGCCCGATGTGGGATTCGATCCCGGGTCTCCAGGATTGCGCCCTGGGCCAAAGGCAGGCGCCAAACCGCTGCGCCACCCAGGGATCCCAAACCCGTGGTCCCTTATAAAAGTAGGATCAGTTCTGCTGGCCCTCCAGGCATGCCTGGGAACATCTAAATCCTAGATTCATTTTGGTTCAGGTTGGGTTCTCCTACCATACTAGAATCAAAAAGTAGGGGCCATAGTTAGATACTCAGGATTTGGCCACCCGTAAAAGTATAAGAACTCATAAATTATTAAGGTGACAATAACTGGAGCAAAAAGATTAATTTATGCCAATACTAAAATATCTTTTTTTGGAGGAGAGCGTACCAGCATTATGATACTGTTGTGAATATGAAGAGGCAGGCCGGAAATCATCTTTATGTGATGGAGTGTATCAGGGAAATAGGAATGTAGAAGCTCCTTAGAAACTGGGTACAGGGACGCCTGGGTGGCTCAGTGGTTGAGCGGCTGCCTTGGGCCCAGGTCATGATCTCTGGGTCCTGGGATCGAGTCCTGCATCAGGCTCCCTGCATAGAGCCTGTATCTCCCTCTGCCTGTGTCTCTGCCCCTCTCTCTGTGTCTCTCATGAATAAATAAATAAAATCTTTAAAAAAAAAATAAGAAGAGGCCGGGTACAGATTCCCAGGCAGAAGAATATGAAGGGAGTTACTTTAAAAGTGAGGCTCCCCTATGGTCCCTGCTGATGTGCAGTCCTTGGATGAGGGCTCTCTAGTAACACCTGCCATCTGAGCTTTCCATGCTTCCAGCATCATCTCTGTGTGGGCCAGCGTAGGTTGTGTATCCAACCTTGGGGGGGGGGAGGGGTCACAAAATTCGGTGGTGAGAGATTTTCTCAGGGTATAACCACCTTCACCACCTCTTGCTTCTCCAGTTTCTAGAGTAGGGTACCCCCTCTTGGTTCTAGATGCTTGATGGGATAAGTAAATTGAATTTCTAAAAGAGGCCAACTCACATTCTGTTGGTATTTGTTAAATCTGTGAGTCTGTCATTGCCCGAGCCGTGATCTAAGAGTGCAGCACTGAGTACCCGGGCCCGAGGCATAGTCAGCAGCTTCCGGCCTCATAGTCACTTATCACAGCCAGAGCTAGCTCCCTGGAGCAGCACGTAAGAAGATCTTGGGGGCCCCGGGACTCTGTGGTTGACGCCGGGGCCACTCAAAGACCAAAGGATGTCCTTAGTGTGCTCCCCTGTGCCTGTACCTCTAGAGGCAGTCTTATGGGACTTGGGGTATGTGTTTGTGGTGTCTACTGCTGGTAGCATGTAGGACACCGAGGGAAGTGGTAATTTAGTCATGCATCATAAATCAAGCATCTAGGGATGATTGCCATGGCTCCTTAAGGCCCTAGAACCTACCACCACTGTGATTTGAAAGCCTTCAAATCTGAGTAAGAGTCAGAATATCTGTTCCTCAATTTTGGAGGCTGGGGTCTAAAAAGTTAGGCAAGTCCCCAGTGATGAAGGTGGCACGTCCACAAGTCAGGGCCCATGGGAAACATGACAAGTCCCACCACCTGGGCTGGCACTGTATCTGAAGGTGCGGGTTAAGACAGCCTTTAGTTTATATTTTTGTGGTCTAGTTTCCTTTTGGGAGGACAGGATGGTGGACGGGAAGAGTGACAACCTCAAATAAATGCAAATAGGTCCCCAAATATGCCTCCATCCCTGCAGAGGTCTATTATATTCAGAAAACTGGGATGGAAGTAAAGGTCAAGGAAGAGAGTGCATTAGCCTCTGACCAGCTCATAACAGAGCATTTCCCTTAAACCTCCTTTTTCAATCAAGTGCAATTTATTTATTTATTTATTTATTTTTAAAATTTTATTTATTTATTCATGAGAGATACACAGAGAAAGGCAGAGACACAGGCAGAGGGAGAAGCAGGCTCCATGCCGGGAGCCCAAAGCAGAACTCGATCCCAGGACCCTGGGGTCACGCCCTGAGCCAAGGGCAGAGGCTCAACTGCTGAGCCACTCAGGCACCCCTCAAGTGCAATTTAAACTACAGTTTTATGTTTAATTGTTATAGAAAAATACAGGTTAGTCAGCATAGGGAAAAAAGTAGCAAATGACTTCAAACACAGAAAGATTTATATTTTTTCTTTATTTTTTTATAGCTACTATGTGATCTGTTTTGAACTTGAAACCTTCTATCATCAGCTATATAAGACAAAGTGGTGGGGAGCCATAAATGAAATCGTGAATGTTCTGAAACCGAAAAGACTTCCACTAACAGATGCTCAATTACATGAACAATTTAAGAAAAAATTTGGATTCAAAAAAGCTATGAAATGCAAGGTATTTCAGTAATTATCACATAATTGGTATAGGAAGCTATTATAGATAGTATGTTATTATAGATAAGTACGTGTCTCAAATTTTTATCTTAGGGATAAATATTAGGTTAAATAAAGTTTTCAATATGAAATAAAAATTCCACATTTTGCCAGTGTGGAGGTTATAGATTCCTGGATCATACATTTCTGGTAAGGTATATTTATTGTTATTTCCTTAAGCTAAACTTTAAGTGTATTTTGAAAAAATTTATTCTGGGCCTCTTAATAATTTTAGAGCATCCCGTTTGGTATGAAGTCTGCTGTTGAAAGAGGATTATCTGCTGTTTTCCATACATTTAGCCGTAAAACCTCAAGCTCGACTATCAATGTTTCAGATGAGGCCGGTTACACTATTTTCCATCATGCTGCTCTACACAACAGAGTCGCTGTGATATGTCAACTGTGCAATGCCAACTTCAACGTCAACCAGAGACGTTATGTTATGTTTAGCCAAGGTACCACAAGGTTCTTGAAATTTAAACTGTTTTTCTTTTATTTATTACCACTATTCAGAATTAAGAATATGTGTTAATTTCAGAGCAAGATTATAATTTGGTCTTGGTACCTAGAGCAAAGTGGAGAGTTTTGTTTCTCTTATGTCAGAGGGGCTCCTTGCAGTTCTCAAAGTATCACCTATGTCTCTCCTATAGTAGTATTTATTTGTTTATTGTGTCTCCCTCACTTAAATATGACCCCATAAAAGGCAATGACTTGGTTTACTTTGTTTGCCACAATATCCGAGCGCCTGGAAGACAGCCCGGCATCGTAGGTGCTCAGGAAGCGGTTGTTGGGTGAATGCATGCTGGGGCGCATGCAGGGAAGCATTTGATAATCACTGTGGTAATTAATATGCAGTGATGTCCTATAGAAATTCAGAGAAAAGGTGGATAAATAGAGAACACAACAGGGCATCCGTTTCTTAGCCCAGAGTTCTCAACCAGGGAGTAGTTTCTTCAAAATATGTAAAATTAAATTATAATTAATAAAAAATTATCCATAATAATATTTTTAGATTAATGGCTCCTTTAAGGCTTAGCTTTGACTTTAAAAAAACGTTTTTCCTGATTATTAAGTATGCATACTGATATATGCATTCACGAGAATAAATGTAACCAGTATAAAAATGATAACGTTGAAAATGAAAGCAGAAGACGTCCATAACTGAAGAAGGAAATAGAGATAAAATATCAGGAAGAGCTGATGCCTCAAGACTGGCAATAAGAAATTACAATTTTAGGGATCCCTGGGTGGCGCAGCCGTTTGGCGCCTGCCTTTGGCCCAGGGCGCGATCCTGGAGACCCGGGATCGAATCCCACGTCGGGCTCCCGGTGCATGGAGCCTGCTTCTCCCTCTGTCTGTGTCTCTGCCTCTCTCTCTCTCTCTGTATGACTATCGTAAATAAATAAATAATTTAAATCAACAAAAAGGAAAAAAAAAGAAATTACAATTTTATATTTTAACTAGATTTCTTAAAAAGTTGTGTTAAATTTTCACACACCGAAACAAAATATTCTGCTTTCATCCTGTTGACTACAAATAAATTCTGTTCCCTTATCAATGTAATTAAAATGTCTTGATAGTAAGACGCTTCGATTGGTGACAATAGAGCACAAACTCAGTTAAATGTTGATGCAATGAGTACGCAGCTTTTTACAGACCTACCATAGTAGAAGCCGTTTTTGGTGTGAAAAAATTCATTTGTAAATTGAAGTCTCTCCTTCATCTTGTGACTATTTGGATTTCCATTTGGTGAGAATAGGGTAGATTTTGAAGTATGGAAAATGTGCAAGTCTGCGCACAGGACCCCACAGCTCAGAACCGCGCAGGCCTCGTGGGCGCCTGGGGACAGTGACCCGGGCCACCCCCACTCTCTGCGGGGTCGGCCTCACCGCCTCGCGGTCCTGAGGTCCAAGCGGTACCGCCCTTGGCAGCTGGACGTGGCCGCTTGTTCGTATTCGCAGGAGTCTGTTTTGACTAATGTGGGGAACTGCTGTACATAAATGGTCATACTGCTGTTTTCCTTTTAAAACAGAGTCATCAAAAATGGACACGAAAAGAGAAAGAAACGGTAAGACGCAAGTAAAGTAGCTGGTGCTCGGAAAGCTTATTGCACGTGTTAAAACTCTCCTTATGCTATACAGTCTACCAAATGTCCCCTCACAGGACAATGTCATATAATGATGTTTTTGTATATATTTTGAAGTATTTTTCTGTCCATGTTTATTTATTCATATTTCTCTTAAGTCTTGTGCTTTTTTTTTTTTTTACTTGTGGAATTTGTAGTTACCTCTACTATTTTTATAAAATCAGGCCCCAAAGTGGTTTTTATGCCAAAAAAAAAGGCAGTGACTATTATCCAGATATGCTGCCATCTAGCGACAATAACGATCTGTGAGGTCTGCGGATGAGGCGTTCTTGACTGAGCTGAGAGATGGGACCTAAGTATTGAATACGGGATGAGCACTGGGTGTTATGCTATATGTTGGCAAATTGAACTCCAATTAAAAAAAAAAAGGAAGAAAAAATAAATAAATTAAACAAAAGCCTACTTAAAAAAAAAGAATATGGAGATTCAGAAAACATGTTAAAGGGCCCATCTTCCCTCTATAGATGTCTCTAAAAGACCCCCATGCCTTCATACTCTACACAGGATGATTCAAGGAGGGCTAATTTTTTCAGGTTTTAGCCATATTTAATTGATCAGTGACAACCAGCTTCAGCTTGGTTTCTTTATCCCCAGAACACACAGCCAGCAACACAGTGAACCTGACATGAAAGTGTGAATCATAGCATAATGTAGCCATTCTTCCAACTCAAGAGTTTAACTTCTTTTTTAAATTCCAGCATAGGGATCCCTGGGGGGCTCAGGGGCTAAGTGCCTGCCTTGGGCCCAGGGCATGACCACAGGGTCCTGGGATCGAGTCCCGCCTCGAGCTCCCCACAGGGAGCCTGCTTCTCCCTCTGCCTGTGTCTCCACCTCTCTCTTGGTATCTCTCATGAATAAATACATAAAATCTTTAAAAATAAATTCTAGTACGATTAATGTACAGTTTTATATTAGTTTCAGAGGTATAATACACTGATTCAGCAAGTCTATACATTACTCAGTGCTCATCATGGTCATTGTGGTCTTTAATTCCCATCCTCTACCTCACCCATCCACACTCCTCCCCTCCAGGAACCACCAGTTTGTTCTGAATATTTAAGAGTCTGTTTTTTGTCTCTTTTCTTCTTTGTTTGCTTTGTTTCTTAAATTCCATATATAAGTGAAATCATATAGTATTTGTGTTTCTCCAATCTACCTATTTCACTTCACATTATATTCTCTAGATCCATCCATATTTGCAATGGCAAATGGCATTGCAATGGCAAGATTTCATTCCTTTTCATGGCTGAGTAATATTCCATTATATATATAAAATATATAATCAAATTATATTATATAATTTTATATGCATATATCACATATTTCCCCATTCTTCTATTAATGGACGCTTGGTCTGCTTCCATATGTTGGCTATTGTAAATAATGCTGCAATAAACATAGAGGTCTGTGTAGCCTTTGAATTAGGGTTTTTGAATTCTTTGGGCAAATGCAAATGCAAATGCAAATGCAAATTCTTGGGCAAATGCAATTATCACATAATTGTATGATTGTATAATTGTACAGATAATTGTATCTGATGGTAACTCTATTTTTGATAATAGAGTTGTATAATTGTATCAGATGGTAACTCTATTTTTAATTTTTTGAGGAATGTTTCCATACGGGTTTTCACAATGGCTACACCAGTCTGCGTTCCCACCAACAGTGCATGAGGATTCTTTTTCCTCAGCCACCACACCAATACTTGTTTATTATGTTTTTTATTTTACTCATTCTGATAGGTATGAGGTGATACTTCATTGTGGGTGTGACTTGTATTTCTCTGATAATTAGTGACGTTGAGCATCTCTTCATGTGTCTGTTGGCCATCTGGATGTCTTCTTTAGAGAAATGTCTGTTGGTGTCTTCTGCCCATTTTTAAATTGGATTATTTGTTTGTTGGGTGTTGAGTTTTATAAGTTTTATATATATTTTGGATATTAACCGCTTATCAGTTATATCACTTGCAAATATCTTCTCCCGTTTAGTAGGTTGCCTTTTAGTTTTGTTGATTGTTTCTTTCACTGTGCAGAAGCTCTTTATTTTGATGTGATCCCAATAGTTCTTTTTTGCTTTTGTTTCTTTTGCCTCAGGAGACATATCTAGAAAGATGTTATTGTGGCTGATGTCAGAGCAATTACTGCCCATGAACTCTTCTAGGATTTTTATGGTTTTAGGTCTCACATTTAGATCCTTAATCCACATTGAGTTTAATTTTGTGTGTGGCATAAGAAAGTGGTCCAGGTTCATTCCTCTGCATGTTGCTGTCCAGTTTTCCCAACATGTTGAAGGGATTGTCTTTTTCCCGTTGCATCTTCTTGCTAAGGAGAGTTTATTTTTAAAGAATCCATTTACAAAGAGTTGAAACTCACAGTGGGGAGGGCACTTTTCAAATTAGCCATCTTCCGCTGGTGGAGGAATGCAGCTACCCTGAGATGCTCTTAAGGATAAGTGTGCCGGCCTCTTTCTACCCCTTCTCTGATCTCCTGCCAGCAGTTCCCACTGGCAGACGCTGACAGCCCAAGGACGGGGATTGCAAATTCTGTAGGGTGGGTGGTAAAGGGAGGTGGCTGGGTGGAGGGCCTGGACCTTGCTGGCCCACTCACCCTGTAGAGATTTACAGTTGAGTAACAATAGTGTGCCTCCTGCGTTATTGCTTTCTTTTTTCATTATCTCAGTACCACTTCTCCCTACCTTATAGGATATGCTCCCTCTTTTGTGTCTCCCTCGCTTGAATAAGCTCCATAAATGGCAAGGATTCGGCTCACTTTGCCATGATGTTTTAGTGCCCAGGAGAAAGCCCGGCATTAGTACGTGACTCGGAAGGAGTTGTTAAATGAGTACATGAGTGGATGGTTGTGGGGTAGTATTTGACGATCACTGGCAGAGGTAGCAGAGCGATGTGAGGTAGATATTCAGGAAAAAGGAATAAATACGGCTTTCAGGCTGTAATTTTCCCTAGACCAGGGTTCTCACCCAGAGGATGGCTTCTCCAGACTACAGACACCCCTCCAGGACGTCCTTATTTCTAGCTCTTAGGCCGCTGGTTTTCACCCTTAGCACTGCGGACACCGTGGCCTGGGTAATTCTTTGCAGTGGACGGGCCTCCCCGTGCACTGTGGAGCGTTTCGTATTAATCCCTGAACTCTACCTCTGCAACTAAGAAGACACTATATGTTAATTGAATTTAAATTAAATTAAAAAGTGTCTTTAAAAAAGAAGAGGAATTTTTGGTATGACTCCTGGCTTCCACCCACTAACTGCCAGTTGCAGCCCCCCCCCCCCCGCTCCCCGCACGTGTCACACACAGAAATGTCATCCGCATCGTCCACAGTGTTGGAGGGAGAACACTGTCCCACTCCTCTGGGATAAACTTTCAAGCACAAAAGAACCATCCAGGGATCTGGTTAAAATGCAGATTCTGATTTGGAGGCCCGAGGGGGAGGCCACGGTTCAGCATTTCTAGTAAGAGAGGGATGCAGGAATGGAGGGAGGCGTGGGGGGGCAGGGTGGGGGGCTGCTGCGGTTTTTAGAAAAGTCTCTTCAGGCCATTTGATCTGTTTGTGTTTCCGAGAGCAGCGAGCAGCCTCGGGGAGCCGAGCTCCACATGGACCTGCCGCCCTGGCCCCCGGGGTAGGTGTGCAGGGGTGGTGGAGGGGGTACAGTCGCGGACCCCCCCCCCCAGGTAGGTTAGGCTCCGGTAAGCCGGTCTCTCCTGAGGGCCGGCCTTGTTGAGAAAGCTGGGCTGCTCTCCTGTGTCTCCAGATGGTTCTTCCCCTGCCTCCCAGCCCCCAAGCATAAGGGGGTCTGATGTGCCCTGGAAGGACCTGGTGGAAGGCAGATGCCCTGGACTTTAACTGTGACCGCTGCTGTGGGCCAGCAGCCAGCTGTCTAACGCGGCTGCCACCTGCCGATGTTACCAAACCCCAGGCTCAGCGGCCTGCCAGGCCTCCGGAGCTGGGCTTTGGCGGGAAGGCTGGGGCCCCCTCGAGGCGCCCGCGCCCGGGAGGCTGCTGCGAGGTTCCCGAAGGACATAGGGGCAGGGAGCTCCTCCTGCAGGCGCCAGGCTGTGCAGGCGCGTGATCCTCCCTGGCACGTGGTGTCGCCAGCCTCGGGGCAGCCTCTGGCCCCAACACCTTGCTCCTCAATCAGACCCAGGAAGAGTCCGCGATTCCCTCGGTGTTTAGCCACCTACTTGCCGTCAGGACGGGCCGACGTGGACGCCCTGTGCCACCCGGACCTGGAGCGCTGTCACATGGCTGCATGGCCCAGGGCAGACACTGGAGATGACACTGGAGATGACATTGGAGGTGACACTGGAGATGACACTGGAGATGACACTGGAGATGACCAGAGGCCAGCGAGGAGGGCTTGGACAGCCTGAGGAATGACCCCTGGGGCTGAGGAACGGAGCCGGAAAAGCAGGGCTTGGGAGAAGGAGCCCTCGGACAGCAGGAGTAGCCCCGGGCCCGGATACCTCAGCCTCCCGTGGGCAGGCTCAGGCCGGGCAGCAGGCGTGCGGGGCCCCCAGCAAGCTGGGCCATGGGCTGCTAACCCTGCCTTAGGGGAGCCGCGGAGAGGCCCAAGCGAAGGGCGCAGGTTGTGTTCTGTTCTGGGGTTTTGGCACAAGGGACACGGCCTGGTTCTGTTTCCATTTAAATTGAAGCCTGTGGATCCTTCTCCTAAGTTCCTGATCAGAGGGCCTGCAGAAGCCCCTGAAAAGCTTTCAGCAAGTAGGTGGAAAGGTCAGATTTACAGTTTGCAATGACGGATTGAAGAGCAAGAGCAAGGTGGGAAGCTTAGCGTGGGCGGTGGAGGCAGCAGAGAAGGTTCTAGAGGTGCTTAGACTTGGTGGTGGACTTGCTATGGAGGTGAAGTGAGAAGGAGATACTGGGTCCCCAGGTTGCTGGTTAGCAGAGCTGGCCAGACGCTGCCGGCCTTCGGATCCTGGCCGCAGAGGAAGAGGACCACGTTGGTAGGGAGGGAGAGACTGTTCAGTTTGGAACGTGTTGTGTTGAGGCGGTGTGGACACAGCTCGTGAGATGCTGGAGGTAAAGACGTGGAGCTTGGAGAGAAACAGTAGATCTAGAGACGGAATCCTGGGAGTCATGAACTCTTAGGTGGTAAGTGAAGCCACTGCAAAGATTAAAAGGCCCAAGACACACCATAAGGCTCACGTAGGCGTCAAGACGAGAAGGTTCAAAGGAGACTGTGAAGGGGTAGCCCGAGCGGTAGCAGAAAAACAGGCGGCGACATGGCATCCCACAGGCCACGGGGAAACAACTATTTTAAACAGAAAGAACCTTACTGTTGAAGGTAAGATAAGAATTGAAAACACCCACTGGAGCTAGTGACCCAGAAAGGCCTTTGTGAGCGTGTTTTTCCTTCAATTTCAAAGGATCTTCCTACTAAAAAATAGGATTTCCTATTTTACAAGAAACAGCTAATTTGATCGCACACTATTTTATACATGGACTTAATTTTTCATGTATGTAATAGTTTCAATGTTATTTGTTCTTAATTTATGAAGAAGAAGGGTTAAACTTTAACCGTCAGACGTCCTGAGTTAAAGGAATTCTAGAATGGCCTGAATCCATGCTTGTGGTGCTCTTCTTGGAGCTTTTATTTACTTGTTTTCTCTTCTTGGAGCTTTTATTTACTTGTTTTCTCTTCTTGGAGCTTTTACATCCCAGCACCAAGGTCTCTAGAGCCTTTATTTCGTGGCACTCAGCTCTGTGGATGGATATGGAAAAGGTGTGGATTTTTTTTATTTTTTAAGATTATTTATTTATTTATTCATGAGAGACACACACACACACAGAGAGAGAGAGAGAGAGAGAGAGAGAGAGACAGGCCCAGGCGGAGGGAGGAGCAGGCTCCTGCGGGGACCCCGACTCCCACCTCCATCCCGGGTCCCCGGGGTTACGGCCTGGGCCAGAGGCGGGGGGTGGGGGGGTGGCCGGCCAAGCCCCGGTTCACCTGAGCACCCCCCCAGGCCCGACGCCCCTGCACCTGGCCGCGCAGGCCTGCGCCCTGGAGGCCACCGTGTGCCTGCTGAGCTTCCGCGCAGACCTCACGCTGGCCGCGGCCCGGGGCTGGCTGCCCATCCACTTCGCCGCCTTCTACGACAACATCGGCGTGGCCGCCGCGCTCTGCAGACGGGACCCCGCGCAGCTCGAGGCGGAGGCAGCCGCCGGGTGAGTCTGGGCGCCCCACCTGGGGGTTCGCGGCCCGCCCCGGGGCACCATCCTCCTGCGCTCCTGTCCCCAGGCCCCGCTCAGGCCCAGGTGCGCCCGCACCTGCCGCGGGGACACGCGAGGATGCGGCCTTGGGGGCAGCACACAGCGCCACCCACCTGCGGGGGAGCCCTCGGACCGTAGGGGGGGCGGAGGGATGGGCGGGGGGGGGGGATGCACCTGCGGGGGAGCCCTCGGACCGGAGCGTGGGGACAGGGTGTGGGCGGAGTCGGTGCCCCGAGGGCCGCGGGCACAGCTGCCCCGACTGCAGGGCGGCCGCCCCAGGGTCCTGGTCACTGAAGTCACCGCGGCCTGTCCCTCGCTCTTTAGGAATCAGTGCACCCCGCTGCTGCTCGCTGCCACCTCGGGGGCCCTGGACACGATCCGCTACCTGTTGTCCCTCGGTGCTAACTGGAGGAAAACCGATACTAAGGGCAATAATATAATTCACCTGTCGGTGCTCAGCTTCCACACGGAGGTCCTCAAGCACATAATAGGGCTAAGCATCCCTGAGCTCCCAGTGTGGGCGACCCTGGTCGGTAAGTACCCGGCGCGGCCCGCAGTGGCCTAGGTCACCGTGGCCTGGGTCACCAGCAGCCTGGGTCACCGCGGCCTGGGTCACCGTGGCCAGGGTCCCCGGGCCTGGGTCACCAGCAGCCTGGGTCACCAGCAGCCTGGGTCACCGTGTCCTGGGTCACCGCGGCCTGGGTCACCACGGCCTGGGTCACCAGTAGCCTGGGTTACTGCGGCCTGGGTCACCGCGGCCTGGGTCACCAGCAGCCTGGGTCACCGCGGCCTGGGTCACCACGGCCTGGGTCACCAGCAGCCTGGGTCACCGCGGCCTGGGTCACCACAGCCTGGGTCACCAGCAGCTTGGGTCACCGCAGCCTGGGTCACCACGGCCTGGGTCACCATGGCCTGGGTCACCAGCAGCCTGGGTCACCCCGGCCCAGGCACCTCCGGGTGCTGGGAAATAGAGGGAATACTGGACATGCCCCCGGGTCTCCAACAGTGAACTATCAGAGACATTTTGTTAAGACCACAGATACAAATAAAACGGAGCTATATTTCCTGTGTATTTTTATTTCTAAATTAAAATCAAATAATAATGACCCAGGTTATATTTTATACAATTTATTTTCAAAGGTTTTATTTATTTATTTGAGAGAGAGAAGGGAGAGAGAGGGAACATAAGCAAGGGGAAGGGGGAGGGGGAAGGGGGAAGCCAGCTCGTCATGGGCGGGGAGCCTGGTGTGGAACCAACCCCAGGACCTTGGCCCAGCCAGAGACCGACACTTAGCCCACTGAGCCACGTAAGCGGCCCAACTTTCTCCAAAAGTCTGTCTATCCTCTTCTCCATCAAATAAGCAAATTAAAAACAAAACAAAACAAAACAAAAAACCCAAAAACAAAAACAAAACAAGGAAAGAGGAAGGAAATTAAAACTGAAGTGAAAAAGTTTCCCTCTGGGATGCCTGGGGGCTCAGTGGTTGGGCACCTGCCTTCAGCTCCAGGAGTGACCCCGGGGTCCCAGAATCAAGTCCCATGTCGGCCTCCATGCAGGGAGCCTGCTTCTCCCTCTGCCTGGGTCTCTGCCTCTCGGGGTCTCTCAGGAATAAATAAAATCTTAAAAATATATATTAAAAAATGAAGAAAAAAAGAAGAAGATTCCCTCACATTCATTCCCTCCTAATTTAAAAGATGATGGGCTTTGGTTCAGCACCTCACAGAAGGCAACTTATAAACACTTACAACACGTGTTTTTCTGTTGAGCATTTGCCAGAAATGTTGCAGTGTGAGAGCTATAAACGAAGGATGATGGCTGTGATGTCCTTGGAAGTAATTTGTTTAGCAAATGATGGATACTGGAAGTGTATTTTGGATGCAGGTAATAAAAAACCTATTAATTGTCTTTTGCTTACACTATTTTATGTAGGGCTATAATTATATTCAATCACTTTAAGATCTATTTTTTTTAAAGATTTTATTTATTTATTTTTTGAGAAGGAGGGAGTGAGAAAGAAAGCAGGAGAGCACAGAGGGCGAGAAAGCAGCAGCCTCCCTGCTGAGCAGAGGAGCCCACGCAGGCCTCAGTCCCAGGACTCGGACCAGACACTTAACTAACTGAGCCACCCAAGTGCCCCTTAAAATCTCTTTTTAATTGTAGAGGAAACTTTTTAGTTGATTTTAAGTTTCTATTTTTTCTAAAATCACTTCCTTTACCTGATAAATATATTTATATTTATATTTATTAATTTATAAATATACATTTATATATTTTTAATTCAGGTATAGTTGACACACAATGTTATATTAGTTTTCGGTATACGAAAACAATTCTGTACATTTTGCTGTGCTCCCCGTAGGTGTAGCTACCATCTGTCACCATGCAATGCTACTTTTCCCTCCAATTTTTATTTAAATTTTAGTTACTTAACATAAAGTGCAGCAATGGTTTTAGGAGTAGAATTCAGTGATCGGTCACTTACATACAACACCCAGTGCTCATCATGAGCACCCGCCTTAACCCTCACCACCCGTCTAACCCATCCTGACCCACCTCCTCCATCAACCTTCAGTTTGTTCTCTATCAGTAAGAGTCTGTTATGGTTTGCTTACCTCTCTCCTTTTTTTCTTCTCCCCTTCCCGTATGTTCACCTGATTTCTATCTTAAATTCCACATATTAGTGAAATCATATAGTATTTGTCTTTCACTGACTGACTTCACTTAGCGTAATACAGTCTAGCTGCATCCACATCATTGCAAATGGCAAGATTTTGCTCTTTTGATGGCTGAGTAATATTCCACTGTACGTATACACCACATCTTTTTCTTTTTTAAATAATAAATTTATTTTTTATTGGTGTTCAATTTGCCAACATACAGAATAACACCCAGTGCTCATCCCATCAAGTGCCCACCTCAGTGCCCATCACCCAGTCACCCCCACCCCCCCGCCCCCGTCCACCTCCCTTTCCACCACCCCTAGTTCGTTTCCCAGAGTTAGGAGTCTTCCATGTTCTGTCTCCCTTTCTGATATTTCCCACACATTTCTTCACCCTTCCCCTCTATTCCCTTTCACTATTATTTATATTCCCCAAATGAATGAGACCATATAATGTTTGTCCTTCTCCGATTGACTTATTTCACTCAGCATAATACCTTCCAGTTCCATCCACATCGAAGCAAATGTACACCACATCTTCTTTATCCACCCATCAGTCATTGGACATTTGGGCTCTTTCCGTAATCTGGCTATTGTTGATAATGCTGCTGTAAACATCAGGGGACGCATACCCCTCTGAATCTGTATTTTTGTATCCTTTGGATAACTACCTAGTAGTGCAATTTCTGAACCATCAGGTCATTCTATTTTTAACTCTTTGAGGAGCCTCCACACAGTTTTCCAGGGTGACTGCACCAGTTCACATTCCCACCAGCAGTGCAGAGGGTTCCCCTTTCTCCACATCCTGTTGTTTCTTGTGTTGTTAATTCTAATGCTGACAGGTGTGCAGTGGTAGTTCATTGTGGTTCTGATTTGCATTTCCCTGATGATGAGTGATGAGCATCTTTTAATGTGTCTGTTGGCCATCTGGATGTCTTCTTTGGGAAAATACCTCTTCATGTCATACTCCCTGCAACTCTATTACAATAGCATTGGCTGTATTTCCTATGCCCAAACTTTTATTCATAGGATTAACTCATTCCTTAACTGGAAGTCTGTAGCTCCCATTCCCTTTCACGCCCCCCCCCTTTTTTTTTTACCCATTCCCTCCACCTCCCTCCACTCTGGCAATCATCAGTTAGTTCTTTGTTATAGGTCTGATTCTACTTTTTGTTTGTTTAATCACTTATTTTGCTTTTTTACATTCCACATAGAAGTGAAATCATATGGTATTTGTCTTTCTCTGACAACCTCTTATTTTATTTTATTTTATTTTTTTTTTAATTTTTATTTATTTATGATAGAGAGAGAGAGAGAGAGAGAGAGAGAGAGAGAGAGGCAGAGACACAGGCAGAGGGAGAAGCAGGCTCCATGCACCGGGAGCCTGACGTGGGATTCGATCCCGGGTCTCCAGGATCGGGCCCTGGGCCAAAGGCAGGCGCTAAACCGCTGCGCCACCCAGGGATCCCTCTTATTTTATTTTTCACATGGAAGTTGCACATGATCAAAACACTTTATAAATTCCACTTTTCTAAAAATTTCCAAACTTAAAAATTATATTAAATTACTTATTGTGCTACCTTTTATATTTACTTTCACTTAGAAATTATTCCTATTCTGTATCTACACAATTTATTTTTTTAATTAAAAATAGAAGTTTCTTTGTGATGAGCACTGGGTATTATATGGAAGTGTTGAATCACTCACTATATTGAATGCCTGAAACTAATATTATATGGTATGTTAACTAGCTGGAATTCAAATAAGAACTTTTAAAAATAGCAGTTTTTGTGTCAGCCCTGGGTTTGTAACTAGCTCTGCATTTAGAACTTAGGCTAATTGCTTGCCCTCTCTAACCCTAATTTCCTCATTAATCAAATGATTCCTTACGTCATTGGGTTGTTTTGAGAACACTATTATTCAATATAACTTTCTGAAATGATGGAAATATTTTATTTGCAGTCAGTATGGTATCCACAGCTCTAATGTGGATATTGGGCACACATGAAATGATCCATAAATATTGTTGAATGAATAAATGAATGAATACAAAATAGAAGTTGTACCCCAAACTAACTGTTAGTGTTCCTAAAAACATGTACAAAAAGGTCTGTGTCCAATAAGTGAACCATAGATAAGTCATAAAGGAGGTTTCATTTCAGGTAGATAAGTAAAGACCTAATTATACCCATTCTATTTTTTCCAGCATTTCTTGTGTGCTCTAGAGTGTTATTTTCCTTTCTTTCACATTGAACTGATACAACAAGCATCTAGCTGAAGCCAGATTCTCTATTTTTCACCAGACCCAGTGATCTCCATCTTTGAACCAATTGTAATTAGTGAAGCTAAAGTTACCTTTTAGTAGATTCAGCACTTTTTGTCTTCAGTTGCTTGCAAAAAAAAAGGGGGGGGGGTAAAATATAATAAAATGCTCAAACAATTGCATAAACACTGCCACAAAAATTGGATGAAATACCCAAACCGAACGCTGTCATATGGTAGCTCAAAGAATCTATTCCTCCATTATCTTAAGCCAGCAGTGCATGGTTCCAAGGTGGCTGGGAGTTACCAGTATGAAACACAGGCTTGTGTGCTGTGCGGAAATCCAATGTGTGAACAATGAGAACTGCCTGAATTATAGAGAAGCCTGAAAAGTATATTCATATAGATTCAAATAATTTTGTAAATACCTCTAGAATTACTTGCTAATTGTTTACATGGCAGTGACTATCGTAATAAGTCGACTATGAATGGTTACAGATAATTCATATCTTTTCTTGATCTCTTCATTGCAGGTACCATCCCTGCCTTAATCAATCTGTTAAAAGGCTCCAAAATAAAATTGCAGTGCAAAACAGTTGGGTTACTGAGTAACCTGTCGACCCGGGCCAGTGTGGTGCGCGCCGTTGTGGTGGCCGGAGGCGTGCCAGCTCTCCTGGGCTTACTGGCCTCCGACGAGCCTGAGCTGCATTCTCGTTGTGCTGTCATTTTATATGACGTTGCCCAGCTGGAAAGCAAGGATGTTATTGCCAGATATGTACGTTTCTTTCATAGAATATGATTTTGCCTGACAGCAATTCCTTCAGGGCAGAGGCCCTGCTGCTGCGCCGGGGGGGACACCCCCAGGGAGGAGCGCGGTCAGGGTGGCAAGGAGCAGGCCTGGTGCCATCCCTCGGGGGCCACGGTGAAGTGGCCCGGGACAGTAGCAGGGCCAGCGCAGCGCAGGGTGTTGGGTCCCTGTCCCCTTCCCCACGGGGGCACCAGGACGCAGGAAATGCTACCAGCATTGGCCTGTGGCTCCAGAGGGGCCTTGGCCCTGGGAAACCTATCACTTGGCCAAGGCTGCCTGTCGTCTGTCTGGAGGGAGGCGTCAGCGGTCCTGTCAAGGCCACTGGCTGCAGGAGGCGCTGAGGAATGGCCAGGGAGGGCTGGTGGCTCTCCATCCTCTCTGGCTCAGCTGATCCTTCCAAACACATCTGGTCCTCATGACTCGTTCACCCTGGCCTTCCTTAAGTTTTGAGCCTTTATGTTCACTAGGCCCGGGGTCTGCTGACACCCTGGTCCCCAGTCCCACGGTGTCACTCAGGGAGGCATGTATCTCTGTGTCTGCCCCCAAGAAGGAGGCACACGACCCCTAGGACAGTGGCCATGGAGGGGCTCATCCCCACGGGAAGCTCACCCACACTTACGGGGCCTCAGCATTACAGATGTGTCCTGCCGTTATTGAAAATGAGGCTACGTTTACCTTTCTTACAGTTTTGCATTATTTGTGTTACTGGAGAGAAAGCCATCTTTACTCCAATTAAATTAGGAAATGATATTCATATTTAAAAATAGTTTGTGTTGCACCAATATAATTACCAATTACCAGCACAATGTCTACAATGGCAAATATTTCCAAATTGGCAGTGTATTCAATTGATCTTATTCAGTTGCTTTACTTTTTAGATATTTATCACATGCTGCAGTGAACTTGTAGCCTTAACTTATTTTGGTGTAGAGGAGGCTAGTTTATGCCTAAACTTGTATGAACTGTCATTTAATGTGACACCAATAGACACATTTGTTTATGGGCATTCTCTCCTACATAAGCAAATTATTATAGTAAGAAGATTATAGATTTATGTTTTTAAACAAAGATTGCATAAATCTTAAATAATTCAATTGTAATGAATTTTTTGTTTCTTTATTTTTAGAATGGAATCCCAACTCTGATAAGTCTTTTGAAGTTAAACATAGAAAATGTGCTAATAAATGTAATGAACTGTATACGGGTATTATGTATGGGAAATGAACAAAATCAAAGAGCAGTGAGAGACCATAAAGGCATCCAATATCTTATCACATTTCTGAGTTCTGATTCAGGTAAGCCTCAATTTCTGTATTATTTCTAAGTGAGCAAGTATATCAAGTGAAGCAAATACAGGTTAGACTTGTCCTACCTGAATACATGTCCTGGATTTATCTTAGAATGGAACTAGACATATATAATATACACGAAGTATCTGGAACACTCAAGTTCAAATGCCAGGTTTATAAAAGGAATTGACTCCCAAAGCCATAGTCTAAAAAAAAAATTTAATTAGATTTTTTAATAAATGGAAAAACTGGCATAAATCATGAAAATAATGTAATGTGCCCAGGGACTCGAAAAGATAACTCCTTGTTGAATAACACATATATTGATCATTGGGAACATTTTATAAGTTACAGCAAAAACTTCAGATTTTCTGTTAGATATTGGATATCAGATTCTAGGTCGTTAGGCCAATTACCACACCTGAGGTACGCATCAGCACTAAGAGCAGCACAAGCTATGGGGTAGCTCTTGAAGGCACAGCAAATGGTCTCTTAGGTTCTCTAAGAATTTTCTCATTTCAGTGAGCATACACGTAAAAGGGTGAGTTTCAAATCCATGGTTTTCCCCAAATTTGAGGGGATAAAAAAAATTGTGGAGAAGCTTTCCTATTTTTCTTCCTCCTGCTTTTCATCTTTCTGTCCTAGTTCTCTAGGAATAAATACAGGAAAAATGTGTTGGTTAACATGTAAGACAGGGTTATGGAAAAGGGAGTTGTTGCAGAAAGCTTTCTTTTACTTTAGAGCTTCAAAGTTAAGGAATTATCATCTTCTAAGAACCTCTCTTGTATAGGGAAGTCATTTGAAAGTCCTTTCTCTTTATTACAAATCCCTAAGGTCGTCTGCTCTAATCGGCCCTCTATCAGTAACTGTGCTCTACTTTATCTTTTTTGGTGGTGATGGTAGGTAGGCTCCATGCCCAGGTTTAGCCCAGCACAGGGCCTGGATTCAGGACCCTGAGATCAAGACCTGAGCTGAGATCAAGAGTCAGACACTTAGCCCACTGAGCCACACAGGTGCCCCTCCTTTATAATTTTTAAGAATAGCATTAGAGATAATGCACAGAATCATCCAGTCACTATGCGCTGCTACTCAGCTGAAACTAATATAAACTGTAGGTCAACTATACTTCATTAAAATAGCATTAGAGAGAGCCAGCTTTTATGCTTATTTTAGCCATAGAATTTTTACTTTTTTATAATTGTTCTTTATTGTATCATTTGTGTTTTATCTCCTTGATTAAAATTTAAAGATGGAGGGGGTGGGGCGCCTGGGTGGCTCAGTTGGTTAAATGTCCAACTCTTGATTTCAGTTCAGGTCATAATCTTGGGGTTGTAAAATGAGCCCTGTGTCCAGTTCCATGCTGGGTGTGGAGCCAGCTTAAGGTTCTCCATTTCCCTTTGTCCACATCCCCCCCCCCCCCAGCAAAAAATGTAAAGACAGGGACTAGTTTTTCCCTATCCTTTTTTTTTTTCGTCCTCCCAACCCTAGATGCTAGAACAAAGTACAAATTATGGAGGCAATTTGAACAAATAAGCAGGACATAAATTCATGAAAGAAAGCTATAGAAATAAATTGTTGAAATTGTTTCTTTGTGGGCTCTAGCCATATCTAAATGAAAGTCACTTATCCTATACTGTAATCTATATTATCTCCTCATTCCAAGGAACACAATCTAGAAAAAAAAGTTAATTATTTTATTCTCTTCATCTATAATTTATAAATGCTTCGTTTATAATTCTAGTGCTATAACAAATAATTCTCTTGGCTGTTAGCTGGTTGAGCTGTAGGGGATCACAAAGGAATTTTATTAAGTCCAATATTGTCTTAACCATTGTCAACCACTCTAAGATTTCATGGATTAAGGTAAAATGGCCCCAAAGCAAGAGTCACATGCAGTTTCTTGAGACTATGGATTTATTAACATCTCCTTAGCCTTGACGCCCCATCTCTAGGAGTTCCTCAACCTCTGTTGAGTTTGGTTTGTCTTAAGCCTTTGCCTCACCCATCTTTAAATCTTTAGCTGCTTATTTCACACTCTAGCACTCATGTTTGTGCCTGTGTTCATATTCTAATTCCCAGATTTCATCTTTTTTATTGCACACAATTGTCCTGCTCTGTGTTGTTAACAAAGGTCTGTATGACACCACCATGGAAACTGAAATATGTAACAGAAAGTATACAAAATGCTTTTCAAATGCAAACTGAGGAAAGCTTACAGAGCACTTTATCCTTCTTAGAATGATTATTCACACATTTCAGTGCAGATGTGTTTTCTCCACACTCCCTGGGATCTTCGGTCATATTTAGTATACGCAATCATTACCTTCTAAAATCTGAAAACTTTGGAATTCTGTTCACAAGAGTTTTTTATAGGGGGCACCTGGGCGGCTCAGTAGTGAGCGTCTGCCTTCGGCTCAGGTCATGACCCCGGGGTCCCGGGATCGAGTCCCACATCAGGCTCCCACAGGGAGCCTGCTCCTCCCTCTGCCTGTGTCTCTGCCTCTCTTTCTGTGTCTCTCATGGATAAATAAATAAAATCTTAAAAAAAAAAGAAAATGCTAAAAAAATAATGGAAGTATACAAATTGTTGCTAAATCCCGAGGGAGTTCTCTAACTTATTCTTGCAAATTTTCTGTAAGTTTTAAAGAGAACAAATACAACTGGTTAATAAAATGTATGAAACTATTTAGATTCAACAGTAATAAAAATATGAAATAAAATGAGATGATATTTTGCTTATCAAATTAGCTAAATTTATGTATTTATTCTTAATATCGATTCTTAAAAAGATACAGCAACATTGAAACTCATACTCTGATGGAAGGGTAAGATGCATTATCATTTTTGAAAAGTAATTTGCTGTGATGCATTAAATTATTCCAGTAATTCCTGGGACTCTATATTAAGGGCAAAAACAGGAAGGAAAAATAGCTTATGTGCCAGGATTTCTCCTAAACATTGTTTAAAACAGTGAAAAGTTGGAAATGATGTGTATTTTTTTTAAATGAATGGATAAGGAAATGTAATAAACTCATTAATGGGATATTTAGGAGACACTGATGTTCATAGAAATGGGAAAATGTTTTACTGGTAAATTAAAATTCAAGATAGTGTACATATAGTGCAACTATATTAAATATGTTTACAACATTACTTAAATATATCTTTTTCTTTAAAAAGTGAATGAGATTAAATGAAGTATTTATGTTTGGGTGGTGAGAATCTGGACAGTTTTATTTCTGTTTTTCTTTACTTTCTAAATTTTTTATACTGTCTGTAAGTTTGACTTTATAATATGGGAATCTAATGACAAGTTGCAATTTTATATTTTTAAAAGATTTATTTAACTGTTTCTTGAATTCATTTGAAGATGTGTTGAAAGCTGTATCTTCTGCTACAATTGCTGAGGTTGCACGTGACAATAGGAGTGTTCAGGATGCGATGGCGGCAGAAGGAGCCATCCCTCCACTGGTGGCTCTTTTTAAAGGGAAACAGCTTAGTGTCCAAGTGAAGGGTGCAATGGCTGTGGAATCACTGGCAAGTTACAACCCATCTATACAGAGGGCATTTCTGGAGGAATCATTAAGTAAATATCTTTTAAAACTTCTCAAGGTAGGAATTTTATGATAACTTGACATTTTTCTTAGACAAAGTATTCAATATTGAACTTAGGTAAAGTGAAAAGGTAACTAAAACCAATTTTAGAATAAAACTTTTAAAAAAGATTTTATTTATGTATTTATTTAAGAAAGAGAGCTCGTGCATGTGGGGGGAGGGAGAGAGAGGGGAAAAGAATCTCGAGCAGATTCCATGCTGAGTGTGGAGCTCAACATGGGCTCGATCTCACAGCCCAGAGATCATGATCTGAGCCAAAACGAAGAGTCGGACGCTTAAACAACTGGGCCACCCAGGGGCCCCTAGAATAAACTTTTTATAAAACATTCCTACCGTGTTCAGTCAATGCTTATTGAAAGAATGAATTTTTTTTATAGGCATTTCAAATAGATGTTAAGGAACAAGGAGCTGTAGCCCTTTGGGCCTTGGCAGGACAAACCCTGAAACAACAAAAGTATATGGCGGAACAGATTGGATACAGCTTCATAATAAGCATGCTTTTGTCACCATCTGCTAAAATGCAGTATGTTGGTAAGTCATGTTCTATGCGTCGATTTGCAGTGTAGAGCAGCACATTGAAGCATCAGACCTACTTCTTGTTTTTCTTTACCAGGAGGTGAAGCAGTCATAGCCCTAAGTAAGGATAGCAGGATGCATCAAAATCAAATATGTGAAGGGAACGGAATTGCACCGTTGATTCGCTTACTGAGGATTAGTAAAATAGCCGAAGGCACACTTCTGAGTGTCATCAGAGCAGTGGGGTCCATCTGTATTGGTTTGTAAATTTTTTTCGATTCTTAAAATATCGGTAAGATACTTCCCTTCCTCTCTGTCTCCATTGATAAAGCCATAAATCATATTCAATCTATAAAAGACTTACCTTTTTTTATTTCTCTAAGACCTTAATGAGTAAAAGTGGTGTAATTATGAATTTTTAAAAATCAGTTTTGCCCTTCATCTCTGGTTAAAAAGAATAATGAGGACAGTGAGCCTTGGTTATTTTGAGTTAAAGGAATCTTATTTTTTTAAGTTTAAGAGAAAAATATTTCTTCTTTCGAATCTCAAGAACTATATGTTTTATATAGAGTTTCTAATGTTGGGGCACATTTTTCAATTCCAGTCTATTTCCATAACGATTCTTTCTTTTTATAAAGTGGCCAGTAGGTGTAGTTGTTCCTTTGTATTTCCATATAATTTAAAAAATTAATCTGTCAATTTCTGAAAAAAATCTCCTATTATTTATATCTTCTATTATTTATATTTTATCTTCAATAAATCTTCTATTATATTGGAATTACATGAAATCTATAAATAAATTTGTGAAGAACAGACATCTCAATAATAGTAAATCTTCCGATCCATAAACACAGTATATCTCTCAACTTGTTTAGGTCTTCTTCAATATCTCTCAGCAATGACTCCTAGTTTCCAGTACACAATTCTTGTATATATTTCATCTTAGGTATTTTGTATTTTAAAATTGTGCATAATAAGTTTTGACTGAATGCTGGACATTGTGAGTTATAAACTCATCAACACTGGATTTTATTGTTTTCCTTTAAAGGGAGGTTTGCTCTCTTGTGGCATGCAGTTATCCTACTTGGGATCAGTTAACTCCTTTTGCAGCTAGTTTTCAAGCTTTATTAGGACAAGTCTAGAGCAGGGTTTTCTCTGAAACTAACTTACCTCCACTATTAAGATGATATCCTTCCGAGGACTTGATTCTTTGTATAGCGCCTTGAATTATGAGGTATCTGAACTCTGGTTACAGAACACAAGCCATTCCTAGCCCTGTGCGAGCTCTGAGAATTGTTCAGCCTACTGCTTGTGGTGGTTCTTTTCCAAACTTAATGGAGTTTCATCCTATTATTAACACATGAAGATTCAGTCAAAGATTTGAGGGTATTCTTATTGCAGTACCATCATCATTTTCCTAATCGTTATCATTAAAATATTCATTTGGGGGGACCCATCTGCAGCACCTTCACCCTTGGAAATCTCCCTGCTTATTCCTTTTCCACCTGCTCTGAAGTTAGCAATCTCTTTTCTTTGCTTCAACGTATTTTTCTATACCCCTGTTAAAGCACTTATTGCTTGTGCTGAAATCATGTATTTAAGTAGTTGTTTCCCCTATAGAATATAGACTCCTTGAGGACAGAGACTCTAATTCCTCTTTTCCACTTTTTTTTTCTTTTAAAGTAGGCTCCACACCTAGTTTGGAGCCCAATGCAGGGCTTGAACTCACGACCCTGAGATCAACACCTGAGCTGAGATCAAGAGTCAGACACTTGACTGAGCCTCCCAGGCACCCTCTAATTCCTCTTTTTACCTCTACTTCCTACTTCACTTCCTGATGAATTAGGCATTCAAAACCTGTCAGCTGAATCAAAAATATTCATGTAATCAATGTCTGTGCACACCCCTGGGTGGCCAGTGAGGGGGGTGGGGAGGGAGTAGGGTAGGCGACAAGGAAACAAACTGGTTCTTTGCTACTTCTATTTCCTCCAGTTCCTTCAAACTTCCCCAGATGATAATAAGTGCCTTCTCTTTATTGTTCAGAAGAGAGGTCCAAACTTGTATTTATATTTAAGTATATAAACCTGCTGTATACGTGTTGTGATTTTTGTTGGCAAAATAAGAGAATTAGAATTATTTGTACATCCACTAGACAAAGATGACAAGTTTTTATACTGAGATTAGGCCTACAATTTAAAGCTATTCTGTTATAAAGGGAGATAGTAAGATTATCTTTTTAGTATGTGTATTTAAGGAATCTACAAATTTTAACCAGGTGATTTACTCTGTTGTTTTTTTTTTAAATTATGTAATAGTAACTATAAGCATAAGTATCTTGCAAATAATAAATATTTAATAAATGATAGCTATTATATCACTGTTCTTTGATAGACTAACATTTCTTACTTCTTGGTTTTGTGACTATTAGAAAACCATCCACACTCCTAATAGTAATTTTTCAATGTTTATTCATTTTGCCTTTAAAAAATTAGTTCAGGTAAAATAGTGTTGATATAGCATTTCCATTTGTAATTTATTAACTATATTATGCTAGAACACTTAACCAACCCAACATATCAAGCTGTGTTTGACTTTACCATTTCTAAGATGGAAAGAAATATTATCTTACTGATGTGTATATTCTTATAGGTGTCGCCCATACAAGTAATCCTATCAGTCAACAATTCGTTGTACAAGAAAATGCCTTCCCAGTACTTCTTCAACTACTGAGAAATCACCCTTCTCCTAACATCAGGGTATATAAAAGTCTTTAAGGGTTTTCTTTTTTCTGATATAGTAAAAATGAACAGAAATGTGACTTTCTGAGAATAATTTGTATCTTTATGTGAATTCACAAGTATAATAAAAAATTTAACATTTTATTTATTTATTTATTTATTTATTTATTTATTTATTTATTTATTTTAAAGATTTATTTATTTATTTATTCATGAGAGAGAGAGAGAGAGAGAGAGGGAGAGAGAGGCAGAGACACAGGCAGAGGGAGAAGCAGGCTCCGTGCCAGGAGCCTGATGCAGGACTGGATCCCAGGACTCCAGGATCACGCCCTGGGCCAAAGGCAGGCGCCAAACTGCTGAGCCACTCAGGAATCCCCCAAAATTTAACATTTTAAACAGTATCCTAGAAGTTTTAAATTAAAAAGTTGCTATAAAAATAGTAAAGATAGAGAGTGGGGGGACAGGGTAAAAAAAATAGTAAAGATAAAGTAAATTTTATTAAAATATTAAGTTTTCAAATAATTAAGTCTTGTGGTTTACTCGTCTAATAAATTTTATTCCTCAGATATTTGATTATTCACAGAATTTCTTCCCTACTTCCTCAGATATTGGTTGCTAAATCTGGGTGGGGATAATGAGGATGTGTGATTTATGTAGCAAAATTTCTCAAGTATAAGTGATTCCTATCAGTATTGCACTATCAAAACAGCTTTACCTTCTCCCAAGCAGCCTACGTTGGCCAGCAACAATAGTTTTCTCAATATGAATATTTTATGAGTTGTTTGAGTCATTCACTATTCTATTTACTTTTAGTAAACTGCCTTTAATAAAATGACATTCTCATCTATTCAAATCCTCTACCAAAGCTTTGGACATTTAGGACATCTAGAGTTAGCCAGGCAGGAAATTATAACAAAATATACATTTTCTCTTCAAAATTTGCTATGAGTTTTGTTGGAAATGAGAAAACAGAAATATGTAAGTAAATACATCATTATTTCTTTTAAGGAATGTGTTATCAGAAAAGATGTCATGTAGCTTTTCTGGCTATGAAAGAGATTATTCTATTATAGGAGTTGATTAGGGAAACAAAAAGAAGGATGATAATGCTAGCAATTTTTTGGCTTGAATTGTATGTAAAAACTGACTTTCAAAGTACAAATAAATTTCATAAGACTATGGAAAATGCCATTTAAAAATATTTTTATTTTAAAACATGCAATTTCATGGCAAAATGGTTTACTTCAATTGCGTCCACCCATATTTCAGTATATATTTTCTTTTTTTAAGATTTTATTTATTTATTCATGAGAGACACACAGAGAGAGGCAGAGACACAGGCTCCATGCAGGGAACCCGATGCGGGACTCGATCCCAGGACCCCTGGGCGGAAGGCAGGCACCAAACCGCTGAGCCACCCAGAGGCCCCTCAATATATATTTACAATGAGTTCTTCAACTTCTTAAAAACAGAACATCAATACTTTTTTCTTTTTTTCTTTTTTAATTTTTATTTATTTATGATAGTCACACACAGAGAGAGAGAGGCAGAGACATAGGCAGAGGGAGAATTTTTTTTTCAGATAAAAATACTTCTATTATAATAGACACCATATTGCAAGTGCATTTAAAATTAGCAATGCAGGGATACCTGGGTGGCGCAGCGGTTTAGCGCCTGCCTTTGGCCCAGGGCTCGATCTTGGAGACCCAGGATCGAATCCCACGTCGGGCTCCCGGTGCATGGAGCCTGCTTCTCCCTCTGCCTGTGTCTCTGCCTCTCTCTCTCTCTCTCTCTCTCTCTGTGTGTGTGTGACTCGGGGTCAGGAGGTCATGCACCGGGAGCCCGACGTGGGATTCGATCCCGGGTCTCCAGGATCGCGCCCTGGGCCAAAGGCAGGCACTAAACTGCTGCACCACCCAGGGATCCCCAATACTTTTTTTCAAGTATGATTCTATAGTAAACAAATATTTTTGCAATGATAATCATGCTTTTCAAATTCATTATATTTTTCATAGGAAATGTGTAATACTTAAAGAACTTATCTGTTGAGTTCCAACAATAAATGAGGTCCATTTACATCCTCCTATAAGGCTTCAGAGTGTGCATCAGATGACCCCAGAAATAGAGGAGGAAAACTATTTCTCAGGCCTACTACCCAGTGCTTTGCTTAATTCGTAGGCATTCCATTGAAGTCTTATGACTCAACGGTCAGTGGCTAACAAGCAGTCCAAAACAGCCTATCCCATGCCAGGAAATTAAAAACATTTTTTTTTTCTTTTCGATGTGGAAGGGATACAACTATGCACTTAAGAGAATACCTCCTCACATTTCCAGCTGGCTCTGGTTGCTTCCCCCAGGCCTTCCAATGGAGCTGCATGGTTGTGCTGGCACATGGAGGAAGGATATTTTCCCAGCTTTTAAAAATTATAAGGGACATTCCTCCATTGTTCCCACAATGCTGTGACTCAGATTCGAACCGAGGTTGCTGCAGCCACAACGCAGAGTACTAACCACTATACGATCACGGCAAGCTACCGGGGACCTAGGGACATTCCTCCAGACATTATAAATGCCACTCTCTAAATATTAGAGAATTGTAATCAGTGAACTATATAGTATCTTTGGATTAGTATATCCTATTTAAATGTTTATATAATGAAATACGTCATTTGATAAACCATGAATGAAAAGAAAATTAATTTCTGAAATCAATTAATTAGGTTGAAGTGGCATTTTCCTTGGCATGCATTGTCCTAAGGAATGATCTGTTACAGAATGAATTACAAGAAAACGAAGGATTTAAATATGCCGATGTCCTCTATCTTCTTCACTCACAAGATAAGGTAATATTTTCATAAAATGTTAGAGCTCATGTAGGAAGGTTCTTAGACCACATCATCAAATTACAAGTCTTTTTAACAGCAATGTTTAAATATATTACATAAAATGTAAAATCTTTTTGGTAGGTCATTAGTTTGTAATGATGAAATACTACTGTTCCATATTTTCCATAGTTGTCATATTTCTTGAAAATGTAGCAATTTCAATGCTTGAAGAACCAATAAGTCTCTTCTGTCTTGGAGGTGTTGAAACTTTTTCCTAATTTTATGAGTTTTCCAGTCTCAGTCATCCACTTCTTACCCAGTATTCTAGAGTGGTGCTTCTCAAACTATTTATGGTGAAGGAAAGCTTTTTCCCCAGCAATCTGTTATACAGAAGATAATTAAAAACAAACAAAAACTTTAACTTTTGAAATAATTTTAGATTTTCCAAAATTTGCGAAAATAGTATGGAGTGTTTCTTTTTTATTTATTCATTTATTTTTTTTTAATTGGAGTTCAGTTTGCCAATATATAGCACAACACCCAGTGCTCCCCTCAGTCCCCGTCACCCAGTCACCCGTATGGAGTGTTTCTAGCACATCCTTTATCCACCGTTCCTGGATATCAGCAGGGAAATTAACATTGATACCATAACTATTAACTCATCTGCAGATTTTATCTAAACTTCTCCAATTTCTTACCAATGTCCTTTTCCTCTTTCAGAATCCGATCCAAGACCTCCTATTACAGCTAGTTGTCATGTCCCTTTCGTCTTCTTCAATCTCTGAAACACCGTCCTTTGTCTTTCATGACTTTATTATGTCTTCCATGATTTTGATGAGTCCATGCCAGTTACTTTGTAGAATGTCCCTCAATTTAAATTATCTCATGTTTTCTCATGATTAAATTGAGGTGGTGTGTTTTGGCAAGAACACCACAGAAATGCTGTGGTCTTCTCCACTCACCTGCCCAGTGCGTCATTTCAGGAGGTACAGGTACATGCTGCTGTTACATCTTATAACTGGCAGTGCTAACCTTGGGTTCTTGGTTAAAGTAGTGCCTGCCATATTTCTCCACTGCAAAGTCACTGTATTTCCCTTTCTCAGTTAACAAGTTTCTCAAGGTGAGACACCCTGTTTGCATGTACTTTTGCTCACCAATTTTAGTATCCGTATACGCAACAATGATTATGTGGTATTGGCCTAATGGCAATTTTAAAAAGTTGTCTTTTTTTTAAATCAAGTTTTTATTTAAATTCCAGTTAGTTCATACAATGTAGTATTAGTTTCAGGTGTACAATTTAATGATTCAACACTTTCACACAACACCAGAGCTCATCACAAGTGCCTTCCTCAATCCCCACACCCACCGAATCCTCCCCCTATGCACTGCCCTCTGGTAACCATCAGTTTGTTCTCCATATTTAAGAGTCTGTCTTTTGGTTTTCTTCTTGCCCCACCCCTCTTTGTTTGTTTCTTAAATTCCACATATGAATGAAATCATATGGTGTCTATCTTTCTCTGACGTATTTCACTTGGCATAAAACACTGGCTCTGTCCACGTCATTGCAAATGGCAAGATTTCATTCTTTTTATGGCTGAGTAATATTCCATTGTGAATATAGACCATATCTTCTTTATCCACTCATTAGTTGATGGACATTTGGGCTCTTTCCATAATTATGCTACTGTTAATAAGGCTGCTACAGACATCTTCTTCTTTGTATATTTATTAGTTGGTATTTAACCATAAGAAGAACTGTTACTTTTGAATGCTAACTCCCAGTTTCTGCAATCCTGTTGTCAATCATTTCGTGGACTATCACTGGTCCATGGGCCACACTTTGAATAGTACTAACCCCAGAGAAATTTGATACCTTTTGTTGTCTGCAGTGCATTTAGCCATCAGGGAAGAAAATTGCCAACTATCTCTGTCAGTTCTGTTCTGGGGGACTTAGGAGGAAGAAAGGAGGACCATAAGGAGAGAAATGAACTCACTGTATTATTTTCTTAAATATAGAATTGTACTCTACTATAGTATATGAAAAAATGGAGATGTGCTACTGTAATAATATGGGGAGTAGAGGGCAAAGAGCCTGAATTTGTGTCTGACTAACTCTCTAAGCCCCCTTTCTTCTCTGTTCATTCATTCATTTTCTTCTCATTACCCTATTCCTCAGGGACACCCTTCTCCTTTTTCTTCTACTCTTAATCATGCTCCTTTTCTTCCCAGCCTGTTCCCACCTGCTTCACTTACTGGACCCTATTTCTTTGCATCTTCCTAATACTTTACTTCTTACTTTATGGCCAGGTGACTACTTTGTGTGTACATAATTTTTATTATGGAACATTTCAAACATATATAGAATAAAAGAGTAGCACAATGAACTTAAATATTCCTATGACCCAGCTTCAGCACTGGGTCAACTCACGGTTAGTCTTACTTCATCTATATACCCACTCATTCTTCCTAAATTATTTTTTTAAGATTTATTTATTTATCAGAGTGAGAGACGGGGGTCGGGGGAGCAAGAGACAGAGAGAGAATGGGAGCAAGTGTGCACATGCACAAAGAGGGGAAGGAGGCGGAGGGAGAGAATCCTTAAGCAGACTCCCTGTTGAGCACAGAGTCCCTGCAGGGCTCTCATAACACTAAGATCATGACCTGAGCCAAAATCAAGAGTCAGACGCCCAACCGACTGAGCCACCCAGGAGCCCCTCGTCATATGTTACTTTTGAAGCAAATCTCAGGCATCATATAATTTTATTGGTAAATATTTTAGTATGTACATGTAGAGCTTTTATATAATGATTAAAAGTGCAGAAGAAAACTCATTAAATTAATGGTTCTGTACAATACTGTTCAAACAAAATATTAAAAATAAGATTTAGTGACAAAATTCTTTTCGGTCTTTCTGGAAGATCTACCATATTTGTTCATCTTTGGCAAATGAACTGATTCTAAGGAAGAATGGGCTTTTGCTCTGTTTACCAAGTCCAAGAATATTAAAACATGATTTTTAAATCATCTTTCTTTTTATTTCCCCTTAGGATATAGTATGGATTTTTACGAGTGAACTTATTTTAAGAGATGATAGAGATCATCCCACAATGCCTAAAATGTAATATATAGCATGCTATACAAGGGAAGTTCTGATTTATCAAATCTACTTTGAAATGTTGATTGAAAATAAAAATACAGGGATCCCTGGGTGGCTCAGCAGTTGAGTGCCTGCCTTCAGTCCAGGGCCTGATCCTGGAGTCCCGGGATCAAGTCCCACATCGGGCTCCCTGCATGGAGCCTGCTTCTCCCTCTGCCTGTGTCTCTGCCTCTCTCTCTGTGTCTCATGAATAAATAAAGAAATACATCTTAAAAAAAAAGAAAAATATATTAAAACAAAAATATCGAGGGTTAATGAAATTATGGTATTTCTTGTTACTATTTATTTATTTGCATACTCATTAGCCTACCACAGCCCACTTCTCTATTTTATATGTTCAATAACATTCTGGGTTAGCTTTATTACCTGTTTTCCCCAATAGTGTCATATTTTACTCCCAGAGATAAGAATGAAATATATTTAGACGGGCAACAATTTGAAATCTATTACTTTGAGTAACATAATAAATGAACTAAGTTAAAGATAATGCATGTTTCTCGTATTTCTAGGATATTTGTTTAAGGGCAGGCTACGCATTAACCCTTTTTGCCTTCAATAATCGCCTTCAACAATACTTGATATTGGAAAGTGGAGTAATGACCATATCAATTTTTGAACCTTTTCTTGAATCAACAATTGAAACAGAGAAGGCAATGGCAGCATTTCAGGTATAAAATTGGAAGTTAAAACCTCAAATCAATAAATATGTCATTTTAGTCAAAATGGAAAAAATCAGAAAAAAAATTGATCTGGAAAAGCATTTACCAATTTATAAAATTCACAGTGTTTTTCGCACCAGCCCTTTCTGCTTCATAAAAATGCCATTATTTATGAGGGTATCTTCACTTATATACAATTTTAGAAGTTACATGGCACTTTTTGCTTCTGTACTTTGTCTAATGCTCCTAACAAACCTGAGAAGTTGATGAGCAGATAGTATCACTGTCGTCATCCCCATATTATGGGCAGAGAAACGGTAGATAGAACCCAAGACAATTTTTCTAACTGCAGATCACACTGATTCTTCAACCTATGACAACTGGATGTATCTGGGTGCTTCTTTTTCTATCCTATGACCTTTCGGAGAAGTATGTTCTGTGAGCCCATACTTCAAGGATGCAATACAGTGGCCTGCCATGTTTACCACAGTGATCAGAGTGTGACGACTACTCTAATTCAAACCCTTGCCACTTGCTTTTCTTCTAATAGATCATATTAAATTACTCCCCTTGGCTTCCAGAGAAGTACCAAAAAAACATAAAAGCGTAATTAGAGAAGCAGAGTGGAAAATGTTCGATGATTCTATGCTTCTTTTTTGTTTTCAGATTATCATCTTAGCTAAAGTCATTATAGATGTGGACCATATTACGTTGTCTGCGAGAGGTGTTACTATTTTAGTTGCTAGTCTGTATTCAGTTCATTCCACTACTATTGTCCTGACAGGTAAGAAATAACTAGAAGATAGCTACATAAAACGACATCTGCATAAAGCTATTTTCAAAAAAACTTTTGTAATCTGAACAATAATAATAAACCTGGTAATATGTCACATGGTTTGAAGAATGAATTGGTGTGAGTCTACATGAAACAATGGGAATCTATTCTGCACTGCAAATAGAAGCAGGGTAATGCTGAACATGGACTTTTTGATTTCCTAGTTACTTTTTCAACCCCCTAATTATTTTCTTAAGAATATAAAATGAGGGGATCCCTGGGTGGTGCAGCGGTTTGGCGCCTGCCTTTGGCTCGGGGCGCGATCCTGGAGACCCGGGATCGAATCCCACATCGGGCTCCCGGTGCATGGAGCCTGCTTCTCCCTCTGCCTGTGTCTCTGCCTCTCTTTCTCTCTCTCTCTCTCTCTGTGTGACTATCATAAATAAATAAAAATTAAAAAATTTTAAAAAAAGAATATAAAATGAGAATTCAACTATGAGCTACTAACAACAAAATTTACACACTGATTTATAATAGTAATGGCAGACTTATACTGCTATATACCTCTGTCTGGTTTTCTTTTGATCAACTTCACATTTTGCTTAACATTGAAGAGTTCCTTATGTTGCTAGGCAATAAAGCAAAGCAAAACAGTCCAGTAGAGTTCTTGGCACATTGAATGCTACTTGTGTAACTCTATCTACTCCAGAGCTAATTTTCCAGATGAATAATAAATTAATTGACTTGATATATTGCTCTAACACAACATGAAACAGTATCAGAATGACAACCATATGGAGTGACTACTACCAAAAAAGTAAATAAGGTCTTTATTTTTTAACTGAAATGAGTATCTGAAGGAAAGGAAATTGTACTTGTTGCCACAGAATATTTTTGTTTGGCATGGAAGGAAAAATTCATGCAAATGAAAACTTTCTGATGGAAACTAGCTAGGAAAGAAATATGTTTAAAGCAAATTATTAAGTATATTTTTATCTAAATAGCATTCTTAATTCAAGTCATAGTAATTCTGTGACTCTGAAAAACAGTTGTAGTGGGTTTAAATTTTACTCCACAAACTCTTGTGTGCAAAAATACTATCTTTTTAAAAAAATTTTTTTTAAAAAGATTTATTTATTTATGAGAGAGAGAGAGAGAGAGAGAGAGGCAGAGACACAGGAGGAGGGAGAAGCAGGCTCCATGCAGGGAGCCTGATGTGGGACTCGATCCTGGGACTCCAGGATCGCACCCTGGGCCAAAGGCAGGTGCTAAACCGCTGAGCCACCCAGGGATCCCCACAAAAATACTATTTTATACTAGCTTTCAAATATTAATTTTCTCAGGTTGGTAGGAACTGAATCTCAGAAATGACTGGGCTTTCTCTGCACTCCACCACCATAGTCTGATGAATCTCCGGAGTCACGTACATGTCGGGTATCTTAAGCAAAGCACAATATTTGGGCCTCAGATATAATGTAAAATAAGTGGTGTGCTCAACGTCTAAGTTGACTAGGTTCCCAAAAAGAGGCTCCAGAGGCACAGAAGTTTTGCAAGGACTAGGATTTCTGTTGCCAAGTGTCAAGTGCACCACATAACCAGTCTCCCCACATGGCTCCTGTTCCTACTATCTCCTTCTCAATCCTAGATTCTCTGCATTTGTTTCCCATTTCCTACTCATCTTTAAAGACACCTTTCTCCCTTTCACCTAAAATAATGCCTTCTATAAACATAGGCTTTAGAAAATATATGCCTGAAAAAAAGATTATTTTTAGATATTTTTTACGTTAAGCCATGCAACCCATCCTTCCCCATCCTGAAACAATAAATACAAAGGCCTTGGTATGTAAAGAAGGCCAGAAAAAAAATATGCAAAAAATACAAGAACAAAACCCTGATAAATATCTTAGTTAATTATCCATCCACATTTATATGAGTGGATACACTTATATTTTAAAAATATGATGCACTTATTCCAACACAGCAACAATATTGTGAAAGAATATCACATGAAAGCTCTAAAAAATAAAAATAAAACACATATCCAAATGAAATAGTTTTAAGTTGGTAGTTGCACTTTTAATTACTGAATTACTTTATTATTTTCAATCCCCAAACATGTCTTTTTATGGCAAAAATTTCAATGATTTTAAATTTAAGTAATACATTGCTTGGGCATAAAATACCATTAAGCTCTTAACACAAAGCAATCTGAACTGCAAAAGGACATACTAATTTTTTTTACAGTAGTACAATCATTATGTTCATAGTTATTAAAAAAAATCCACTAAACCTCAAAACAGAATATATTCTGAAGCCATGGGGAAGAAAAGCTGATTTTCAAAATTTCCTACTGTTAAATAAAGCTAATTATATTTTACTCTTTATAACAGAAAACCAAATCAAAATTTTGGGGAAAGAATTCTACATTTAATATTATATACATGCTTTTTCTTGGCTCTTCTTCATTAAGAGAGTCTTGTGACTGGACCCTTTTAAATAATATGTGTAAATGAACAAAAGTACACGATGTCAGTTTGAACCAATCACATAACAAATGTTTTTTTTCTTGTTTAATTTATAGGGAATTTAATAGCCAGCCTGGCTCATTCCAGAGCTGGTATTCCAGAAGCATTTACCACCTTAGGGACAATCCAACGGCTCTGCTATCATTTGTACTCAGGGAAAGAAGAGGTAAAAACAAAAGTAATTCTATAATTAAATATCTTAAAAATGTAATTGCCTCCCTTTAAGGGGCTAATTTCTCTACAGGTTAGCTATGTCATATACTAGTTCGTTACTAACTCAAAATTAGATGATGTTTCTAGTACTACATCTGCCATCCGTAATTCTCATTCCCACACAATGTGCCCATTTAACTTCAATACTTAAGATTCAATATACAAGTAAGTACACTGATGATATAGAAATTTGTAATTAGAATATTTATAAGTCATTTCTATGATTATTCGGAATGCATGAAAGTGGAACCCACTGGACAGCTTTCCCTATGTGGCGTATGGAGGAGGCTAGGCTGCTCCAGGAGTGGTCTGCCTCTGACTGGTGCCCCCCACTCCCTCGGGGGCGAGGCAGTGTTCCTCCAACTGCAGGGCCCACAGGAATCACCTGGAGGCCTGGCTGCACCATGGATTGCTTGGGCTCCACTCGCAGTGTTTCTGACTGAGTACACCTGACATAGACCCTAAAATGTGCATTTCTAACAAGTTCTAGAAGCTGAAGCTGCTAGCACAGGGGCCACACACGGAGAACCACTGTTCAAGGATGGAGACAGATGGGCACATTCAGCAGTCACATGCTAGCGTGGAGACTAGCGGACCGACCCTCCGGTACCCGCCTGGGCCTGGCTTACGTTCATTCGATGGCGTTTCCTAGGCCGCCACTAACAGGTTTCACAGGAGTGGCTCAGGAATACACTCGAGCTCATATGAACAACCTCATTACCTCGGGGCTACAGGCAGCGGGTATTCCCTTCAAAAAAAGGAGACATCTACTTTTTCCGGGGTCCTGTAGCTGATACTCAGGCTGGTTTCCTTATTTTTGCCAGTAGAAAACTGAATTGTTTTCCTGAGCGTCTTATTTTTAACTTATTTTTATCCTATAGTCTTTTACCTGGTTTCCTATTACAATCAACTGAGCAGTTCTGAAAAATCCAGCGTCCAGGCTGCACCCCAAAATAATTAAATCAGAGAGTTCCCGGGGAGGGGAACCTAGGCACTGAGTAACTTCTGTGACCAGCAGGGGGATCCCATGCCCAGTCAAGCCTGAGGCCCACTGTCCTAGGTCAGGCTCAGTGCTTCTCCCTGACTGCACGTGGGAACCACCTGCGACACTTAAAAACAACACGAATGCCCAGCTTCTACCCCCAAGGAAGTCTGATTCAGTTGGTGGGCTTTTTTTTTTTTTTTTTTCGTTTTCTTCCTCTTTTCTCTTTTAATTGCTGGTGATTCCAAAATGCAGCTGGGACTGGGAACAACTGTGGAAATGAGGGGCAGCTGACAGCTCTCCCGGGACTGCGCCCGGCTCCCTCCGTAGCCGCCCTGGGCCACACTCCGGGCGAGGGGAGAACACAGGCTCAGAACACAGCTCAGCGGGGCGGTCTCTTCCTGTAGGTCCGCGCGGCCTGCTCCTGCGCCCTGGGCTACTTAACTTACAACGCAGACGCTTTCCGCCTCCTCCTCAAGGAATGCCACAGGAGGCCCAGTCAGTTCCTCCGCCTGACAAGGAACATCAGCAGGGACGCGAGCATTAACCCGGCCTTCCTAAGGGAGTTTCAGTGGCAGCAGCAAGTGGGACTTCCCTCCTTAAGGTATTGGGCCTCGAGCTGGGGCTGTGGGAGGGGAATCGCCACAGGGGATTTGTGAGGGAGGGAGTTTAGGGAGGATGGAAGGAGGGAGGGGAGCTATTCCAGGGAGGAGTGAATGCAGGCCTCACCCACCGAGAGAGAATCCATCCTGAGTGTCCACTGCCAGAGCCAGTGTGAGTTCTGACCGGCAACGGCACCGTGTGTGCAGCAGGCGTACAACCAGGGCTTGCGGATCCTGTTTGGCCAAGGTGATTCACCTTTCAAAACAGCTTTCTGGGATTCCGCTTGCCACCAGGTCTGCCCCAGGAGCCCATTTCTGGGACATACTTGAGAGGCCCAAGCCAACCAGGAAAACCGCCATGACCTTGGCATCAAGAAAACTCGGGAGGTTCTGAAGACCTCTGAACTTGATTCAAAGCTAGGCCAGACTCCCGGGGTAGAAACGGGGCCAAATCAGACCTGTGGCCAGAGTTACGGCAGAACCTGACAGGCACTTACTTCCTCATCCAGGATCTGGCGTCAGTGTTGGGGTCTCATCAGAGCCAAAGGTTCTGAACGGAGAGGAGACTGTCTAGGATGGGCGTTATGTTCTGTCTTTAGTCGATACAGCTGAACTACAAGTCTTCTCTGTAACTGCCACGGTTTGTGTAGGAAACAGAACTAGTGGATGATGCAATATTTACACTCCAATAATAGAACAGGACCCAATACTGCATCATGGTTCTGTAAATCAATTTTCACTATAAAAAGGAGTCCACCTTCATTTTAATATTCTTGGAAAAACTGAGAACCCAAAACGATATAATTTTATGTAAAAGACCAGGAAATCTAAATTAAATTCCTGTAACTGGCAGTGTTAAAGATATTAGTTCAAAAAATTAATTTATGGGACGCTGGGTGGCTCAGTGGTTGAGCACCTGCTTCCAGCCCAGGGTGTGACCCTGGGGTCCTGGGATCCCACGTTGGGCTCCCTGCAGGGAGCCTGCTTCTCCCCCTGCCTGTCTCTCATGAATAAATAAAATCTTAAAAAAACCTAAAACCCAAAAAAGTAGGATAAATAATGAAAAGTATAATCTTATATAGTTGCTCCCAGACTAGCCCATATGGCAACTTTTCAGGAATTAGAGAAAGATGACCCTTTTTTCAGGATACTTTACTGTCAACTGCTGGAAAATAGGTGTAATAACTATACAAATCCACAGCGACTGAGGGTAAATGGCACCCCCTGGAATTGTGAACACTCAACTTTTGGGATTGGAAAGAGTGACCAGTGATCAGTGAACTTCTAAGTATGGTTAACAGGGCTGGTGAACTGGTAACTAATAATTACTCTCATAACCAATAGAGTCATGAACTCTTCTTAGAGTATTTACATGGACTATTCCCTTTATTTTCCATGACCATTCAGTGAAGGAGTTTGATTAAGTGAAACTATGGGAAATGTGCTAAAGATGATTAAGTTTGGAAACTCTGGGATGGGTAACAATACCCTTCCACAAAATATTCCTTGATACCACTACTGGCAAGTACAGTGATTGTGGCTGGAATCATGAAAGCATTTTTTGGATGTAAATACTACTTCTCTATTCCCATCCCCCAACCAGCCCCAAGAAGAGCAGATTAGAAAAGTCTCTGGATATGCGAATTTTGGACTATGAAGAGAGACATAATTTTACTGATGTTAACTGACCCTGTATGAAAGCCCTCAGCCTAAATGCTAACTTTCACGTTACCCTGTGGCCATGAAATTAGCACATGGACAGTTTGAAGCCTAAGATTCATTAAAGTGGGAAACAGCAAATGTTCCTCATCAAATTAACCAGCTACACATTTGTGATACCATCTTTAATATATTAACTTTAAGCCAGGCTTAAATTTTATTTTATACACATTAGTTACGTACACTCTGTTACTCGTTGGCTTGAAACACTTTATTGGTAAACCACTGCTTTGAAAATAAAGTCTTTGTGATCAACATGTTTTCCTTTTAGTCTAGAGAGAAATGGGGGACCATCCGTAACTCCTGTCTTTAAAAAAGGTAATTGATTTTTCTTTAGTCTCTGAGGTAACTCCTAGCCCTGAAACCTTACAGTTCTGTGTTCCACTTCTAAAAATTCAGAATGTAGAGGTTATCCCCTAAAAAGTTTACCCATAAATTCTGCTTCTGTCATTTTGTGTATTTAAAATATCTTCCCATTTACAGAACCATGGTAATCATTTCTTTGAAGGCCTTCCCTACTAGATCACTTGGCAGAAACCCAGTCCTCACTTGTTCTCATAAGCCATGCATAGAAATAGGTCATTATTGAAACAAGTATGGCCTAAATTACGATCTTGCTATTATTTTGTTTCACGTACAACTTGTCTTTAAAAACTTAGGGTAAAGAAGCACATTTTTCCCCAGTGATACGCTAGTTTTATATATACTTGGTAGATGTTGGCTGAGCGATTTAGACTTGCAGGATCGGAGTACAGGCCTTACAGAGTTACTCACCGTTTCCTATTAGGTAATAGGGAAAACATTACTTTCTGACTTCATTTATATGCTTAGTGCTTATTCATGTGTGCTTAGTGTAGGGCCAATATCAGTCTTTTTTTTTTTTTTTTGTATATTATCTGATAGTTAAAAGCAAGGATAGAAAGGATTCAAAAGCCAAGATTTGTTTGTAAGTCACAAGTGGAAAGGGAGAGAATAAAAGAGAGAACGTCACTTATTCAGGGAGTGTCTGAGGAAAGGTAGGTTTGTGGGAGATTAAATATATGAATATCATGAGTAGAAGAATATGTTTTGTTTCTTTTTTTTTTTGAAGAATATGTTTTGTATAGCTTCTTTAGTGTAAGTAATTTACACAAAGGAATAAAGTCAGTCGTTTATTTCTTCACTTAAATACTGTTTTGTTTTGTTTTTTTTAACATTGATTTTTACATAGCAATCTGTGTACCATTAATGGTCTGATAATGTCTTCACAGGTTTATGATAAAAGAAAAAATAAGGACAATATAGCAAGTTTCTGATAAAGTTTCATTTAATATAAAATGTGACATTTTGAGATACGACATTTACACTTTCTTTTGGGTGTTAAGATATCCCTTCTTATACAAAATGACGTTGGCATTTGTTCTTTTATTAGTCCCAACTTGGCATACTAAAAAGTTGGCAACCATATTTTGGCCCCCACAAATTTTGCACTCTGATGTCTTAAAAGTCTGGAAGTTATGGATCCATTCTCTTAGTATGTTTTAATGATTTGAAGAAAATAGAATTATATAGAACCAAAAGCAATGAGACTAAATCTAGGACTCTTGGGCTTAAGAAAGAGATATTTAATTGTGACTGTCTAATTTTCAGGGAAAGAGCACCAAAGAAAATTAAAACCTAAAATTCAACCAAGAGATTCTTTGACTTTAATACCTCCTATAACTAACTTCACGGGACTCTTCAAAACAACAAAAAAGGCCACTGTTTCTCACAATATTTTTTCCTTTTCTTCTGCGATTCCATCAGACATCACAGAAGTATCAAGACCAAGAATAGTGTTTTTGAACCAACTTGGGAAACATGTACAAAAAGCTAATTCAGAACCTGCAGAAGGCTAATTAAAGCATTAATATGAAAGTATGAAGGAACTCCTGAGTAATCCTTTTAAATTATTTAATAATTTATGTTTTAGTAATCTCTACATTCAATGTGGGGCTTGAACTCACAACCCCAAGATCAAGAGTCACATGCTCTCTACTGACTCAGCCAGCTGGTACCCCCAAATTTTTTACTTTTGATTTTAATCTAGTTGTAGTAAAAATATATATAACATAGCTGAATATAAGCAGTTTAAATGGAAGTTCTTGATATTGATACTTTAAAAAATATTTTATTTATTCATGAGAGACACAGAGAGACAGAAACATAGGCAGAGGGAGAAGCAGGCTCCCTGCAGGGAGTCCGATGTGGGACTCAATCTGGGGACCCTGGGGTCACATCCTGGGCCGAAGGCAGACGCTAAACCACTGAGCCACCCAGGTGCCCCTTGATTTTGATACTTAATAGATTTTCTCTAGCCTGTTTACTGAAGTTTAACTTTAGGTCAGTTATATAGTTCCAAAAACTAAATACAATTTTCTTGCACTTAAAACTATTAAAATATAGCAACTGATATAAGTGGCATAAGTAGTATATCTATATCAAGTGTTAGAAACATGTTAAATTGGTATGCTGGGCTAAAGAGGCCTGATTCAAAATAGCCCACATGTTAACACTCATTGTAATACCCTGAGATATTTAATGATAAATACTACAAATGTATGAGGCTTTAAAACACAAAATGTAGAAATGTATATTTTTAAGACTTTAAAAAAAAAATTTGAAATCACTGCCCACCAAGTATAAAAGTATGGCTAAAACCGTGGCCACCAGTATTGACCATTCTCCATACTTGAAGTATTTTTGGTTTACAACTGGAAAGTATAATGCTCTGTGGCTTAGAATCATGTGATGTCTTTGCCCAAAGAGGACCGTTTCCAGTAAGTACAAGTTTTGATGTACATATGCTTCTATTTTACAGCAGGTAGATTTTTTTTTTTTTTGAAGATTTAGGGGATCCCTGGGTGGCTCAGCGGTTCAGCGCCTGCCTTTGGCCCAGGGTGTGATCCTGGAGTCCCGGAATCGAGTCCCACATTGGGTTCCCTTCATGGAGCCTGCTTCTCCCTCTCCCTGTGTCTCTGCCTCTCTCTCTCTCTCTGTGTCTCTCATGAATAAGTAAAATATTTTTTCTTTTAAAGATTTTATTTATTTATTCATGAGAGACACACAGAGAGAGAGAGAGGCAGAGACACAGGCAGAGGGAGAAGCAGGCTCCATGCCAGGAGCCCGACTTCGGACTCGACCCTGGAATCCTGGGATCACGCCCTGAGCCAATGCTGAAGCCACCCAGGAGTCCCAGGCAGGTAGATCTGATACAAAATCAAGCTGCTTCACTGTATCCTTTAAAGCCCTCGTGTTAACAGAGAAAACTGTCCACTTGCTCAAGCGTCTCCTTACAGTCCACCTGGGCTGCACTGAACATATATATTACCTAGCAGTTATTTTCCCTAATGTGCCTTAACACAAACAATAATGATAGTGATGATGGCAGCTACAGGAACTTAGGGCTTTCCATGCAGAGTCTGAAGCCTATGCTTTTAGCCTCTGGGCAGGAAGAGACCTCTCTAATCTTAAAATTTAATTCTAATTCTGGTGGATGTGCTAATATAGGAATTATGGGTGGGGGGAATAGCTTATTCTATTTCTATCTAAGGGATACATAATGCAAATGGTAAGAAACTGAGTCATTTATTCAGCACTGTTAAGGATAAGTATTCATATTAATGGAAATATTAAGCCTCTGTAGATGTAAAACAAAACCCTCCAAACAACAAACTGAGCTTTGACACTGGCCTTCTGGTGGACTAAAGAACATATTTTATGAATATGATCAGGGTTGAGTATTAGGGATTCTTTGTATTCAATAATATGAGATACTTCCTGCGTTTCTTGGCCTACCAAAGCCATCCTACCACTCCGAAAACTTAAAGTATTTTTCCTGAAGTACAGCTCCTCCAGTAAAGATTATTTTTATTACCCTTCATTTTTTCTTTTTAAAAATTATGTATGAGGGGCAGCCCCGGTGGCGCAGTGGTTTTGTGCCGCCTGCAGCCCAGGGCATGATCCTGGAGACCCAGGATAGAGTCCCATGTTGGACTTCCTGCATGGAGCCTGCTTCTCCCTCTGCCTGTGTCTCTGCCCGCCCCCCGCCCTGAATAAATAAATAAATCTTAAAAAAAAATATGTATGAGAAAGGCCTCAGGATAAGAGGATTTCAGCAAATTGCCTGCCTTCTATCTGTACTATTAGCTAAGTCTACGACATACGCTTGCCCACATAGAGGTCAGTATTTCTCCCTTCCTTATCCCTTCCCTATTTCTCTCTTCTTTCCCTTCCCTTATTTCTTATGGCCAGTACTGAAGGCCCACAGATGTGGGATGCTTTCTCAAATTGTTCATTTACCTGTAGTTTCTCTTATTTATAACATGAACTCAATTTTGACATGTGTGCTTGTGGTACCTGGAGCAATTTTGATACTTAAAAATTTTTGATACTTATAATTGTTAAAAAAAATTGAGATATCATTGTATAATATTGTGATAGTGGGAAGAAATTTTGGTCAATTTCCTTCCATACTTTGAATGCACTCTGATTGTGAGAGTCACAGGAAATACTTAAATTACTTCTCTGTGAATTCACGTTCACATGATACAGAACACAAATAAAAATGAAAAGTATGAATTCACAAACTAATAGCTTCTTCTAAATAATATTTATAAACCAATTCTATCATAGCTATACCTCAAAAGCTAAGAATACAAAGTTTTACAAATATTGTCTGTTTCTATGTGTTCCCTCATATGAATATTTTCTATTTCCAAATGGATAATTACAAAGCAATACTCTATGATCACAGTTCTTTAAAACAAAAAAAAGACAGTACATTCAGTTACTTTAGACAGAAAAAAAGTGATTACCTGGTATAAAGTTTCAGATTCAAAGGAAATTATCAATAAACAAAACCAAAAACCTTTACATCTCATATATTTTCATTGATTAAATACAATTTCTAAAATAATGGCTATAAATATATGTGGTCAATCATATTTCTTAAAATCTCAGATGCATTTTAAGAAATGTATAGACAGACATCCCAACTGCTCCAGGGAAGACACCTAATAACATATTTTTATAATTAATAACTTGCATTTTGTTAGAGAGTCACCTTTTGTCTTCATTTAGAATTCTCTGATTTGACATGACTTTGACTTGGCTACTTTTCTAAAATTGTTTTCTCATTAGAAAAGTCAGGCTGTTTCAAAAAATAGCTTCTACTGATAACCATCAGTTTGCCAGGTGGGGAGGGGACCGGGGTGAGCAGGTGAAATAAGTGAAGGGGATTACGAAGTACAAACTTCCCGTTATAAGTCAAGGGATGAAAAGTACAGTCGAGGGAATAGAGTCAATAGCACTGTGGTAACTTTGCATGGTACAGATAGTGAGACTATACTTAATCATAGTGTCATAATACATATAAATGTGAGTCATTAAGTTGCACACCATAATATAATATTGTAAGTCAACTGTACTTCAATTAGCTTAAAATAAGATACATAGAATATAATCTAAAAAAATAGCTTTTATAATCCTAATATGAGGAAAAGAGAAAAAAGTCTAAGCCTGTTTAATATGGGGCCAAGATTTAGCAGAATCATTGTATATCTTCCAAGGTTTTCTTTCTACTTGCCAATATCAGTACATTCTTTTCCGCACAAGATGTTTTACTTTAATTTTGATAATAAAAAAATTACACTCCCTTATAAGACTATGACATTATTAACAGTCTTTCAGAAGAGGTTAAATATCAAACATAAAAAAACAAAAGAAAGTCTTGATAAACAATTAGTATTATGTATCTTCCAAAATTTCATACACAAAAAATCACAACTTAATGTTGAAATACTACCTTAAGAGATTTTTTGAAGAGCAAAAATCAAATCTCCATTTTTAACCGTGGTACTTTTATGGCGGCTTCTCCAACTTCTTCTGATATATCTACTCCAAGAGGACATCTGCATTATAACCAGATAAATCTCATTATTTCAAATACTTGCTTCCTGATCTGTTGCTAGTTCTGTAGATTATTTGCTTAGAATTCTGACAAACACTGTATGTGTCTAATGTATAATATATGATGATGGTTCTTGAACACAAATACAGCAGGAATAATAGGTGAACAGAAGGCCAGTTCCATTAACAAGAAATCTAAATTTCAGGAATTTTTTTTTTTAAGATTTTTGTTTATTTATTTATGAGAGACACACAGAGAGAGAGAGAGGTAGAGACACAGGCAAAAGGAGAAGCAGGCTCCATGCAGGGAGCCTGACATGGCACTTGATCCTGGGTCTCCAGGAATCACATCCTGGACTGAAGGTGGTGTTAAACCACTGAGCCACCCAGGCCGCCCTAGAATTTTTATTATTTTATTTTTTATTGTATTTTTTTTGTTTTCTTTTATTTAAATTTCAGGAATTTTAAAAAATACTTTGAGGTATAATTGACATGTAAACAGCTATACATCTCTAATATATACAACTCAAGAGTTTGAGAATTAGAAGTTTTTGAAAGAAATAGTTTTACTGTTCTCATACTATGAATACAAACTTAAAATGAAATCGAAAAATGACAAAAATGCCTTATAATTCTCTTACAAAGCTGAAAGGGTAAAAACAATTTACCATGCAGCTAATGTCAAATCTGCATCTATTTCTACTTTAGAAATTCCCCTGGTTTTTATGGATTCTTCTCTGAGGTTTCAAAATCTGGCTTGCTTCCTTTCTACCTTCCTCTGTCACTCCTGGCAAGAGAGGTCTGAGATCCTACTCTCTTTCTCAGCTCTTCCTCAGTAAATAACTTTGGCCTTAGATTTCTGTTTTACAACACTGTCCAATATTAAGGCTTCAACTAGACCCTAATCTGGAAAAACCCATGGTCTTTCAGCCTCAACACTGTCACAAGAAGGCGACACCAGATCAGACAATATATTTAACCTGAGGCTAGGCCATCAATATAGGAGATTCATTCTGCCAATACTAACTAAATTCTGTTTACGGTAAGTTGTGTGTGTGGTTTTTTTTTTTTTAAGATTTATTCATTTATTCATGAGAGACACACAGAGAGGCAGAGACACGGGCAGAGGGTGAAGCAGGCTCCATGCAGGGACCCTGATATGGGACTTTACCCCAGATCACGGTCTGAGCCAACAGCAGATGCTCAACTGCTGAGCCACCGAGGCGTCCCTGTTTTTGAGAAGTCTTAATAGTCTATGGTTCATGTAGCTATAGTTATGGATTAAAATGCTGAAAAATTTTAAAACATCAAATAAAATCATGTTGAAAACAGAATTACGGCAGATTATGAAACATAATCATCCTTTACTATTTTACTATTCCAGAACTAACCTAGACCAGAAATTGGTAACAAATTGAAACACTGTGCTATTCTTTCGAACTCTGATCTGAGAGGAAATAAGGCTTTCAGAAAACAGGTATCTTTTGGCCCTCTTTCAGCTGCCTATGGAGAAGCATACTCACAAAGCAGTCTCACACCTGACTGCTTTGTACACCTCTCCCTGACACTCCCTAACATGCCAGCTAGTCCTGAGATTGCTTGAGATTGCAAAAGTCCAGGCCATGGACATGGTTTCTATTCTGCTACTAAATTCGGGAATTCATCACCCCTACCCGCCACCTATTTCTAACCTATGATTTGTCAAAATGTTTATAATTTGATACTGCAGGAGAGATATTTTTTAGAAGAAATTTCATGAAAGAAATCAATGTGATCTTTCTTCAGGTCAATGAAAACCTTATATATAAAAGCAAAATTTAGGCTTTGAATCTTCTACTGCAACTTGTACAGAGATTATAAAAGATACTACGTACTTGGGTTCATAGCGGATACCTTCTGTGTTGTATAAAACGCCCACACCAGCACGCAATCTTTCAATACCATTCCTAAATAAGAATCATTAAAATAAAATAAATAGACCAAGAGTTAAAAGAAGACTTAGTATGATGAAATGGCAAATGATGAGTGAAGCATATATATCCTGTGGCTCACCATGCAATCATAATGCCATTGTCAGTGCACAGTCTGGGAGGAGGACACAACAAAGTGCACTGTGTTGCATTTGTTACAATTTCCAGAGCTTTCCGGATATAGAAGTTACTTGCAACACCTCCAGATGCAACCTGAAGGAATTGAAAAGACCAAAAGTACCAAATATTATATATGGATATGAACCAAACTGTTAGCTACACCTGGGGAAAATACCAGCATTATACAGTAAGAAAACATCACATTTTGATAGGTGGATAAGCAAGTGATATATGTATATAATAACAATTTGGAGGAAAAGAAAATCAACAATTTCAATATCAGCATATGATGATTTATTGATTTATTTATTTAGAGGGGGGCAGGGAGGGACAGAGGGAGAGAGAAACTTGACTCCATACTGAGCATGGAGCCTAATCAGGGGTGGATCTCATGACCCTGAGATTGTGACCTGAGCTGAAACCAAGGGTAAGACATCTAACCGACTGTACCACCCAGGGACCCCTGACCACTTTCATTTTTGTACATTTTCTTCTTTTTTTCTAATTATAATAAAATAACAATATTTCAGACCCTATTTTTACTTATAAACATTTTTCTCATTTTACATTATTCTTAAGCAATTGCCTTTGATATTCATGTAATATTCCATTTTGTGAATCATTTAAATATTCTCTCATAATTTTCAAAAGGATGAGTTTTAAGATAAACAGGAAGTTTACCACAGCTTTTATGCAGATTTAAAGGGATTTCATCAAAAGAACATAAATTCAAAGGAAGCTAGCTTATTTTTCTAAATATAATGATAGCAGTTACTGCATTTCATTTCTTATTGTAAATCCACTTTCAAATTCAATGAGAAGATGAAGTCTTGGAGGTTTTTGCCACAAAGCCTGTACAAATGTCCCATAAAGTTGCCACACCTATATAAGAACTGGCTATTAGTTTTTATTCTGTAAAATTTCATACTTTAGGGCTAGTATATGATATAAAATTATTTTCATCCTAGAAATTAAGCTCAATTAAGCTCCTAGAAGAAAGGTTACATACTGTAAAGTGTTAACCCTATTGTTAGGAGAGGACTAAGCTTACCAGTACTGACTAAGCTTACCAGTACTGCGTTACTTTGAGGTAACAAGTCTCTCTGCTTACAAAACAGAATGGCACGATGTGTTCTTTTTGCAATGTGGCACGCTGTTGTGTGCTGTACTGCAGCAGCAATGTGTGCAGCTGAAGACAGGATTTGTCCCTTCTGGATCCCTGCAAAACGAGCAGGTATTTTTAGGCACAATCCAGCATTATGTATTTTATCAACTCTATTAATTAGAAAAATACCTTCCTCTTTTTCCTTTTGTGTTATTATCCTATCAGTAACATGCTGAAGTCCAGTAAAAGAAAAATCACAATTTTTAGCTCGTTGCATGGGAGGTTTGATATCAAAATGCAGTTTATTTCCTTGTTTGGCCAAATGTTCTATAGCCTTCCCACCACTCATGGTGGAGCACTCTGGATGTTTTATCAAAGACAATCTTCTTGCTACCTATCAAAAACAAAAGTTTTTGTAATGAGTCATAAAATTGCAATTCTGAAACCAAGGTGCAAAGGAAATTAAATTTACTAAAAAACAAAAAACAAAACAAAAAACCAGAACAAATCTGGATGAGTAAGACATGGGATGCTTGTAAAATTTGGACTACAGCTGGTAGTAAGGACAGATTCTCGCTCCTTTTGACAGCCTGATCAATAGTGGCCAATCACTGCTTCCCTATCACTTCTGCTCTTCTATCGGGAATGAAAAGTAAGTTTGAAGTTCACAACGACTGCTTAATGATAAACTTCAAAAATTAGAACCTGTCAATTTCTTCTAATCATTTTAGCTGTTGGTAGTAGGATTTCTGCATATAGCAGTAGCCTCAAGGATTCATAAACAAAGGAAAAAGAAACCTGCTTGTTAGTGTGGTCAGCAATTGTGATGTTTAATCATAAAACTTTGTGCAGCTTTACAGTCTTTACGTTATCTTTATATACCCTCTTATTTCACATTTTTATAGTGCTTTACATGGCAATTTCTTTCATATATTTTTTATTAAAAACATAACTGCAAACATCTGAGCCTTTATGTACTGATGAAAACCTCTTACCATTTTATTCATAATGGGTAAGAAATCTCTTATAAAACTATGTAATACTCTTTTTCTGTTTTTCTTACTGTGCATAAATTTTTCAGTCTAATAGATTAATCAGAAATATTCGGATAAACGGTAGCAGTATATCTATTACTATTTAATTGAAAAAGGTACCTTAACAGAAAAGAATGGGGAAATTAATTCTTAAATAATTACCTTGTCAAGCATGTCACCTGGTGCTACGTCCAAAGACTTTCCCAGAAGCAGAAAATCTGAAACTCCTCTAACTAATGCCAATAGACAATGGCCTCCAGAAATCAAAAGAACTAAAAAGGGAAATTCTACTTTATTTAACAACCTAATAGTAAGTGCATGAGCCTCCATATGATGAATGGGAATGAAGGGTATTTTTAATTGGTCTACTAGTCGTAAGCTAAATGATAAGCCTACTCCCAAGCTTAACGCAAGTCCTGGTTTTACAGTAGTTGCAATTGCTGAGAGTTCACTTGGAGAGATTTTACTGGTAGACAGAGCTTCTTTCACTATTCGTTGGATATTTTCTCTGTGAAGCTGCTGAGCTACTGGAGGAACAATCCCACCTGTTCTGGAAGAAATAAAAAAAACCTTTATAATTAAAACCTTTTATAAACTTTTTATAATTAAAGCTTTTTATAATTTTAGGATTGTGAAAATAGAGTAAGAAAAGTTTTATATCAGGGCTGAAGGCATGTTTTCAAATTAATCATTATATAGGTAAAAATGTTAGTCAAGTATATTCAAATATGTGTGCCTTATAATGCAGCTCACTATAACAACTTAGTATGCAGTGATTAATAATGTCTGACATTTCAAAATTGTACACAACAAATTCCTATGGATTTGTTGATGAATTAAATCACCAAAATAATCTTAAGCATTCTATAGAGGATGTCTTGAGCAAGGACAGGATAAAATTGGATTTTAGAAAAATTAATCTGTCTGGAGACAGGGAGATTTTTAAAAGAAGTTATTGTAAGAGTATTCGTTTACATCATAAACTGCGTGACCATGGGATGTGAAAGAAAGGGACAGAGAGCCCTGAAAACTGTTATAATGGACTGGCTGTATGAGGGAGGGGGTCCAAGGCATCCAAGACCATTCAGATATTGAGCTGGAATGACTGGGAGAAAAGAAATACTAACAGAGAGAAACATAAAGTCAGTTTTGTGAAGAAGATGAGTTTATTTTTAAACACACTGCACTTGAGGTCACAGCAGGACAGTAGACAGCTTACAATCCTGAAATACAGTTTAGGAATCTACTGCTTAGGTTGACCATTTTGATTTGGGGTCCATGTAGGATAAGCAGCGAATGACCGCTCCAAATGTTGAGAGTGAAGTAGTAGGAGGCAAAATTGCTAGCAAAAATTTGCCAGCATGTGACTGACTTACAATCAGAGAAGCAGAGCAATAAAATATAGAGTCTGTAAGATGCACCTCTAATCTCAAAAAAATCTTCAAATATTTGATGCTGCAAGTTTTATACACAGAAATGAAAACTCTCAGTAGGAGCATTCAACTAGGACTTATTTAATAGTTATGTATTGTATCAGCCAAAGAGGGAAACCATAAAACAATCTTATTCAACACATTCATATAGTAATACTATTTTCTTTAGTTCTTTAAAAGAACTATGTAAGTTTTCTCTTCTATTGTTCAACTCTGCTAATGGCATTAAACTTTCTAATCACTTGGATTTCCAGCTTCATCTTCATCTCCTTTATCTCACTTTCCACAAATAAATGTATCACCATTCCCACTGCTGCCATCAAATTCAGAAGGCTCTCATCATCTCAAGTCTATTCAAAGCCTTCTAACCGCAATTCCCTAGATAGATTTTCTGATCCCTGCAGTCCATTCTACATTGTGTTGCCAGAAAGTAAAGCACAACGTAAAGCTGACCCCATAACTTGCTTACTCAAAAGCACTATCTTGACATTTGGGTGACTTTAAGTCCAAATCCTTTCCTCCCACTAATTCTTCCTTCTCCCCACTTGCCTACCTTCCTTCCTATCTGTACCTCCTGTATGTATTTTATCTTCAAAGGATTATGCTAGCTATGCACCAGAGACAAAAGAGATGAGTAAGACCATGGCTTTATTCTCAGAAGAATTAATTTGTACACAATATGGAGAGTAGGTGATTGAGAGGCCAAAGCTAAAAAAAGGCAGGGAAACCATCTGGCCTCAAGGTAGGAGCCAAGAGTCCAGAGAAGAGACAATAAGGGCTTGAACTGGGGCAGCCCAGGTGGCTTAGCACTTTAGTGCCGCCTTCAGCCCAGGGCCTGATCCTGGAGACCCGGGATCCAGTCCCACGTCGGGCTCCCTGCATGGAACCTGCTTCTCCGTCTGCCTGTGTCTCTTCCTCTCTCTCTCTGTCTCTCATGAATAAATAAATAAAATCTTTAATAAATAAATAAGGGGAAAAGGAGAGGAATGTTTGAAGAAATATTTGGGAGGTTACTGTGACTGGATGACCGATTTGACACAGAGTATTGAGAAGGAAGTTAAAAGACTGTCCTTCAGGTTTCTGGCTTGGAAGAAAGCCCCCCCCCCCCCCGCACTGTCCTCCATTAATGCATTTCATGCTGTTTTACAAAGACATGTTCACCAATCTGCCTTCTTCACTCATTTATATCAGTAAAGAAGTACTACTGTTACCAATAATAGCTTTTTTTGAGCTCTTGCTACGTGTCAAGAACTGCACTACACATCTTGGAAGAATTCACATTTAATCCTCACAATATTATAAGTTAGTTGTCATTACTATCCCAGTTTCAAATATAAGGAAACCGAGGCGCAGAAAACTGTACAAGGTCTCATGTTGACCCAGAACGTGGACCTACACTCTAAGCCACTTTACAGGGTCAGCTGCTCAGAGACAAGGATCATACATCTTAGACATATTTGTACCTCGGTGCTTCAACTGCTGCCTGGCAACTGAAGGTATTCAGTAAATGCTGAGATGAGCTGTGTAGATGGTACCATACAGTTTACTTGCCTGTGTACTCCTGTCAGGTGACCTAGGCACTAACTAAATTGAATGTCTACCTGTATTTTCTCTCCTCTTTGCCTTTGCTATGATGTCTACTCATGCTACAGTATTTTTTTTTTTTTTGTCTCATTCACTGAAGGCCTACTTAACACCTGCAATGTAGCACATGCTATGCTGGCTATCAGGCACATTGTAGGGATTAATAAAGATACAGCCCATCACCATGGAGTTTGGAGTTTATTGGGGTACAGACTGTACGTAAGTAAACAAATGTAAAAATCATCAAAAAGATGACGAAAATAAGCAGGGTGTGGTGATACAGAACAAACATGGTGGGAATGTCGAATTTAGATAAAGTGTTCGGGGAAGGCCTTTCTACACAGTTAACATTTTTATGTTCAAAGGTCCAGGACACTCAGAAACAGGGAAAGAACCGTGGTAGAACAGTTACTGTTCGCACCACTTGTTATATGCTTACTTTACGCTGCCTTGTACTGCATGCTCCGCGTTCCCTTGTAGCTCTGCCTATCATTGGGCCAAACTCCTGAAGGCAAAGACTCTCCTAGTACTTCACCCTTTCACAGGGCATGCAACTGCTAGAAGCCCGCTCTGTCTCTCCACGTACACTCCTCCTAACTGCAATATCCTGTATTGTTTCTATTCCCTCTCCATGACCCTATCAGGCAGGTATTATCTTTCCCACTGTACACATGTGAAAACACAGAGAGGACAAGGAACTCGCCTAGCATCAGAGTCACCACCGGGTGCCTAATCCCTAACTCAAATACAGATCTGTGATCTCAAAATACTGACCTTTTCCACTAGTCACGTTATAAATTGATGGCTCAAAGACTTATTTGATCTGCACAGTATTTTAACACACTTTGAATCAGCAACTAATCTTAAAATCTAGCGCTATTAGTTATATTCTAGATTTCCATTTTCTCTCGGGAACACTGATGATCACGTGGCACAGGGCTGGCATTTCTGCATGGCAACAACTGGCTGCAGCTGAGCAGTCGCCTCCTCCGGGTATTTCCCACTTTGGGTCCAGCCCACTTATCAGTGTAGCCTGGCTAGAGTCCTCTGCAAACAGAGGACTTTACAAACCCTGTGCCGGCCTGTGCTTTAACACAATCGTATTTTGTTACTTATTTGAGTGCCAACATGAGTTCTATGTATAAATGTGAATAGGATTTTTTTTTTTCCTGTGACTGACACAGTCTAGATAGAGATAGGGTGATGCTCTTCTCGGACTTTAGTCAGGACCATGAAACCTACAGGTGGACAGAAGCAGGAAAAGCACTATTGAAGGGAAATGATGCCTAAATTGTGGAACTGGGAATGAGCTTCGCTGTTCCCGCAGGGGGCTCAGCAAGGGCTGGGATCTCGCTGTGCAGACTTAGAAGACACCCCAGTGGCTCAGTGGTTGAGCATCTGCCTTTAGCCCAGGGCATGACCCTGGACACCCAGGATCGAGTCCCACGTCGGGCTCCCTGCATGGAGCCTGCTTCTCCCTCTGACTGTGTCTCTGACTCTGTGTCTCTCATGAATAAACAAAATCTTAAAAAAAAAAAAAGTCACATCGAAGGGTTTGAGGTCTTCTACAGCAGCGACTAGAACACTTTCCGCAAAAGAACTATGCTCTTGAAATTGCACTTACATATGACAAACAGAGAAGAATAATTTCATTTTCCTTTTCCGCCAAAAAAAATGGGAACTACCCAGGTAACGTCTACTTACTTTAAGTGGACTTCAGTCTGGGAATGTATGGCTTCTCCCCAAACCTTTCCACTATCATCCACCACCGCAGCCGCGGTATCATCACAACTGGTCTCAATCCCCAGGATTAGTTTATGAAGAAACAGTTTTCCAGGATCAAAGCCAAAACTTCTTAAAAACTCACACATCCTGCTTCTTGACGGCTTAGGAAGAGCCGCTGCTGCCTTGTGCAACGTCAGCATACCTACTCTACAGATAATTCCTGGAAAAGAAATGAAGAAACAAACTGTCCGGAACTGACGCTGACCACCAACGCATCCGATTAAACCCGATTCTGAGAACCTGATTTTTCAATATAATAGTTTTGTAGGATTATAAGACTGTACAGAAGTCAGCAAAAACTGTTAAATGTGCACAGGTCGCTACGGCCTTTAACACGCAGTCCCGGCGCCCCCGTCCCGGCGCGAGGCCCTCCGGACGGTCGCCAAGTCCCCTAACGGCAAAGTGGGTCCATCTGCAGTTCCCACTGCTTCGCGGCGGCCACGCGCCCCGGGACGCGAGCGACGAGCGACCGGCCGGCAGACGACGGCTGCGGGGAACGTTCCACCGGCCCAGGGCGCGTCGGGCCGCCCCCGAGGGGCGAAGCGCGCAGGCCGACCACCGAGCACCCAAGGGGCGCCACAGCTCCGGCAGCTTCCGGCCCGGCCCGGAAGTGACGTCACCGGCGTCTCGGCGCGGCCGGGCCCTCGGGGCGCCGCTAAGGGGCTCGGCCCTGAGCTGCCCCGGGCGCGAGCCTGCGCTCAGGCGTCCCTTCAGGCTAGGCGGGAGCGGCCCGGCCGGGTCGCGGCAAGGTCACGCGGCGGGGTCGCCTGACGCCCCCGCACTAGGTTCTAAGCACTTCGCTACGTTACGAGAGAATTTGGGTTTGCCTTCGGCCGGAATTGGGAGCCGCTGTGAGGGAAGGCTGGTGCGGATCGTCGGCCCTTCCGTCTCTGAGGAGCTGTGGCCGAAGCAGCTGACGACTGCAGGGCCAGCGTGGAGGCCGCGGGACCGGAAGCGCCGCGGGACCGGAAGCGCCGCCGCTGGGGTGACGTGTGACGCCGGCTGGTCTGTGGTTGAGGAGGTGCCGCGGCTGCGCTGTCCGCTGGCGGTGAGTAAGACGCCGCCGCCTGTCGTGGCCGCGCCGAGCACGCGCACGCGCTCCGGGCCCCCTTCAGCGCTTGGGTCGGTTGTGGGCCTTTGGGGTTCGCGTTTACTGCCGTGACCTTGCCGCCCTGGGCGTGGACACATTTACCCCAGAGGCGCTCCTCGCCCGCTGGGCCTCGTGCCCCGTGTGCTGCCGGACGCCGTCGGGCGCTTGGTGCGGGGAGTCACGGGGACCGCCCGGGGACACGCGCCTGTGCTCGCGGCCGCCGAGGTGCTGGGGGTCCCTGGGCGGGACACATGACGGGCGGAACCGCGACCTTGGGGGACAGCTGTGCTGTGCCCGCCAGGTGCCCCCCGCCAGGTGTCTCCCGCCACGTGCCGACCCCCCTGGGTGCCGCTCCGCCAGGTGCCCCCCTGCCAGGTGCCCCCCCGCCGGCCCCCCCCCCTGCTTCCCCGCCAGGTGTCCCCCGCCCGGTGCCTCCCCGCCAGGTGCTACTCTCACCCTCTCCGCCAGGTGCCTCCCCACCAGGTGCCTGCTGCCCTCATCTCCCGGATGAGGCAGCTGGACCACACAGCTGGATTTGCAGGCCACACAGTTCTTGGAATTTGTTTCCTCAACTTCCACAAGATAAAATAACTCCTATTTTCCCCTAGGACGTGCGGCTGACCCACAGAAGACAAAGAGTAAGACCCAAATGTCAAGAAAAAGTAGTTATCTTGGCTGCATGATTAGAGGTTCCTTTCTGTTAACTGCTGAAATCCATTCTGACCGTAAAACCTCCCGCCGGGGGATCCCCGGGGCGTGACCCCGGCGTTCCGGGATCGAGTCCCCTGTCGGGCTCCCTGCATGGAGTCTGCTTCTCCCTCTGCCTGTGTCTCTGCCTCTCTCTCTCTCATGAATTAAAACAAAACAAAACCTCCTGCCTGTGGCATTTTCCTAGTTTGAATTTCGCGCAGCAGGTGCGTCTCCACGCCCTCAGGGATCACGGGCCGCGGGACTCCTGGCTGACTCCGGGCGCTCGGCTGCTGTGGCCCTAACGCCGCACACCGGGAACCTGACCTCTAGGACGCAGGAGGGAGGAGCTCCTCCTTCCTCAGGGTGATGGCACGTGAGCAGCAGAAAGAATAGGTGCCTCTACCAGGACCGCGGGTTTGGCAAGTGATGGTTTCCGTGCCCTTTACTGTTGGTTGAGAGGCGTTTATGTCGTGGCTTGACTGGGCCTTCACACGGGTCACGTCCGCGGTGTGAGTGCCACTCCTGGACGGTCCCCGAGAAATACGGCCTGACTACTGTACCTTCCCCTGGAATCCAGAATCAAAATATGCCCATTTTGTCTGTGCTATTGCCTGATTCTTCATTTTTAAGTTTCAGAGGAAAATTGTATGTTGAAGAATCTTTGCAACACTCATTTCTTTTTTTTTTTTTTTTTAAAGAAATTTTTTTTTTTTTTTTAATGATAGTCACACAGAGAGAGAGAGGCAGAGACACAGGCAGAAGGAGAAGCAGGCCCCATGCACCAGGAGCCCGACGTGGGATTCGATCCCTGGTCTCCAGGATCGCGCCCTGGGCCAAAGGCAGGCGCCAAACCACTGCGCCACCCAGGGATCCCGCAACACTCATTTCCTAATTACATCTTACTGAATTGGATTCTATTTTCATTTAATATTTCATTTATTACATATTGATTGGATTCTTTTTTTTTAAATTTTATTTATTTACTTATGATAGTCAGAGAGAGAGAGAGAGAGGCAGAGACATAGGCAGAGGGAGAAGCAGGCTCCATGCACCGGGAGCCCAACGTGGGATTTGATCCCGGGTCTCCAGGGTCGCGCCCTGGGCCAAAGGCAGGAGCTAAACCGCTGTGCCACCCAGGGATCCCTATTGATTGGATTCTTTATGAACTTCATCTGTTGTTAGAGATAAAAGTTAGGATCCACTCTCTATCTTCAAGGAACTGAGACTAACACTAGGTGATTACGATGCAGCATTATGGAAAGTGTGCGCCCAGAGCAGGAAGTCCCTTGGGGAGGGTGGTGTCCTTGCCACAGAAGTACCCGGAGCCTAGCAGGAGCTTGGTGTGCTTACTGTTTCAACACCTGATGTTCTAGGCTTCACACTGGTTTGTCAGATCTGGAAGTGACTGGACTTGGGTGCTGTTACACACTCAGTCTGCTCAGAAACTGCTTTGTGAAGATGATACACTGATGTGTTAATTTATAAAAAAAAAAAATGTAATGATGAAAGGTAGGTTACTTAAGTTTGCTGTCCTCACCTTCTCTGTATTGAGCAAATGATAGTGAAAGCCAGATCCAAATTATAATCAGAATTTGACAAATATGGAATGGAAGCAATAGAAATGAGTTTGGGGCTCTTAATGGTTAATATTTCAGGCCTGATGCATTTCTTTTGAGTCCCCTGTCTTACATTCTTCATGGGTTGGATTGTGCTAGTCATTTGTCTTTCTCCTTTTTAAAGAGTTTTTTTTTGCTGACAAGTATCTCTTTAGAAATCTTTTCATTAATGGTAATACAATCAGTCACGTCTCATCCTTGGAAGATATTTTGCTTTTTTTTTTTTTTTTTTACTTGCTGAGCCATTATGCTTATTTAACAAATTTACCTTCAAAGGATTTATTTTACTGTTGTAAAATATATGCAAAATTTATCATTTTAACCATTTTTAGGTGTACAGTTCCATAGCATTAAGTATATTCACATTGTTGCGTAAACATCTTTATCATCCATCTACAAACCTTTTTCATTTTTCCCAGTTGAAACAGTACCCATTAAACACTAATTCTCTATTTCCCCTTCCTGCTAGCGCCTGGAAACCACCGTTAGGTCTCTGACTACTCTAGATACCTCATATAAGTGGGATAATACAATTACTTGTCCTTTTGTGACTGGGTTATTTCACATAGCATTAACGTCAAGGTTCATCCAGTGTGGTAGCATGTGTCAATTTCTTTTCAAGTGGAATAGTCTATTGTTTATATATATGTTGTTTATCCATTCATCTGTCAATGGACACTTGAGTTATTTCCACCTTCTAACTATTATGAGTAATGCTCCTATAAACATAGGTCGCACAAATACCTTTTCAAATCCCTGCTTTCACTTCTTTCGGGTATATACCCAGAATTGGAATAGCTGGATCATATGGTAATTGTTTAATTTTTTGAGAAATTGCCTTACCCAGATGATCTTATTTTTCAAGTGCGTGGGGGTCTATGTGTATTTTTGGCAGGGGAAGGAGGGGGTGAATCTTTTTGTTGCTTCCATATACTCCCTATGACTGTTAAGTACCATGATAGAAACATGACTTGATAATCCATAGGAGGAACAAATGTTTCAAAACAGAATCACTGCTTCAGGTTTTCTGTAGTAGGTGATATACTGGTATTTTCTCAGCAATGTCAGTTATATCATCTGGCCTTTCTGTTCCCATTTAAAAAATTATAACACGAATAATGAATGCTTATCTTCTTGATAATACACTCAACAGGTTTTTTTTTGCAAAATCTGGACAGTTTTCAAAAAATGTCAATAGAAATTTATAACATTTGGAAAGCCAGAAATTTTACATACTATTAAACTCCTGTCATAGTTTATATTTTAAAAAGAGTTCATTCTACAGTGTTAATTATATATATATATATATATATATATATATATATATATATATATATATATATAATTCATTAAAGACAGAGAGAGGCAGAGACACAGACAGAGGGAGAAGCAGACTCCATGCAGGGAGCCTGACTTGGGACTCGATCCCGGGTCTCCAGGATCACACCCCTGGCTGAAGGCAGCGCTAAACCGCTGAGCCACCTGGGCTGCCCCTGATACAGTTTTTTTACTATAGTTCTTATAATTGAGAATTTATTTTTATTGATATAATTATTCAGTTAAAGTGAATAATCATAGTGATAAACTTGGCCTATCTGCTAAACTTAGAATTACATAGAACTTTAGTGCTACAGGTTAAGTCATTTCCATATCATTAGTTATCAAAGGCTTGAATGAGTCAAAAAATGTAATAAATTAACAATGCTGAACATAGAATCCAAATGTATTTCTCCTAAACTGTTTTATGAAAAGATTTCAGATTATTAAAGTGTCAAGAATACTATCAAATTCTGTGAACCCAACACTTAAGAGAAATGTGGCCCTATACAGTTGAAGCCTTCTATGTACTGCATACCTAAGACATTCAGTATTCTAAATGAGTTTACAATTTTCATGTGTTCATTTGAAGCAAAATGAAAAATTTTAAACCCCATATAAAACTACCCGTTGAATCATTTTTTTAATAAAGATTTTATTTATTTATTCATGAGAGAGAGAGAGAGAGAGAGAGAGAGGGAGGGAGGCAGAGACACAGGCAGAGGGAGAAGCAGGCTCCAAGCCGGGAGCCCGACACGGGACTCAATCCCAGATCCCAGGACCACATCCTGGACCAAAGGCAGGTGCCAAACTGCTGAGCCACCCAGGGATCTCCCCGGTTGAATCATTTTTAACTGGAACTGAAATTAGGGAGTAAATTCAAAACCTGAGGCATTTCAGAACTGTTCTTTTTGACATTAGACAAAATGAAGGAGAGTTTATCTTTGCTATTCTCTTATCCACCTTCCTTCCCTGCCCATTACTACTACAAATTTCCTTTTAGATCATTTTTAGACCTGTCTTTCCAGTACTGAGCCTGTTTACATTTCCTACCTCAACACGTAATATCCATAGTAATTGTTTTGAAAATTACTCTGTTTATCTGTCCTGTTGGAAGCATTACAAAACTACGTTGGTATACACTGGGTTGCTGCATTTGTCTTTTTCAAGATTAGCATGAGAGCATTTTGGGGTCATATTTACTGGTGACGTATTAATAAAAGATGTAATATAGGAGAAATACATTGCATGACAATAAGTTTCAACCTGAGCTAGATGAGATGTATCAATAGGCTAAAATCTAATAAGATGAGGTTCCACAGGAAAAAGAAATCTTAAACTTGGTTTAATAAATCCATTAAGTATATAGAGGGAAAGCCATCATTTAATGGCACTACATGTTGAAGAGTTGAGGTTTTAGTGATTGCAAGGTGAATCAGTGATATGTAGCTGCCCGAATAGCTAAGATATTAGGCTATATTAAAAAAAAAAAAAAAAGAAGGATCCAGAACAAGGGAAGTGGTACCATTGTAGTGACATCACCTCTTGTAGTCAGCTCTAGTGCTGTATAACAATAAACTGCAACTCAGAGTGGAATTAGTAGGAGAGATTTGAAACCATAGCGTATGGAAAATGGTGAAGACTCTGGTAATGGTTATTCAGTGCCATTGATAACAGTTTAAAAGTTGAACAGTTGAAGAGTTATATAGAATGAGGATTAGATTTTGGTTCAGTGTAAAACAAGTTATAAATTCCATTACAAAAATGCAGCCTTATAAGTCTTCCTTTATTAGCACTAACACAGAACTGAATGGAGGTGTGATGGTTAATAAAAATTCAAGGTAAGGTAAGGAGTTGAAATTACATAGCCTCTAACGTCTTTTCCAACTGTTAGCATCATATAACTCCATAAGGCTAATTCATACAGGTATTATAGTTAAGGACATCTTGTTATGCCCCTTAGGATCTTTATAGTTTAGTAGACCATAGTGCCATAAACCTAAAACATATAGTTCTATGTTTAACAAAAAGGGGAGGCAGATCAAAAAGATACAGAAACCAATTTGGAAATTACCACTGGGAACTTTGACTTCCAATGGCCAAATCTGGAGAACCACTTGGAAAGACTAATAATGACAATAATGAATTGTAAACCAAAGAATAAGGTATGTGTAAGTTCAAAATATACAAATGATTGATTTAAGGAAAAGGAAAAATCTTCCATACAGAATTCCAATAAATGTAGGAATAAGGAAGAAGAAAACCACCATGGAACTCCATAATGGTTGCAGGGAAAATTCACCAATGAATGCTAAAATTAGTGGCAATCCTGAGCTCCTGTACATTTAGAAACTGCCATTGTTTCCTGACTTGAAAATAGGAGCCATTATAGCATAGCAATTAGTTTTGTTCAAAGTAATAGTCATTATAGATTTTATTTTTAAAAAAGTTTTTTTTACATTAAACTACAAACTTGTGAAAATTGGGAAGTTCACCTAGGTGTTAAGAACAAAAAAGCATATCCCAAATTTGATCACTTCCCAACCACTCCATCAGCTATTCCCCTAGTCTGAGCTACCTCTTGCCTGTAGTAGTTTCCCAATTATTCTTCCTCCTTCCTATTTCTTTACACTTTATTCTCAACATTAACCAGTAACCTTAAAAAAAAAAATCAGATCCCTCTAATCATCTATGTAAAATTATCCAATGGCTTTGTCTAGCTTAGAAGAAAATTTGCTTATTACTTTGGCTAACAGAGGCCTATATATGATCTGACTCTTACCTATTTCTCTGACCTCATTTGTTACCATTCTTATCCTCCTTATTATTACTCCTTTCTAGTCCAAAAATCACCTTAGGAACATTAGAAGACCTAAGGTAGGCTCCCCTGCCTTTTACCTGCTTAATTTTTTTTCCACTACATTTATATCACTACATGAAATAATATGTTTTGATTCATTTTTTTTTAACCTGTTCTCCAATTTGAATGTAAGCTTATATGGGAAAAGATTTGGTTTGTCTTGCTTACGAACTGTAACCACAATACCTAAAACATACCTACACCAGAGTGAGCCCTCAAACATCTATTGAATAAATATTTTTAAAACACTGAAGGGTGGGAAGTGGGGAAAAAAGGCCTGTATTAACAGAACTTCCATCTCTGAAGTCTGTGCAAAAAATGTTAAGCCTTTAATATAAGGAAAAAGGAATATTTTCAACTACCTTAATTTTACAAATTCAGTTGCTTAAAAAAAAGCCTTGAAAAATAAATATGACACTGCTGAGTGAATTTGGAGATTATTTGCAAGAATCTTACATGAAAGAAAAATTTTATTGAAGTATAGATTACTGGTTTAAAAAATACAAGGGAAAAGACAAACATATAAAAGCATTATTATATAACTGATTTCTAAACTCAATACTTTGGAAATACAAAACAATGATCAATACCCCTAGAAAGTCAGTTTATTGAAATAAATTAATTTTTCAGTTGGTCTGTAACTCTCTTCACTCAGGCTTACAAATACTGGATTTTTCAGTTTCATCCCATATCAGAACTTTGTTTTTGACATGTTTTCTTCTCAAAGTAGTATATAGTTATTTATGGCAATTAATGTCAACCATAGGAAGATTCTCTAAGTTACAGGAATTCAATATGGTTGCTGCTTTGGAAACAGTTACCACTTGGGTTAATCTACACCAAGACTAAGACCCATGTAATGAAAGGCAAAACATTTATGGGCAAAATATGGGTATTGAGAGCAGGGCGTCTAAGAAAAGACCATGTTTTCTTATACTGCAGATCTGCTAGAGAAGACTCCATTATTTACTTTGGTATTACTGCTAGAAAAGCAGTTTCTGCTAGACTACAGGTTGGCCGTATAGTTCTCCATTTTATGTTTCTTTTTCTAGACAGCAGCAGACTTTAACAATTAGACAGAACAATCAAATAAACAGACACCTTTAAATTACCATATATCTTAACTGTGAAATAAATTATTTTTTTAATTGGTTTAGCAGCCTTGTGTCTGGAAAGGCAGCAAAACCCATTCTGTTCCAAAATTAGAAGGCTGACTCAGAGGCTATTTGTAAGATGCCTGGCTGTCTTCTATCACCAGTCATGAAGGTAGGGCCTCATGAACCCAGTAATTAAATAAATGTAAAATGACCTCATCCATCAATACAATGTTGAACCAGCAAAAGCAAAAAAGTACAATCATAAAGTAGGGATTGGCCTGTATAAAACAAGAGGGAAATATCCTCTTATATGACACAAAAGGAATACATATGGTAATAAAAATTACAATAAACTTATAAAGAGATGATTCTGGTTTACACGCATATCTGCTTAAACTGAGTGATTGGAAATTTTCTTTTCCTAACATAATGCCCCCTCGTTATAAGCTAAGCTGGTCTTAGTGTCTTATAAATCTCTTATTTCCTTGGATTTATCTACTATACCCTCACTTCACAGCCATTTAACTTATAAGCTGGGCCTGCCCAGCCTGCCTATAAAGCCTCTCTTCAGAAAGATACCACATGCATTAAACAGAGGCATCTTCTAGTAAATATCTGCACTTCAAAACAGCCTATGAAGAACCAGCAACTGGCCCTCCAATGTAAATACTTCTCATTTCACATTTTCACAGAAACAGTGCAGTTTACTAACCACTCCTTATAGAAAACTGAGTAGCTATAAAAATTTTTGTTCCATTTCAAAACACTTCAATACTTGTTAATTCCAAAGATCCGAACACCATGTAGCTGTGGCATTTTAGGAATCAGCACACTCAGGAGGGAAGCCGTGTTTAGGATGAAGTGAGTTGGATCATACTTCGTATAGAAACTTGCCAGAAAATATCTGTAGAAATAAAAATTAAAAATATAAAACATATAACGTGTAAAATCTGTAAAAAAAAAAAAAAAAAATAAAGGTAAAACAAAGGTCACTGAAACATAAATACCTAAAAGCAGAATCACTTCTGAGCACTAAAACAGTTTTACAGTTTGGGGCCTGAATTAATTTGGGATTAAAAAATTTTTTTTTCATTTGTTTTTACTGAAGTTCAATTTACCAACATACAGTATAACACCCAGTGTTCATCCCATCAAGTGCCCTTCTCAGTGGCCGTCACCCAGTCACCCCAACCCCCGGCCCACCTCCCCTTTGCAACCCTTTGTTTGTTTCCCAGAGTTAGGAGTCTTTCATGGTTTGTCTCCCTCTCTACTTTTTCCCCACTCAGTTCCCCTCCTTTTCCTTACAGTCCCTTTTACTATTATTTAAAAATAGTAGTGGAGGCATATATGCACATTTTGCATTTCTGCAACTATGTTGAATGCATTTAAAATAATGTGCTTGTGGGGCGCCTGGGTGGTGCAGTCAGTTGAGCCTCCAACTCTTGGACCAGGTCATGATCTCATAGCATGGAGTCAGCTTGGGATTCTCTCTCCCTCTTCCTCTGCCCCTCCTGCTCATGCACTCTCTCTCAAATAAATAAATCTCAAAAAAAAAAAAAAAAAAAAAAAGAATACGTTTGCACTTAGCAACCTTTAAAGCAGAGGTCTTCCAAATTAGGGTTCAGACATTTTCTGAAATTTCAGGTATAGTTGTATTTGTGTGTATGTTTCTGAAGAGAAGTTCCAGGTCCAAAACATCTATCATATTTTCAAAGGGTTTTCACTAAAAGGTTAGAAGCTATGGCTATAAAGTTGTGAAAAATGGGGTGTTAGTACATTAGTACAACTCAGTATCTTTGAAAGAAAATAAATAGTTGATTGCCCTTTTGATATTCTCATTTCCATACTGTAGCTGAACAAGTCGATAACCAGTTCAACTGGAAAAAGACACTGGTAAAATTCTAGCTGCTTGCTGTAACTGAATGTATGTACACATTCCAAGATATTCAACATCTGAGAATTTGTTTTAACAAACCTAGGCTACCTCTAGGACCATAAATCAAGTCAGAAGGTCTAGTTTTACCCAAGGGTACATCAAAGTGTGGACACATCATCTGGCCACTGAGAGTATCCTATTATCAATAGGATGTAAAGACTAAAACATCATACTTCACTGGATCATAACTAAGAAGTTAGTCTGCATATGGGTATTTGTCTAATTAGTACAGTACTTCCTCTAAGTACTGTCAGTAAGTTCTAGGAAGGGGAGAAAAACGTCTTGTGTATTATGGTTAGAAAAGAACAGCTATTTTTAGGTATGGCTAAAAACATCACAGAGAGCTCTATACATGATTTTCAGAACCATCCAAATTGAGAAATTCTTTAATTTTCCACCAATTTTGCAACTATAACCAGAGAATACTTCTTGAGAATAAACCATATTCTTCAATCTTTAGTCTAAACCCTTTCTTCTAGCTTTCGTATCCTTGGCAACTGTTTTTACACTTCCTTCACTGATACCACTTGCATTTAGTAAGTTCATTTGATTTCCCATAATCATTATGGGCTTAATCTGTAACCTCATATGTTGGAAATAGTCTATCTTTTTGGAATCGCCTCTCATCATACTGTAGCATATGTCCCCCTTTATTCTTTTAATGAAAATTAACTGTATGTGTAAATTATATGAAAATTACTTGGTTCTTACACAAAAACCTACACAACCCTCCAAGGGGATGCAAAACCAAAGCAGGAATTGTGTAATGGCATTTATTTGCCAGAAAGTATACTAGAAAGAGACCTGTATTAGAAGCTAGAAGTTTAGGGTTTCATCTGGGCTCTGGACTCTTAACTAGCTGCAAGATCCTGAACAAGGTAATGCATCTGAGCCTGTTTCTTTATCTAAAAATCTGGGATAACACTGCATGCCCCACCTACCTGACAAATGATGATCAAATAAGAAAATGTGAAAGCACTCTGAAAAGTATCAATGCTATATAGATGGCTTTAATGTTGTCTCTTCAGTTATATAAGGAATTTAATCACAGAAATTTGAAATCATACCTGTGGGTCAAAAATATATTTTTAGAAATATGGATGTACACAGGTACATCTTAGTTGACTATTTTGTGATAGCTCTTATTAAAAATTCAGGATGTCAGGTTTTTTACATTAATTATAATGCAATCCTCAATATTTTATAGATGAGGAAACCAAGGCTTTCAAAGAAATGGCCAAAAGTCACACAGCTACAAAGCAGTAGAGCTAAAATCCAAATGTAGGGCTGTTTAAATAACTATTATTACTGTTACTGCATTTATCTTTGCTAGATCATACAAATCATTTAGCTTTTGATGTTAATTTTATATAGGGCTGAAACAAAAATTTTAAAAATTTCCTCAAAGTGCTATCAATATAAGAAAAAAGAAACCTACCACTTTATCAATTTATTCTTTTCATTTGAATATGCCTCCCTTTCTCTGCACATCTGTCTAAAATCTGCCCTTCCTTACCCAGTTTAAGGAATCCTAATGCCTCCAAGAATTCTTTCCAGTTACTCCAGACTGCACTGATTTTATCATGGATGTGTTACTACATATAAGCTACGTGGTACACAGTGTTTGATTAAGATGTATTTAAGACATCTGCTATATGTATGCAACTATACTGAGTGTGGAATTCAAAGCAATCTATGTACTTATAAATTTTTTGCAGAAACAAACCATTTACAAAACCGGAGATAATACAAAGTGGCATAAATAACAGATATGTAATAATATTAATGATGTTCAAAACAGCATTATTACTTAAGGTTGGGTGCTAAGGAAAAGACCTCATTGAGGAAGTAGGACTTAAATCTTGAAAAAAGAGTAAAAGAAGGATAAATTAAGAAAGGAAAAGGTATTTCAGGTGGGAGAAATGATTTGAACAAAGGCATAAAAATAGGACTACACATAAGTATCAAGAAGTGCTGCTTAGAAGACCTAGACCAAGTGGGAGTTGGGTGGCAGTAAAATATTCACATAAAGGTAGGAACCATTTTGTGGAGGGCCCTGAATATAAAATAATAGGAGGTAATATAAGGTTAGATGCTTTAAAGATAGATATTATCTAATTTATTTCTTATGACATCATATTGAGCTATGTACTATTAGCTAGAATTTCATTTATGAGCAAACTAAGCAAGCTGGGTGATAAACACAGGATTCATCCCAGGTCTGTTCTACAATGAAAACCTAACTTTTGTTGTTTATAAACTATACAGCAATCTCTCCCAAGGAGTTTGAACATCTAAAGTGGGGTGGGGGAGGTGTGGGTCAATGAAATTCATCTGAAATTATCCAAATCCTTGTTTAGGGAGATTAATCTGAACATAAGACAAAATAAGATTATGTGTAGAAGTTTCTTGTAAGCAACTCAAAAATATGAACTAGAATACATTTTGACCTGTATATCCTAGAATGTTTAAACATACTGATGGGCACATAATACTGTCTCCATATATTATTGACTGAAGTAAAAAATGGTTTATTACCAGCCTGTCAAAGATTTTGCCTGTATTTTATGCTCTAAGGTAGCTATTTATTGGTAGAAGTTTCAACAAATACTGTTTCAAATTGAAATTCAACATAATAAAAGGACAGCTTCCTCTTATCCAATCTTCTTCATACCTAAGATTTCCATCACTTACAGAATTATTGGAGAAATTGTGAAAAACTTCCGTGAAGATGTAAACTGTACTCCATAGTCCAGTTGTTCCCAGTGAGTTAGAAGCCTTGCTTTACCCTGGTCAGGAGTTTCAAAAGGTGTTCCTTTTACTGCATGCAAAAATACATACATCCCCTGGAAAGCAAACAAGGGGACATATATTCAATATTAACATAAACAACCAGAATGTAGGGCAAAAACTGCCATCAAAGGTACAATCAGAGTATTCAACCAATAAAGAGGGAAAGGTTTTTTGTTGCTGAGGCAAAAGCCGTGATGCTACCTTGTCAACTAATTCATTCTTGAAGGTTAGTAGTAGCCTATGGGCTTATATAGAATTTAATTTAAAATATTTTCATTTATAGCACAATATTTTGTTAGGGTTGTTTACATGTTTGTTCTCTCATTAGCCTGAATACCTCAGGAACAAGGGTTGGTACACAGCAAGTATTAAACATTAAGCCAAGATGACAGTAAGCTAAGGAATGTTTATTCTGTAAGCATAAGGAAACCATTTTCACGTGGGCTTTACAGGAGACAATAAAACAGAAATGGAATACTTTTAAATTATGAGGAGTATGTGTGATCCAAAAAAGTTAATTTCTACTCTAATCCACACATTAGAATCATTAAAGAGAAAAACCACCTCTCACTATTTCCTTCAAACTACATGTATCACCAGTGTTTAGAATATTCAGAGTACCAGATATCCTTTTCAGTTAAACAGAATAAAATCTTATCTACCATGTATCTTCTATCCCATTATGTTTAATAGGTTTTCTATAGAATTTAGAGATGGAGGATTTATATCCCAATCAAAAGAATTGGGGAAAAAATATGTAGCTCATGGTTGGTTGTTAATATTTACTGGCTCAAACTGAAGAAAATTCTCATTCATGTTAAAAGCCAGCATAAAAATTTCATGAAATATTAATACCTCTATTTTTTTTTAAGATTTTTTATTTACTTATTCATAGAGACACAGAGAAAGAGGGAGAGGCAGAGACACAGGCAGAGGGAGAAGCAGGCTCCATGCAGGGAGCCTGACGTGGGACTCGATCCCAGGTCTCCAGGATCACACCTCAGGCTGCAGGCGGCGCTAAACCGCTGCGCCACGGGAGCTGCCCATATTAATACCTCTAAATGTGAAGTATAGCACTGTAAAAATGAATAAAAACAATCACTACAGATTTCTACTGTATGGTTCAGAAAGGCAAAGACAGTATTTTTTCTAACCAGGGATAACAACTAGGTCTGTTTTCTCCCATTTAAAAGTGTTTAGTATGTATTTCACATTTTTAATTGGTTTAATGTAGTCTATCTTCAAAAGGAACTTAAGTTTGGAGTCACGTTAATTGCTACATCAATGGCTGGTAGTTAGGTTTTTAGTGTGGTGGACTGGTAAGTCAGAAGTTTGCTTCCCAACATGTTGTCAATTACCTATGCTTTCCTCATGGCCATATACTGTGCTTCAAAATCTCAACCAACTTGAAAACATCTGGGCAAGAGGAGAGGGTGACTCTAAAGTACATTTAATATATCTAAAAAAAAAAAATACATCTGCCATTGGAGAAGGGAAAATTATGTAACAATACAGACTAATCCAACAAACATTTATATAGATCTTCAAAGACATGAAAATAAAAAAGAAATTCTCAATTATACAACTATGATAAATACATGATAAAAGAATATAGCTTGGGAGTTCTAGAGCCTCCTAGAAAACGAGATATTTGAGTTTTCCTGGATGAGGAGAAATCAGCCTGCAGGAGAGGATGGAGGGAAAGTATTAAAAGAGTGGATAAAGAGTTTAAGCCACAGCAAAAAGATGAGGGCAAGATAATTTTCATTATTGTTAGAACAATACTCATGTTTAGAGATACACTGAGGTAAGATTGAGTCCTTTTCTTGCCTCCGTACTGTTATCAACTGGTCTTATATGCCACGTAAGGAACTTGTTATTTTACTATGAACGTAATAGAGAATCAAAGAAGAACTTAGAGCATGATTTGAGTATATATGCACTTTGAAAATAATTCTATGTCAAGTTGGAATGGAGAACAGTAGAGGAACATCAAGGAAACCATTTGATCTACTGGAATAATCCACCTGAGAAAAAAATAAGGGTACAAATTATAGCAATGCCAGTGGGGATCAAGTTGAGAGACAGTAAAGCAGGGCTTTGACTAAATGGATATGGAATACAGAGGAAAAGGAGTTAATCTAAGAGTAGAGTGACCATGTATCCTAGATAGCATGAATGGTCCTGATTTACACCTATTTCCTTAGTTATTATTTAAGCTCCCTTTTACTCTCAAAACAGTATCAGTTTGGATAATTCATTATATGAATTGCTTCACTTTTCACATTCAGCTATCTGGTGTGACATATTGGGCAGACAGTGGTGCCTTTAGATTAGATCAGGAACAAAGTCAGAGGAACAGGTTTTGAGTGGTAAGGGACAGATCAGGAATGAGTTCAATTTATAATTGCTTGGCTTAAGGTGCACGGTAATCTGGCAATATTAATGTGAGCATCATCATCCTACAGATAGAAACTGCAAATATGGACAGATGAAGTAATCTTAATAGAACATACAGCATAAAAAGAGATGAAGAAAAGAGCCTTGGGGACAGCAGCATCTAGGAGAGGAAAACAAAAGGAAGAATGTGCAAGAAACAGAAAAGGAAAAATCAGGAAAAAAAAAAAAGTGATCCCATGAAAGCCAAAGGAGATTCTAGTAAAAGGGATATAATTTTTGTCAAATATTTCAGAGAAGTTACTACTTAAAAATAGCCCTATCAAAGTCCACTGCATAGAATGGACTAAATGGACATTCATATATTTTTACCACCACATTATCCTTGTCCTCCTCCAAATTCAAATAATCTTCACAAGATAGAAAATAAATAGTATTAATTAAAGAAGAAAAAACCTATTTCCCCTGCACTTTCCTGTCTTATTGTTCCAAGTTCTTCATTTTTTGGATATCTTTCAGCAAATATGTAATTAATCTGAATTCAATTAAAAATCAACTAATGGATTTCTCACCCTTTGTTCTGCTGTCATTGACTTTTAAGAAAGGTCACTATCAACGGTTTTTTTTTTTAAATAGACAATTTTCAAGGCTGCATAACATGGTTAGTAGAATCAACTGAACCTCTGATACTTTGTAGAGCCATCCTATAATACAAAAGAACCACAGGCAACATGAAAAAGCTAAGGCACCATAAGATCCTCAATCACACAAGATATGATTAAGCTCAAAATTTCTATACTGAAGAAAGAAAGCATACTTATACAATTTAGAAAGGACTGAAGTTGTTTAAACAAGGATTGAAATCAAAGATGGTTATTAATCAAAACCCATAATTATTTCTGAAGCATTCTGGTTAATCAATATATAATAGTAGCTTGAATTATTATCTTGTAATTTTTGCTAAAATGACCTACTATTTTCTAGATTCCATAAAGCCAAAAGGAAGAAAAAAAAAGTGTTATTTAGGAAAAAAGGCCCAATGTTTAAATATGAAGTATTAATAGCAAAAAAAAATAATCATCTCCCAGATTAGAAGTCTTCAAAATTGTCACATAATTTAAAAATCACTGAACTGTACTATGTCAGCAAATTTTATATTACATAAACTATGGATTATATCTATATAATAAAACTGTTAAACTAAGTCACATGTTTTTCTTTACAACGTAAAGCTGTAACCTTTTATTTTTTTTTTTTAATTTTTTTTTTTTTTTATTTATTTACGATAGTCATACAGAGAGAGAGAGAGGCAGAGACACAGGCAGAGGGAGAAGCAGGCTCCATGCACCAGGAGCCTGACGTGGGATTCGATCCCGGGTCTCCAGGATCGCGCCCTGGGCCAAAGGCAGGCGCCAAACCGCTGCGCCACCCAGGGATCCCAAGCTGTAACCTTTTAAAAATTGTTTCAATATATGTAACATAAAATGCACCACCTTAATCATTTTTTTGGTGTACAGTTCAGTGGTCTTAAGTACATTCACATTGTCACACAACTGTCACCACCATCCATTTCTAGAACTCTTTTCCTCTTGCAAACCTAAACTGTACCCATTAAACAGTAACTCCCTATTTCTTCCTCCCTGAGTCCCTAACAGGCACTAAACTTTGTAAGTGCTTAGTATAAAATGAAATTCTTACCAGATTATGTATAACATTCGTTAAGGTCCAAGCAACAGGAACACTGAAGAAGGGAATACTGAGTAGGACAATATGAAGCAAGCCAACTCCTAACCCGTATGTCAGCCACATACCCCGGCTGTTCATTACACGGGTATTTGGATTCACCTCGCTGTGAGCAACTCCAACATTCATGTTTGCTCTGTAGGAAAGAAAGGAAGTGAATCAACAATGATAGAACTGGGAACCTAAAGACTCTTTATTCTGACAAAGCAAGTGCTACTAGGATCATTCTCTAGTTGTTCTGAAATAGAACACACTCACCAAAATACGCTATTTGCAGATGCTGATGAAGGTAATAAATAATCCTTAACATCTGACTTCATGGTAAGAGGGACAAGACTTATTTTTATGGTTCTTATTGAAAAAATAAATTAAAATCCCTTTCTTAAAGCTTGTGTTCTACCATGTTAAGTTTTACATGAATCAGGGACAGGAAAACTCAAAGAGAAAACCTACATTTTCTTCTATCATGAAACCAAAGTGAAAGCTGAGGAGCTAAACGTACTAACAGAATAAACTAATCTATATTTTTTAAAAAAAGCAAAGATGCAGCATTATTTACAACAGCCCAGATAGAGAAGCAACCCAAGTGTCCACCCACAGATGAACGGATAAAGGTGTGTGTGTGGGGGGAGGTGTGTATACATATGTGGAACAGAATATTACTTAGCCATAAAAAAGAATGAAATCTTGTCATCTGCAACAAAATGGACCTAGACAGAACATTGTTATATCAGAAAAACAAATACCATATGGTTCCACTAATGTGTGGAATTTAAGAAGCAAAATGAAGAAAAAAAAGACATGAAAATACACTCTTACGTACAGAGAACAAACTGGTGATGGTTGCCAGAGGGGAGGCTGGTGGAGGGGATGGGTGAAATCAATAACGGGGATTAATACTGTTATCCTGACGCACGGAGAAATGTATGGAATTGCTGAATCCTCGTATTGCACACCTGATATTAATATGTTTGTTAAGTATACTTGAATTAAAGACAAAAAAGGCAAAGTGGACCCAGCCAGTGAACTGTGAATGGCCAGCCTCTGCCACCCAATGTCACGTCTCCCAACAGTGGCTGGGTTCAAATCACTGCTTTTTAAATAACCGAGCCTGGGGGGAACATGGGAGGGACATCTACGTGGTCAAGGGATACGGTTTGTTTCTCAATCTCGTGACACGATAAGGTTAAAACAGCCTTTCTTCCTTTAACCCGTCAACTCCCCTAAAACTTTGGTTTTTTTCCCCCTAACTGTTCCCGTTAATGGGATTCAGACGACACCACCGCCAGAACGGGTATCCGTTCCCGCCGCAATGCTGGCGTTTCCTCGGTTCTAAGAGGCCCTCGAACAAAGTGCCAGTGACCAGGGAACACCGGTCATCCCGGAGAAGCCGGCGGCGAGGCCGGGGGCAGCCAGGGCACGTGTGGGACGCGCACGGTCTCCCCTGGGAATACGCGCATCCCTTCGACCCGGAGACGCAGCATTAAAAGAGTTTCTCGTAACCGCGTCCAAAGAGTGTTTCCGGAGTGAGTGCCCCAGGCCGCCCGGGATCGAACGCGCGCCACGGCGTCCGGCGGTCACGGCCGCTGACGCCAACGCGCAAGCCTCTTCCCCCGGAGCTGCCGCGGCCCGACGCTTCTCCGGCTCCTCGCCGGCTGCTGAGAAAGCTGCCCGGCTTCGAGACTCCAACTCTTCCCTCCGAGCTGGAGGCCTGGCGGTGCGGCTCCGAGGCCCCCGGGGCCCGCCGCTTCCCCCAGCCGCCCCCACGCGCGCCCGGCCCACTCACCCGGAGGCCGGCCGGCACCGGAGCAGCCCCGCGGCGGCGGCGTCCCCCGAGGCCCAGCGGCTGGCGGAAGCGCGGCGGGCCCAGCGCGCCGCCCGGGCATTGGCTGCGGGCCGCGCGCGGCGCACGTTCCCCGGCGAGGGGTGGGACTAAGCGCCGCGTGCCGGGGGCGGGGCCTCACGGGGGCCGCAGGGGGCGGGGCTCAGGGGGGCCACAGCCGGGGTCGCCGCGTCGCCGGAGGGTCGCCGCCCGCCCGCGCGAGCCACAAGGTAGCGTCGCGGCCTCCCCGGCCGCCGTTCTGGCGCCCTTGCGCTCGCGGCAGCCCCTCCCGTCGGCCTGTCCGCTGTGGCGTGAGCGCGCCGCCGGCGGGCGAGAAGCCGACGGAGCCCGGGTGGGCGCGCGCGGGCCGCGGGCTCCGGGTAGGCCGCGCCGCATCCTCCCGCCGCAGCGGGGCCGACCGTGCCGCTGCCAGCTTCCCAGAAGCCGTGGACCGGGCGGGCCGCCCTCCCGTCCGTCAGGGCCGTCCGCGCCGGGACCGCCCTCCCGGAAGTGAGGCCTTGCTGCGGGGCGGAGGGCTGTCGGGGAGTCCAGGGGCCCCGGGGGTCGCAGGGCGGCGCACGCGGTCCCGCTCTCTCGGCGCCGAAGCGCGTTTTCCGGTGGCTGCGCGGTGCCTGCTTGTTCCCAGGGACCGTGGTAGGCCGACTTCCCGGACGGTGCCCTTCAGGTGCGCCCCGCCCCCCGGGAAGCGGTCGCGGACGTTCCCGCGCTTGGGCCGCGTGGCCCGCCGTGCGCGTGCGGAGGACGCTGCTGTGCCCGGGCCACGAGGTTAGCCGCCGGGCCGGGCGGAGGGCGGGAGTCCGCGACGGCGTGTGGTGGCCCGGAGCAGGGAAGAGCATCCGCGCTTGAGGTTGGGGGCCTTGGGCTACGGGTGCCCTGGGGCCGAGCGGCGTCCCGGTGCCGGGCGGGAGGAGACGCCGCGGCCCTCGGCGGGCAGCCCCGAGGCGACGGGGTCGCTGGCCTGTGTTGAGGCCGGGGAGGTGACGGGGTCGCTGGCCTGCGCGTGAGGCCGGGCAGGCGACGTCTCCCGGCGGGCGGCCGTGCGTGTCTGACTAGCTTTGGGATCCTCAACCTCTTGGTCTCGAGCCTGTAAAACCCGGAAGTCCCGTTTGTGGCGGGGGCCCAACGGGGCGCGGGGAGACCGAAGGGCTTCGGCCACAGGCGTGAGGCAGCAGCAACTGCGGACCGGAAGCTCGGGCAGGAGCTGGGACCACCCGGGGCGCGTGTGAGGCGGGGTCCTGCAGGGCGTTCCAGGGGCGGCACCTAAAGGGCCTCTGAGGATGAGGAAGCACGTCCGGGCGGGGCGGGGGCGGGTGAGGCGGCCTGAGCAGGTCGGTCGGCGAAGCGAGGGAGCCGCGGCGGAGATGACCTGGTGGGGCGCGTCCCGGCCCAGGTCACTTGCTCACCGACAGACCCGGGTGGCCCTGGGTCCGTGCTCCCCAGCGCCTGCGTGACCGAGGCGCTCCGAGGCCCCCGCGTTGCCGCGGAAACGCATGGCCTGTAACCGCCCGCACCGCCGGGTACCGGTCAGGACCGGGTGCGGCAGGAATTCGGAAGTGACGCAGGCCCGGAGCCTTAGGGCTGGGGGGAGGCATCGGTGATCGGATGATCAGGGCCCTGCCGCAGGTGGCTTAGGCCTGAGCCCGTGTCACAGACACAGACGCGGCCGCACCACGAGGAGCTAGAGGTGCGGGTTCGGCGGGGCTGCTGCCAAGGACGACGCAGGTGTTTGCTCCTAGTCACTAGGAGAAGAGCAGAATGAAGCAAAGGCACGGGGATGGCAGCAGGAAGAAAGTCTGTTTTATAAACTTTTTTTTTTTAAGTAGCCTTGACGGCGATTGTGAGAAATGCAAATTTTAGTGTGGGAAGACCGAGATCTCTTGGTGGATTGATTGATTTTTTTCTTTTAAGATTTTATATATTTGTTCATGAGAGACACAGAGAGAGAGGCAGAGACACAGGCAGAGGGAGAAGCAGGCTCCATTTCCTGCAGGGAGCCCGACGTGGGACTCATCCCGGGTCTCCAGGGTCACGCCCTGAGCCGAAGGCAGGGGCTAACCGCTGAGCCGCCCAAGCATCCCAAGATTGATTGAGTTTTAAAGATTTTCTTCATTTATTTGAGACAGAGAGATTGACATAAGCAGGGGGGAAGGGCAGAGGGAGAAGGAGAAGCAAACCGCCTGCTGAGCAGGGAGCCCCATGCGGGCTTGATCCCAGGACCCTTCCATCCTGACTTGAGTCGAAGGCGGTCCCTTCTGACTGAGCCACCCTGGCACCCCGGGGATATAGATTAGACTAGTTTGACTTCAGAAAGAAAGGGGGGGGGCGGGGAGAGAAAGAAAAAGAAAGAGAAGATAATCATTGGGGTAATAGAGTGGAGGGAAGATTTTATTTTTGCTTTGAAGGTCAAGATGCCTGAGGGGGACTGGTTAAACTAGATGAAAAGTCTTAAGAGAGGAGACCTTGACCTGGGAGTTAGGGGAAAAAGTGTGGGCAGAGGCATAAACGTTTTAAGAAACCAGAGGACATGGGGGTGGGGGGAGGTAAGAGGTATGTGAAGGTAGAGTTTGTGCTGCGGTCTGCCTTGATCTCAGAATGGGGACAAAATTAGGGATTTGAGGGAAATACAGGAGATTTTGGAAAAGAGATTATAGAGAATGAGGCAAAAATGTTGAGGGTAATGAGATTGTCTAGAAAGAGTAAGAGGTGAGATGATGCTGGGTTTCTGCTCCAAAGTTTGATCGGTGTTTCTTAGATCTTGGCATTCTCAAAGACAGAAAACCTCTTGAATCTAAGCGGTTAACTGCTGGGGTAGTGGGGATTAGAAGGTGGGTGGGGAGCCTGTTCATTTTGGAGTTTAGAGGAACCTGGTGTGGGCCAAGTATTCTGGGATATTTAACATGTGTATGCCGTGTTATATAATAAGTTATGTTCAGTGGCCCCTGGGGGGCTCAGCGGTTGAGCGTCTGCCTTCTGCCCAGGGTGTGACCCCAGGGTCCTGGGATGGAGTGCTGCGTCGGGCTCCCTGCAGGGAACCTGCTTCTCCCTCTGCCTGTGTCTCTGCCTCGCTGTGTGTGTCCCTCATGAATGAATAAATAAAACCTTAAAAAAAAAGACATTGTAATTCATCAAAAATATATAGATGACTAATGTTTGAGATTGCCATTAAGGTTTATGGCTGCCTGATATTTTCCACGTCCCAAGGGGGCAGCACCCCTTGGTCATTCCTACCCTGGTGGGTCATGTATTATACTCATTGGAGTTTAATAGTATAATGTTTTTCTTACTTTTCTTTATTACCATAGTATGATTTACCAGCTAACCTCTCTGTGCCTCAATCTTACAAAATGGAGGTGATAATGCCACCTACTTTAAAGACTATTATAAGAAATAAATGATTTAATACTATGCTTATAGGAGAGCCTAGCATAGTGGGAAGCTCATTAATGTGAGCTACAGTTGATCATTGTTGTCACTATCAGATCTGTTAGGAATGTTTAACAATTTTATTTTTTCGACTTAATTTTATCTTTAGCTACCCTACTAAAAGCTAGAATGAAACAGTTGCCTGCAGCAACAGTCCGCCTCCTTTCAAGCTCTCAGATAATCACTTCAGTGGTCAGTGTGGTAAAAGAGCTCCTTGAAAACTCTTTGGATGCAGGTGCCACAAGCATAGATGTTAAATTGGTGAGTGTCCCTAAGAAGTCAAATACCTTTAAAGCAAAAAAGGGCTGGGCAAATGATTTCTTCTTATAACTATTACCTTTCTCTTCTTTTTTTGTATTAGTAAATTATTTTTAGGATATTGCATTTTTTGTTGTAAGAGTAAATTCTTAAAAATAAATTTTAATTTAGATCTGCACTACAGTAACACTAAAGGAAAATTTAAAAGCAAACTTATTCTTTAGGACTCCATATAAAACGTGAATCTAATTTGTTATTATTTTCTACTAATTATTCTTGGTTATTCATATTTACTTGCCTTATGCTCCTCTGCATTTTGTCTTTTCCATCTAATCTAATTTCAAAACTATATCCCTGGTTGGTTCATAGTTTTCACATTTAAAAAAATCTTAAATGATGTATATTAAGTCATTTGAGTTAATATGATTTATGACATTTAATGATAGTTTGTTACAGTTAGCTTGCATGTCTACCTTCCTTATAAACTACTAGCTTGTAGTGGTAAGGTCTATATTTTTTAATTTTTGTGTCCTCCATACCTACCCAGTACCTGGTACATAAATGGTGAGTAAATTGAGTGAATATAGGAATACACTTTTTTGTAATCTCTTAAGTATCAGATATTTTCATTTAGTATTACAGCATTAGAAATAATAATGATAAAAATCGTTGTAGGAAAGAAACCCTTTTCACGTATATACACAAATACAGTTTATATATAAAATGCACGTATTTGCATATATATGCATTCATTTGTGGTTGCAATTGCTCCTTATAAAAACTCTTAATTACTACTATACTTTTTTTTTTTTTTACAATAATTAAGGTTCTGATAACTTGCCCAAAGTCCTATAATTAGTAATTAGTAGTGAATCTGAGATTAGAGTTCAGGTCTTTCTGTTTCTAAAACCTATTCAAGATCGTTGCTCTGTGCTAGTGGGGTTTTTTTTGTTTTGTTTTGTCTTGCTTTGTTTTGTTTTTTCCTGATAAGGAAACAACTACAGAAGGCTTTTATTTGTTCAAAGTAACCAGTGCTATAGATGCAAAAAACCCCAACTCCTCCAACACTACTTCAAAACAAACATATCAAACTTGATTTTCATTAGAATATTATTTCTTCACACCAATAAATCAAAAAACATATATATATATATATATATATATATATAAAGCAACACAAACAATTGTTGAGTTTCATCTTCTGGACAAGAATGCCAAGTTAGTCTCTCTTCATGAAACGCAATTACAATTTGAGGACACTTCATATTTGCCTCTTTTGCCAGCACCGAGTCTGCCTCATCTGAATCTTTCCATTTCGTGAGAAACATTAATTCTCCACTGCTGTCCGTGGCACCAGTTATTCGTTCAGGATCAAGACTTCTGGCAAAGCCTCTTGTTTTATCAGCAGCATCTCTTTTCTTCTTTGATTTGCTATCATCAGATTCACTGTCAGATAAAGATTTTCTGTTAGTACCATCTTTTTCTTTACCAGCTTTTTGGGAATTAAGAAATGCTTCAATTAACTCTGGACAATCTGAATTTTCTTCAGGTTCTCAAGTACTGTCAGCGTCTGTAAATCCCTCCCACTTCAGGAAATACTCCACCTTCCCATTCACTACACAGCGGTCCAGTACTTTTTCCACCACAAATTCTTCAAGCTCCGCCTCTTCTACTTTTTTCTCTTTCCATTCTGTGTCTTTCCCATTTTTTGCAGTGTAGTTTTACTGAGGGCCATTTTTTATTGCAGACTTGAAGAGCTATTATTCACCACCTTCAAGCTACCCCGGGTCCTGGGTCTCTATGCCAGTGGTTCTAATACCATTTGGGTGCATCAGAACACTTTATTAAAGTGTTTATTAAAACAGTTACCAGGCCCTAGAATATCAGATTTTATTTGGGGCCCAAGAATTTACATTTGTAACAGGTTTCTAGTTAATGCTGAGAACTGCTGTTCTATACCATATGAATGCTGTATTTGTTCTAAAAAAATATGCATCTGGCCCTTGATCAACACAGGTTTGGATGGACTGAATGAATCCATTTTGACATGGGTTTTTTTTTTTTTTTTTTGTTTTTTTTGTTTTTGTTTTTTTGGTAAATACAGTACAAGTACTATAAATGTATTTTCTCTTTCATATGATTTCTTAATAACTTTTTATTTTAAAATGTAATTTATTGTAAGAATGTAGTATATTAATATATATAATATACACAATATGTGTTAGATGACTTTTTTTGTTATTTGTAAGGTTTCTAGTCAATAGAAAGCTATTAAGAGCTTACCTCATGTCATAGATACAACTTGATGACACTCACGTCAGTGTAAATAACCCAGAAAAGACCTGAAGTCTGGCAAAACAAACTCCATAGGTAAAGATAAAGAAAAAGCCACATGAAGGAGTAAAAAAGGCAGAAATGCATTCGGGAGTGAAACAGACCATGATGGTCCATGGAGGGGAGAAAGCTGCAGGCATGGAGAGAAAGACTGTATCACATTTGGGAACCTGCACAGGGAAGGTAAATCATCATAATATTTGGCTTTGAAAGCCAGAGGGATTGAATTTGATGAATTCTTAAAGCAAGCAGGTTTTGAAGCCTGGAATTTTAAAAATCAGCAGGCTCCATTCTGGGAGAACCTGGAGGGCAGGCAATAGGAAGCTGAATCCCCACCCTTAAAGAGAGTACAACAAATAGCCCTCAGTTACAGCTTAGAAACAGCAGTTTGAAAATGGGAGGGAGAGTACTGGTTTCAGAGTGTGTCCTAGAGGGCAGGGATCACTGAGGGACTCCTCCAAGGAAAAAGGAGTGAGAAGACACCATTACTCTCCCATACCCCTGCCAGCATGAACACACAGCCACCTATAAGAATTAGCCACTGACATTTTCTTATACCAAGGCCCACCCCCCAACCCCTAACACCACACTTCCATATATCCACCCTTCCCACTTACGTATGACTCAGTCCCAGCGTTTCAAGTCCACTCTGCCAGAAGACCAGGGCAGATCTTCCTAATACCACATCTGCCATCCTATGCATTTGGTGGGGCCCAATTCGGCAATTGCAGCAGGTCTCATTTTGCAGCAGACCAGCACTCGTTTTATTAAAACTGCATGCCCACCCCAGCCAGGGACCAAACATCGCCCATAGTATACAGAGTTTCTGCAGAGCACTGCAGTGAAGGAAGAAGTGGCCAGGACACAATAGCAGGGTACATGCAACACATATAGGAGATACCCCCTGAAGTGCCAGGTTTTGGTGAACAGGGGATGCTGCACTACTGATGCAGCATACTGATGCTGATAGGACTTCTCCTTCACAAGACCGGGACTTTCAAAAGCAGGACATGTAGATGACTTGCCAAACATACAGAAACAGAGAATTAGACACAATGAGGAGACATATATCCTGTCTCCAAATGAAATAACAGGGCCAACCACAGCAAGAAACCTAAGAGAAACATAAAAGTAATACTAAAGTAATGACCATAAAGACACTCCCTGGACTTGAGAAAAGAGTGGAGCACATCAGTGAGATTAAGGAGCTCACTGATCAAAGAGATGAAAAAGAACCATGTATGAAGAACACAGTAAATGAAATTAAAAATACATTAGATGGGTTGGCTAATTGAACTTAAATAAATAAAAGAAAAGTGCACTAGATGGAGTAATAGCAGGCTAGAGGATGCAGAGGAGGAAGTTAGCAAACTGGAACACAGATTAATGGGAAGTAATCAAGCTGAACGAGTGAGAGAAAAAAAACTGTACAGAATGAGAACAGACTTAGGGAACTCAGCGACTCCCATCAAGCATAATAACATTTTTATTATAGGGATCCCAGAAGAAGAAGAGGGAGAGAAGGGAGAAGAAAATTTATTTAAAGAAATAATAGCTGAAAATGTTCCTTCCTTCTAAGGAAGGAAGCAGAGATCTATATCCAAGAGGCACAGAGATGCCCCAACAAAATCAACCCAAGGAAGCACACACCAAGACATGTAATAATTAGAGTGGCAAAAAGTAGTGATAAAGAGAATTTTAAGAGCAGTGAGAGAAGACCGTTAAATATGAAGGAAACCCCATAAGGCTATCAAGGGATCTTTCAGCAGGAACTTTGCTGGCCAAAAGGGAGTAATGCAATATATTCAAAGTCCTAAAGGGAAAAAATGTGCAGCCAAGAATATTCTATCCATCAAGGCGATCATGTAGAATAGAAGGAGAGATAGTTTCCCAGACAAACAAAAACTAAAGGAGTTCTTGACCACTAAACCAGCCCTGTAAGAAATATTAAAGGGAACTCTTTGGAAAGGAAAGAGCAAAAGTGGGAGTAAAAAAGTAGAAAGCACTAAAGCAGTAAAAATAAATGTATCTGTAAAAATCAATCAAGGGATTTACAAAAGGAAGTAAAATATAACACCAAATACCTATATGGTAGGGAGAGAAGTAAAGAATGGCTTGAAACTTAATCATCCACTTAATATAGACTGCTATATGTGGAGGATGTTATATACAGATCAAATGGTAACCATAAATCAAAAACCAGTAATAGATACACAAAAAATAAAGAAATCCCAGAATATCATTAAAGCCAGCATACCTGGAAAGAGAGCAAGAAGAAAGGGCCAGAGAAGAGCCATAAAAACAACCACAAAACAAGTACCAAAATAGCAATAAAGACATAGCAGTAATTATTCTGAAGGTAAATGGACTAAATGCTCCAATCAAAAGACATAGGGTAATGGAATGAATAAAAAAAACATGAAACTCTCTTGAACACAGGGATGCCTGGGTGGCTCAGTGGTTGAGCGCCTGCCTTCAGCCCAGGGCGTGATCCTGGAGTCCAGGGATCGAGTCCCACGTCGGGCTCCCTACATGGAGCCTGCTCCCTCTGCCTGTGTCTCTGCCCCTCTCTCTCTCTCTCTCTCTCTCTCATATGAATAAATAAAATCTTAAAAAAAAAAAGACTCATCTATGATGTCTACAAGAGACTCATTTCAGACCTGAAAACACCTGCAGATTGAAGGTGGGGGATAGAGAAACATTTTTCATACAAATGTATAGCACAAGAAAGCTGGGGTAGCAATACTTATATTGGACAAAACAGATTTTAAAACAAAGGCCATAACAAGAGGTGCAAAGGGACACTATGTAATCGTAAGGGGACAATCCACCAAGAAGACAATAATTATAAATAATTTTGAGAGCACCCAGATGCATAAAACAGTTGATAATAAACAGAAAGGAACAAAACAATTATACAGTAATAGGGAACTAAATCCCATTTACATCAGTGGACAGGTAATCCAAACAGAATCTACAAGGAAATAGTGGCTTTGAATGACACGTTGGACCAGATGAATTTAACAGATACATGTGGAATATTCCACCCTAAGACAGAATACACATTCTTTTGAAGTGCACATGGATCGTTCTCCAGAATACATCACATATTAGGCCACAGAACAAGTCTCAACAAATTGACAGAGATCAGTCATACTCTGCATCTTTTCTGACCATAATGCAATGAAACTACATAGCAATCACAAGAGAATCTGGAAAGAGCTCAAATACATGGGAATTAAATAATACGCTACCAAGCAATGAATGGGTCAACCAAGAAATCAAACAAGGAATTAAAAATATATGGAGACAAATGAAAATGCAGTACAAAATTTTGGGGATGCAGCAAAAATGAACCTAAGAGAGGTTTGTTGTTTTTAAGGTTTTATTTATTCATTCATGAGAGACACAGGCAGAGGCAGAGGGCGAAGCAGGCTCCATGCAGGGAGCCCAACGTGGGACTCGATCCTGGATCCCGGGATCACGCCCTGAGCCGAAGGCAGATGTTCAACTGCTGAGCCACCCAGGCGTCCTTAAGAGAGAAGTTTATAGCAACACAGGCCCATCTCAAGCGAGAAAATATCAAATACCCTAACCTTACACCAAAAAGAGCTAGAGAAAGAACAAATTCAAAACCAAGAGAAAGGAAATAATAAAAGCTAGAGCAGAAATAAATGACATAGAAACTAAAAAATTAATAGATCAGTGAAACCAGGAGCTGGTTTTTTAGAAAAGATCAACAAAAGTGTTGAACCTGTAGTCAGACTCATTAAAAAAGGACTGAAATGAAATCACAAACAAGAAGAAATAACACCACCACAGAAATAAAAAGATTATCTGAGAATATTACGAAAAGTTAAATGCCAACAAGTTCGACTACTTAGAAGAGATGGATAAATTCCTAGAAAGATATAAACTACCAAAAACTGAAACAGGAAGATAGAGAAAATTTGAACAGACTGATTATCAGCAACAAAATTGAATCAGAAATCAAAAAAAAAAAATTCCCAACATTAAAAAAAAATTACGAATGAACTGGCTTCCCAGGGGAATTTTAACAAACATTAAGGATAATATTACGAAGAGTTCAGACCTATTGTTCTCAAACTATTCTACAAAATAGAAGGGGAAGGAAAAATTTCAAATTCATTCTATGAGGCCAGTATTACCCTGATATCAAAGCCAGATAAAGACACTGCAATTAAAGAGAACTCAGACCAATATCTCTGATGGAACATTGATACAAAAATTCTCAACAGAAGATTAGCAAACTAAACCAAATAATACATAAAAAATCATTCATTATGATCAAGTGAGATTCATTTCTGAGTTGCAAGGGCTTTTCAATATTTGCAAATCAGTCAACATGATACATCAATAAGAGGATATAAACCATGTGATTGTTTTGATTTTAATAGATGCAGAAAGAGCACTTGACAAAGTACAACATCTATTCATAAAAACCCTTGCCAAAGTAGATTTAGAGGGAACATACCTCGATATATGAATATATCCATATGGTATATGAATATATGAAAAATCTACGGCTAACATAGTGGTGAAAAACAGCTTTTTCCTAAGAACAGGAACAAGACAAGGATGTCTACTCCCACCACTTACTCAACATATTGCAATTTTTAGCTACAGCAGTCATATAGCAAAAAGAAAAGGCATCCAAATTGTTTAAAAAAAAAAGTAGAACTTTCACTTTTTGCAGATGACACGGTACTGTGTATGTAGAAAACTCCAAAGACTTCACCAAGAAACTACTAAGATTGATAAATGAATTTAATAAGGTCACACAATACACAATCAATATACAGAAATCTTTTGCATTTCTACATACTAATAATGAAGCAGCAGAAAGAAATTTAAAAAACAATCCCATTTACAACTGCACCAAAAATAGTAAAGTACCTAGGAATAAATTTAAAACCAAGGAGGTGAAAGACTGGTGCTCTGAAAACTGTAAAACGTTGATGAAAGAAATTGAAGGTGATACAAGGAAATGGAAAGACATTCCATGCTCCTGGGTTGGGAGAACAAATATTGTTAAAATATCTATGCTACCTGAAGCCATCTACAGATTTAATGTGATCCCTGTCAAAATACCAACAGCATTTTATGCAGAACTAGAAAAAATAATCTAAATTTATATGGAACCACTAAAGACCATGAATAGCCAAAGCAAACTTGAAAAAGAAAAAACTGGAGGTATCACAATTCCAGACTTCAAGTTACATTATAAGCTATAGTAATTAAGGCAGTATGGTACTGGCAGAACAGAGAACCTAGCACTAAATCCACAATTAAATGGTTAGTTAATGTTCCACAAAAGAGTTAAAAACGTGATGGGAAAAAGTCTCTTTAACAAATGGTGCTGGGAAGACTGGACAGTAACATGCAAAAGAATGAAACTAGAGCACATTCTTAACCACATACAAAATAAACTCAAAGTAGATTAAGAACTTAAATGTGAGACCTGGAACCATAATCCTAGAAAAGCATACAGTCAGTAATTTGGCTTCGACCATACCAACATTTGTTCCCAAGACAAGGGAAATAAAAGCAAAAATAAACTAGTGGGACTACATCACAATAAAAAGCTGCTGCACAGCAAAGGAAACAATAAAACTCCCAAGTGGGAGATCTTTGCAAATGACATTTCCAGCAAATGGTTACTATCCAAAATATATTAAGGACTGATAAAACTCACCACCATAAGACCTAAATAATCCAATTTAAAAATGCAATGTTCACATCATTCATCATCAGAGAAATGCAAATCAAAACTGCAATGAGATATCACCTCACACCTGCCAGAATGAACAAATTCTAAAAACTATGAAGGAACAAATGTTGGCAAGGACATGGAAAAAAGGAACCCACTTGCCCTGTTGGTGGGAATGTTGGTGCAGCCACCATGGAAAACAGTGTGGAGGTTTATCAAAAAGTTACAAATAGAACTACCTTATGATTCACTTAACACATACTGAGTAACCAAAGAAAACAAAAAACAGTTGCTCAAAGGGATACATGTGCCTTTGTATGTTTATAGCAGCATTATTTATAACAGCCAAATTATGGAAGCAGCCTCAAAGTACATTTATAGATGAATGGATAAAGATGTGGTGTATATTTGCGACAGAATATTATTCAAACATAAGAAAATGAAATCTTGCCAATCTTGCCATTTGCAAAAGCGTAGGAGCTAGAGTATATAATGCTAAGCAAAATAAGTCAGAGAAAGATAAATACTCTGATTTCATTCATGTGGATTTTCAGAAGCAAAACAAATGAGCAAGGAAAAAAAAAAAGACCAAGTAATAGACTCAACTACAGAGAAGAAACTGATGATTACCAGAGGGGAGGTGGGTGTGGGGCTTGGAGAAATAGGTGATGGGATTAAGAGTACACTTACCTTGTTGAGTACTGAGTAATATATTGAACTCTTAATTTCTTAGTATTAAGATTATATAAAAAATAAATGACACAATTATTTTTCTGGTGTTTCTATTTCTTTGACAACAGTTTCCTGTCTTTATATACTAAAAGTTTCTTTAACTTTTTATAGGAGAACTATGGATTTGATAAAATTGAGATACGAGACAATGGTGAGGGTATCAAGGCCATTGATGCACCTGTAATGGCAGTAAAATACTATACTTCAAAAATAAATAGTCATGAAGATCTTGAAAATTTGACAACTTACGGTTTTCGTGGAGAAGCCTTGGGATCAATTTGTTGTGTAGCTGAGGTAAGGTAATTTATATTGATTTTCATAATCACAGAGTGGTAGGTAGCATTAGGAGAAAATGAACCCAGTTTTGGCAAAGAGTGTAGAATATACATAACCCAAAATTTATCATTTAAACCATTTTTAAGTGTACAATTCAGTGGCTTTAAGTGCACATAGCTGTCCCTGCCGTCCATCGCCAGAACTACTTCATTCCAAACTGAAACTCTGTGCCCGTTAAACAGTTAGGTCCCCATTGTCCGTCCCCACCTCTTGTCCCTTGTAACCTCTTTGCTCCTGTCTCTGAATTTGATTAATGGAATCATATAATATCTGTGCTTTCGTGTCCGGCTATTTCATTTAGCAAACTGTCTTCAGGGTTCCTGCATGTTGTAACATGTATCAGAATTTTCTTCCGTCCTTCCTAAGGCTGAATGATGTATAAATGTATAAATGTGTAAATCATGTTTTATTTATCCTTTTCTGTTGACGGACATTTGGGTTGTTTCCACCCTTTGGCATTTGTGAATAATGCTGCTGAGGATGTGGGTGTACAAATGTCTATTGAAGTCTCCGCTTTTGCTTCTTCCGTGTATGTACGCAGAAGTGGAGTCGCTGGGTCGCATGGTAGTTCTGTCTGATTTTTTCAGGAAGGGCAAATTTTGTTTTTAATGTTAATATTTATATATATATATTAAAGATTTTATTTATTCATGAGAGACACAGAGAGAGAGGCAAAGACACAGGCAGAGGGAGAAGCAGGCCCATGCAGGGAGCCCGACGTGGGACTCGATCCTGGAACCCCAGGATCACGCCCTGGGTTGAAGGCAGATGCTCAGTCACCCGGGCTGCCCTAATGTTGATATTTATAAAAGGAAAAAGTAGTTTAGTGACCCACTGGCTTGGGAAAAAACATATTAAATAAAATTAAACTGAATCATTAATGGTAAGCTCTTCTCAGATTTTCCTATACTGAAGTGCATCATGAACCTCTCAGGTTGCTGGTTTATGGTAGTAACATTTCCCTGCGTGTACTTGACAATGAAACCCTTGTATTGATAAGCATATCACTGTTTTTTTGTTGTGCTGTGTGGAACCACCCCGGAAATGCCATTCTAGTAAATACAGATAGATTGGGCTCTAGAGATGTGAATCTACTTGATCTAAACCCTAGCGAGTTAGAGGTAGACTGGGTCCCAGAACTTTGCTCTCCTGACCCTGGTTAGGTGCCTTTAATGTTTATAAACTCAGCTCCGTGCCTGACCAGCTTGTTGGCATAGTACTAATTACACTTCACTGCCTCTGCACTAGATTTCATAACTAGTTTGTGGCAAAGCCTGTCTAGAACCTTGATCTGCTCATTTCCATGTGTGTCACTCACTACTCTGGACTAGTTTGTGTTATACTATGTTATTCTGTGTGTTAGGCTCTGTTTTATGGTGTGATAGAATCTGTGTACCATGTGTGCCCACTGGCTATGTATCTCTGCTTCAGCTGGCCGACTATTTGGGTGAGAATGCTCAGGTACAATTAAATGATGGGACTTTACTTACTGTCCAGAAAAGTGGCATGTACATGAGCTACTGTTGCTCTCTCTTCATCCCTTCTTTGGACGTCTGTTTAGTATCTTTGTCTCCCCAGCAGTCATATACTTTCCATGCTTATTATGATCTTCCCTCTTTTCTTGTGCCCTTAGAGTGCTGGCGTAGTTTTGGTTTTCTCCATTTTTTGTGAAAAGAGTCACAGCTCAGTATTCACTTTTCTCTTTTGGAGCTCTGTAAGGTGATACCTAAGTCACGAAAAACTGTGGATAGGGGGTTGGAGATGGAGTTTAAAGTGGGAGAGTGTGTACTTCTAGTACAGATGGAGACTAGGGGCCCTTGTGTGTTAGGATCCAGATGTTCAGGGGTCTCCTGGGAGGCTCAGTTGGTTAAGAGTCTGACTCTTGATTTTGCCTCATCGTGATCTTACTGCCTTGAGATGGAGCCCCAGCATAGGGCTCTGTGCTGAGCTGAGAGAACGCTCCAGATTTTCTCTCCCTCTTCCTTTTCCCCCTCCCCTTCATGTGCCTGTGCACATGCACACACTTGCATGAGCTCTCACTTTCTCATTAAAAAAAAAAAAAAAAAAAGAATCCAGAGGTTCAGACACTGCTAAAGGAGAAAAGGCCTTGTCCTTCCTTAAGTGCATTCTGGTTAAAACCTCTATCCAAAATCTTGCATACCCGGTGCTTCACTATCTGTCTGAGCGCTTGCTTTATTTAGAGTTCAGTGAGTCTTCATATAGATTTTGGGGAAAAACAAGTAGAGGGTACAGCTAACTGGGCATCACCCATCTTTCTCCCTAAAGACTGTATCTGGGAAACTACAGCCTTGGGGTCTTATAGAAAGTGTGTTTTTTAAATGGGCTCAGATTTGTGCCAGGGAACTTCTGAAGCTCCCAGTGCTAGCACATACTTTTATTGGACTCTTGGTAGCTATTTTGGAAATCATGTAATTTATTTGAGAACATAATTATTTGATTTTTTTTTTTAGCTGTTGTCCGAACTTGGTAGTCTTTAGGATATATTTTGGAAGAGTATTGTTGAATAATATGTGTCATTTCTGGGTTTTCAAAAATTATTTTTTTAATTTGAGTGTAGTTGACACAGCAGTGTCAGATGTACAACATAGTAGTTTGACAAGTTCATACGTTATGCTGTGTTCACTCCAACTGTAGCTTATGTCTTGATATATATCACTATTATAGTATCATTGACTATATTCCTTATGTTGTGCCTTTTATCCCCGTGACTTACTCAGTTCATAATTGGAAGCCAGTATCTCCTTTCACTCAGAGGTGGAATCTACAGGGGAAAAAAACCACCCCACATAAGAATAAACCAAAAGGCATTTCTGTATTTTCCATAAAATGTTCATAACCTTTCAGAACTGAAATTGGTTATTATCAGCTTTGTCTACTAGATGGCAGCACAGTACTTACTCTTTTAAAATTCATGGTAATAAGCCATATGATTTATCCAAATCTTTGCTGTAGTTCTGATTTTAAATGGCAGTTTTGCAAGTCTCTGTCTAGTGGTATTCTCTATTTGTTTCTTTCTTTGATTACTTAAGCCCTCTTGATATATTTTGTTTCATTTTTGAGGGATTCAAATGCCTTGAGTATACTTAAAATAATTTATCATAATTACAAGAGGAATAAAGGAATTGTCAAACAACCAGAATAATAGAAAACTAAATGTTTTAAAAATTATGTTCAGTTTACACATTGTAATGTTAAGTGTTTATCTTACAAAATATTAACAGCATTTTATGTAATCTCTTTTCTTGTAAATCTTTGGCCAAAGCACACGTAGATGCGTGTGTATGTTTTACATATGTGTATTCCAGGTCAAGATACATACTGTGGTGAGCCCCCGAAGGTTCTCCTATGCTGCCTCCCAATAGGTAACAGCTTTCTGACTTCTGTCAGTATATATTAGTTCCACCTGTTGTTGAACTTGATCTAAATGCAGTCTTAAAGTATATGCTATTTTGTCACAGATTTTATGATTTGGGTTTGACTGTTTTCTGAAAACTAAAGCAGTATCAAAAAGTCTAGAACTGGAAGGGATCCTGTAGTCATGGACCCTGGTTCACTGCTGATTCCCCTGTCAGGACTGAGTACCTGTTCCCCAAGTTGCCAAGTATTGGTGACTGCCCAAAGCTTAGTCTCGGGATTGCCCTCACTTCAGCTGGACGGCAGCTGCATCCAGTGGCTGACTGATGAGGGGTTATAAGCCTGCTGTTCCAGTCCAGAACAACTCTGCCCTGCCATGCAGTCCAGGATGACTCCCTCCCCCCAAAGGTCAGCGGAGCCCTTGTTTGTGACTGCAGAGCCGCACTTCTCTTCTGTCCTCCCAAGGGATCTTGGGAGTGTCCCCAGGGAACTTCCTGCTCACTGGTTTCCCTCAATCTGTGCTGTGGGCCAGCCGCTGTAAAATGTAGGTCTTCTATTGTTGTCTCCTCATATTACTGATGAAGATACTTGGGTCTTGTGATGCCAAATGCCAGGACGTCGTATTCCAGCTTTGAAACATCGTCTAATAATCAGTCCGCTACTATTTAATTGTATGCAGGGTGCTGTGCTAAGTAGTTTACTTTAGATAAACTGTGCACAGCACAGTAAATGGAATACAAAAATTGTGACCTATTTAGGGACATATAATGTGACAAAACTGAGAACTCAATTCCAATATCATGAGCTTTTCACAGTAGGTCATGCTGCCTTCTTACTAGTATGGTTAGAGAGGTATATATTAGTTTAGAAATACCTCTTATTAAAATAATGAATATACTCAGGCCTCAGTGGTAAGTTCAATAGATGGTATCAAGGAGTAGTCAAGTTGAAACTTAGGTGGGAGGATTCTGAATAGTATTTCAGAAATACTGTAAGGTCAGTTAGATTTAAAAAAAAAATTGTTATTTAGGAATTACTGTTAATGAGTACTTTTTGGGGAGAAAAATTCATTTTTAAATTTGATGAATATTCTTCACTCAGAACAAATTTCATATATATAGAAGTTGCATTTTTGGGGTGGCTCAGACTGTTGGTTTCAGCTCAAGTCATGTTCTCACAGCTGTGGGATGAAGCCCTGCATTGGAGTCTGTGCTCAGTGCAGTCTGCTTCAAATTATTTCTCCCTTTCTCTCTCCCTCTCACTCACTCTCTCTCAAATAGATAAAATCTTAAAAAACAACAACAACAACAAAGTTGCATGTTTATTTTAAAGACTCCAATTTATCTTGAAAATCTTTGGGCAGAGATTACATCTACATAATAAAAATTAGTGGTTTGGTTATTTTATCTGCCAGACTAACTGATGCAGATAAATTTAAAGTCATATTGATGTAAATCATCTCAGAAACAGTAGATTGATGATATGTAGCTGGAATATAATTTTGTCATATTGCTAAACAGCTATCATCCAAAATTCTGATTGTTGAAATTATTTTTATTCGATTACTTTAAAGATATTAATTT